TACCGAATATTAGAGATCTCTCTTCATCTGCAACCCGTTCACGGAGCAGTGGATCGCTCTTCCTCTAGCGCCAGAAACGCGGCGGTCTTCTACAATTGGATTAAGGAAGACAAGGTTAGTTTGTGAACCCAGCTCTAATGTTGAACTTGATCTAGGAGAAAGCCAACCACCATTTGTTTATTCCTCTGCATACCGGTTCCGGGTGGTGTGTATTTACCAATTGCGCGATTCTATAAGGATAGACTTGTTTTGTTCCGAGTCTGGTGAGTGGACGAAGGAGGCTCTTGTTCTTAATGGGCATTTCAGATTGTCTAATGTCAATGTGTTACGTGGCAATTAGGCAAATTGGTTGGTTGTCCTTAATTGTCAGAGATAGCTATACATGGTAGTCAATGGTAATTGACCAAGTTATTGTAACCCTAGTTGATCACGTCGTGTAGGGTTAATGGCCTATATATGGCTTGCATGCCACTGTAGCTCGTGTGTAGTTGTGAGGTTAATAAAAGTTCAGCCGAGAGCTCTTGTGAGCGCTCCGTGGATTAGTCTCGTTCATATCGAACGAGGATACCACGTAAATCTTCTGTGTTATTTTGCTTCCGCTATTAGTTTTCTTCATGGTATCAGAGCAGACAAGATCGTAGCTTTCGTTGGTTCATCATGAGTGACGACGAGAGGAAGGGGGACGAAGCTCTAAAAGGATCTGGCAGTTCCGGTAACGGGGGTTTCAAGCTGGAAAGCGATCCTACTTCGCCGTATTTCATTAGTCAATCCGATAATCCCAATCAGGTATACGTTGGTGAGTTGTTGAATGAGGTTAATTATGCTGATTGGATACATGATATGACAAACTCGCTCTTGGCCAAGAACAAGTTGGGGTTTGTCGATGGTTCCTTCCCGGCGCCCACCGATGTCGTTCAATTGAGGAGTTGGCGCCGCGCCGACGCCATGGTTAAGGGCTGGTTAACCTCGGCCATGGATAAACAGGTTCGTCGCGGCACCCGTTATGCACAAACCTCCCGGGAAATATGGGTGGATTTGAAAGAGCGATTCGCTCAAAGTAGTGCCTCTCGTGTCTATGAGCTACGCCGTCGCATCAGCTTTCTGCCGCAAGAGAAGTTTTCTGTCCCTGAATTTTACACACAGATGCGAAATTTATGGGATGAGGTTCAGTCTATGGCGCCTATTCATCCTTGTACTTGTGGTCATTGTACTTGCGGGGCTGAACGCAAGAATCAGGAACGGGAGGAGACGTTCCGTTTGTATGACTTTCTTATGGGTCTAGATGAGTCTTTTTCGACTGTCAAGACTCAAGTTCTTTCTATGAAAAATCTGCCGACGTTGTCCGAAGCTTACCAGCTTGTTTCCAATGACGCACATCAGCGCAAGCTGGCGGTTCGAAATCGCCCTGGTCCTGAAGCAGCTGCCTTTCATGCTCGTGATGATGCAATTCACGGGGAGTCCTCGTCTGATGGACGTGGGCGGCATAAGTGTACACACTGTGGGAAAACAGGCCACCTCAAAGATCGATGCTTTGATCTCATTGGTTGGCCTGAACGTCCTGCCTCTCAGTCGGAAGGTGCTGGTCGCAAGAAGAGCAATAATCGCTCCAAGCACACTCCAAAGGCGGCGGCAGTCGAGGCTGGTGAGAGTCCTGTTACTGGTTTAAGCATGGCGCAGCTGGCGCAACTCAAGGAATTCCTCGCAGGATCAACTTTCTCACCTGAAGCCTCGACCACCAAACTCACGGGTAAATCTTTTCATTCTACTACATGGATTCTGGACTCGGGTTGTAACGAGAACATTGTCCATGATGTTAGTCTTCTGTATAATGGTTTCAAGCCATCGGAATTAAGGGTGAGAATTCCAAATGGCAAGTCTGTTGACGTTGAGCAGGTTGGGTCAGTTCGGCTGAGTAATGGGATGGTTATCTCTCGTGTTTTGTTAGTTCCCGAGTTCAAATGCAACCTTTTGTCAATCAGCAGGTTAACTAAGGAGTTTCCCATTGCTTGTATCTTCTTGCATGACTTCTGTATCCTGCAGGACTCGCGTTGCAAGAAGATGATTGGGATGGGCCATCAACATGATGGATTGTATTTTCTTCGGCTCTTTGATGAAGTGACGGACGTGGCTGCATACACTACGAAAGGAGACGGAAAGTCATCTGCTCGTTTGTGGCACTCCAGGCTGGGTCACCCATCTCTCGAAAAGTTGTCTATGTTATCTTTTGTTTCCGGTTCTAAACAGTCCCATCCGGGTCATTGCTCCTCTTGTTTACGAGCTAAACAGACTCGCAGTCCTTTTCCGTTAAGTTCCATTAAGACTACTCGACCGTTTGAGTTGATTCACGTTGATATTTGGGGTGGATATAAAGATTCATCGTTGAGCGGTGCACATTATTTCCTCACTGTGGTTGATGATTTTTCTCGAGCAGTATGGGTATTTCTTCTTCGGTATAAATCAGAAGTTGCTGGTTATTTGATGATGTTTTGTCAACAGGCTCAACGCCAATATGGTCATTCCGTGGTTCGTATTCAGGCTGATAATGGTATGGAGTTCCAAACTAATGTCTTACGTACCTACTACGCAAGTGAAGGAATCATCCTGCAGACGTCGTGTACTGACACGCCACAACAAAATGGTGTTGTGGAGCGTAAGCATCGACATTTGTTAGAAGTTGCTCGTTCCCTTCGGTTCCATGCTCATTTACCCATCAAATTTTGGGGAGAATGTGTCCTAACCGCAGCATATTTGATTAATCGACTTCCCTCCTCTGTGACCGGTAATGACACTCCTTTTGAGCGTCTCTTCGGCAAGAAACCGACTTATGCTCACCTTCGTACTTTTGGCTGTTTGGCCTATGCCAAGGACACACACTCTTCTCTCGACAAGTTTGCGGAACGAGGACGACCATGTATTTTTGTTGGTTACCCTGCTAACCAAAAGGGGTATCGGAGGATCAGTCATCTCCAGATTCCTCCCCATCGCCAGTTGTTGAACTCAATCGTCGGGATCGTCATCGTCAGTTGCCTCGTCGGTTTGATATTTACGAGGTCACGTTCCCTCATGCTCATTCTTGTGTGAAATACCCTATGGATAATGTTCTTAATTATGATCGTTTGTCACCTAGCTATCATGCTTTTGTTGCAGCAATCACACGCATGGAGGAGCCTCGCACGTTTGCTGAAGCAATTCTGCATGCTTGCTGGCGTGACGCCATGCAACGTGAATTTGATGCTCTCGTTGCAAATGGGACATGGGAGCTGTGTTTTCTTCCACCCGGGAAACGGATCGTGGATTGCAAGTGGGTATTTAAGATTAAATACCGGCCTGATGGTAGTATTGAACGGTTCAAGGCCCGTCTCGTCGCAAAGGGGTATACACAGCAAGAGGGTGTTGATTTTCACGACACCTTCGCCCCAGTTGCGAAGTTAGTTACAGTTCGTTGCGTGTTGGCCCTTGCGGCTCAACATGGTTGGTTTTTGCAGCAATTGGACGTCAACAACGCATTCCTTCATGGCGATCTTGACGAAGAAGTTTATATGCGCGTTCCCGAAGGGTTTGCTCGACAAGGGGACGCGCGTGTATGTCGTCTTCGCAAATCACTTTATGGATTACGTCAAGCGTCGCGCAACTGGTACAAAAAGTTCACATTGGCACTCTTACAGTTTGGTTTCAGTTGTTCACGAGCAGATCACTCACTATTCACATACCGGAAGGATGGGGTGTTCGTATTTGCTCTCATATACGTGGATGATATTGTTCTAGGGGGAGATAGTTTGGAAGTTATTGAAATGGTGAAAGCTTTTCTGCAACAGGAATTCAGTATCAAAGATTTAGGACCATTAAAGTATTTTTTGGGGATAGAAGTGGCACGATCGCGTCATGGAATCTCATTATCTCAACGTAAATACGTGTTAGATATCCTGAATGATGCTGGTGCTCTTGGAGTAAAGCCGTGCTCTTTCCCTATTGAACAAAATCACCACCTCACCCGTGTTGAGGGTCCGGCAGCACATGATCCTTCAGCATATCGCAGGTTAGTCGGGAGGCTCTTGTATTTGACAGTAACACGACCTGATATCACATATGCAGTTAACATATTGAGTCAGGCAGTGCATTCGCCTAGGCAGCAGCATGTGGAAGCAGCATATCGTGTTCTACGATATTTGAAGCATGCTCCTGGGCGTGGTTTATTCTTTCCTTCAAAAGTTGACTTGAGTCTAACGGCGTACTGCGACGCAGACTGGGGAGGATGTCAAGAAACACGTCGTTCGACGTCTGGATATTTCATTCAACTAGGTCAAAGTCCTGTGTCATGGCGTACGAAGAAACAATCAGTAGTGGCAAGGTCCTCGGCCGAAGCTGAGTACAGGTCAATGGCTGTCACGGTTAGTGAGTTGATATGGTTACGTGGGTTGCTACAGGAGTTAGGTGTGAAGTCAGAAGGTCCCACTCCGTTATATTGCGACAACCAAGCGGCTCTACACATTGCTGCCAATCCAGTTTTTCAAGAACGCACAAAACATGTTGAAATGGATTGTCATTTTGTCAGAGAACGAGTGGCTTCGATGGAGATTGATCCCAAGAAGATCTCCACTGGCGATCAAGTGGCGGATGTGTTCACCAAAGGATTGGGCAGTGAGCAATTCGCCTACCTTGCCTCCAAGCTTGGCCTTCATGATATTCATGCGTCAGCTTGAGGGGGAGTGTTACGTGGCAATTAGGCAAATTGGTTGGTTGTCCTTAATTGTCAGAGATAGCTATACATGGTAGTCAATGGTAATTGACCAAGTTATTGTAACCCTAGTTGATCACGTCGTGTAGGGTTAATGGCCTATATATGGCTTGCATGCCACTGTAGCTCGTGTGTAGTTGTGAGGTTAATAAAAGTTCAGCCGAGAGCTCTTGTGAGCGCTCCGTGGATTAGTCTCGTTCATATCGAACGAGGATACCACGTAAATCTTCTGTGTTATTTTGCTTCCGCTATTAGTTTTCTTCACAATGTAGTTTCTACATCCTGCAACGGTGGGTTGTTTTGGTTGTGTATGAATTCCGGAGTTTTGGGGTCTCATCCAATAATTGCTGGGTTTAATCCCTTTCGCCTTGATGTACCTCCCATCCGACTTGATACTTCTCGACTCGCCAAGGGAAGCTGGAATATTTCGGTCTCACAAGGTGCTCTACACCTAATATCACTTGCTCCACCTACACTTTTGAGTGTTTGGAGACTGGAAGAAGACCGTAAATCTTGGAGTATGCAACATAAAACTGTGTTGGGGAAGACAGTCAAAATTTGCGACTATGAACTTGAGGACTGTGATGTAGCTGGTTTGCACCCAGAGAAGCCGCATATTGTCTTCTTCAAACATCCTGGTTTTGGTGATCGTCGGAGTGTTGCACTGTCCTACGATATGAAGACTGCACAGCTAGGGTTGTTTGGTGAGTTTGTTCCCAGATTCCAGCCTAGGGTTTCTTGCTGGCCTACCCCGATTCCAAGGTACGAGGAACTGCGAGCTATATACGATGGGCGATATAGCTGTTGGGTTCAACAGAGCAGCAGCAAAGCAGCAACTCTCTCCCTGAACAATCGGTAATAGTCTATCTTTTCTGCATTTGCTTGCATCTGTGTTCGGGTTTAGGAATTCGCTAATATAGAGTCCGAAAGAAGTTTCTCCTAGAAAACAACATGTCAGCAACCACATCAAGAACTCTATTCCCTCCTAAATCGGTAGGATGAAAAAGGAAGCTGTCTTTTGTTGAGTAGCACAAACACATACTTTGCATACCTGTCTCTGCTTCCTTTGTAATCGCTTGAGAAGTCTGATGTGTTTGCAAACCTCTGCTCTTCTTGTTGCTAATTTTACTTTTCATTCCATTTATGCAGTGTCTGGATTGTCAAAGAGAGAATTATGCAGTGGCTGGATTGTCAGAAAAAGAATCTATGCAGTGGCTGGTTTAATTACTAGACCCCTCCCTCCCCAGCATATCGAGTTAGGAAGCAGAAGGCGGTGAAACTTGAAAGGCTAGCTCGTGTTGTTCAGAAGGATGGCGCCATTGGATGAAAATTCATCTGCAATTAGTCTTGCCTTGTTGGAATGCATGTGATCAATCTTATTCAAGATGACCAGAAAGCAAGAGTGACCAGTGTTCTTAACTTTCCCTGTACTATTATTGCCTGCGCCATGGTTTTAGGCGCTGCAACTTGTTTATGTATCCAAAGTTTCTTTGTAAGATGGTTATTTATTCAGCTGTCATGGAATGTACATTGGATGCTTACATATATATCTAAATTTTTTGGGCTCCATGATTCATTACCTTCCAGCTCCATAAAATAATGAAACAGTGATATCCTATTTCAGTTGTCGATTTTGCTGCAATGAGTTCCCTGTAAAAGCCCAGATGGGGAACATGACCAGTTTTTTGGTCATAGATACCACAGATGGGGAAAACATGACCAATAAGTTCGAATGAGAAGGAAAAGAAGTGAGATAGTAGAACTTTTCCACTTTTCTTATGAGTGTAGATGGGTTGGGCGGTTTACGTTAATTTATTTTAATCATTTTGATCTATATACTTCGGTTTTGAAAATAATAAATCTAAATTTATCTAAATGAAAGAGAAGAAGAACAACATTTAGTGGTTTGATTCTCTAGTTGCCATTTTTGGGCTGCAATGAATTCCCAACGGCCCATTTCCAAAACATAACCAACAGGTTTTGCCGCCCTTTTACTGCTGCCCCCTTGCTTGTGAAATTAACTGATATGCCCCCACGACCACAGGACAATTAATTACTGAGTTTTTGTTTTAAGCTCAAACTTAATTCTTGCTAAAGATTCCAATTTCCAAACATTAAACGGTGGAGTTGAATTCGTCTATTTCTAAATGGGTACTACCTATCATAATTATTTGTGATTCGGTGAATCTTTTTATTATATCGTTGATATGTTTGATGGACAAACAATCCATTTATACATGGTCGAATCTATAATTTTGCTTTGAATCAAATTGAAAATGCACATAACGCGATGTCATTTCGATTTCAATCATCCTCCTATTAACAAAGGAAGAAAAAAGAGAATCAAGCAAATACAGTTTACACATTTCTATATGTTTATAATCTTTATTTTTATTTTTAATTCGAATACAATATTATCTTAAAACGATAGAATTTTCGGACTGAACCAAACTATATTCATGTGTATATACTATATAGTCATACTCTAATATGGTAACTTTTTTCAAATCCCTTTGCCTTGGTTCAAAACTGCTGATTAATTCATTGGATTTGGACACCATTTTTTCTTTTCTTTATGAGAACCTTATCTTATCCAATTCCAGGTAAAGTGGTGACCATTATTATACACACCATTCCTCCCCCATTCTCCCAATTTACTATATAAGGTAGTGTTTTACAAAATCGTACATACAGTCCGACCGAAAAAATCATCTATCAAAGTTTAAATCAACAAATTATTTTAACGGTACGAAACAATCGGAACACAATTAGTTCTTCATTGAACTACTACGTTCTTTTTCTAAACAATTTCGGTACAATTTTTCAATCAAGAAAACATACACAGAGTCTTGTTCCGCTTATTAAAAACTCTATCGCTTTGTCTTCAAGTGCACTCGAATCGCTGTTCTAAGCCATTAACTTCAGCCAAAAGCTCTCCTCTTCTCCTCCTCTTCTCTTTGAACCCTCTCTTGATCTTCACTGGTTGCCCAATTGCTTACCATCCTTCCGGTCTTCCCCTTTCTTGAGCTGAAGCTTTCGTACACTCTTTCCCAACCCAATTAAACAACGATTACCAATTCGAACTCATCCCTCACGTCTTCGAAGTCCGAACTAGAGCTAGAAAAAAAATGGCGTCTTTTGCTCCAATCTCTCAATCCCAGTCTCTATTTAACAAGCCCCGAGCTGGGTTTATTCTGCCTTCCCGCTCAGCTGCTGTTTCCCATATCCAATCATCCGGGTTCGTCTCCAGAACGGCGTCAGTCCAGTTTCGTGTCCCTGGTTATATGGTGTTCGATAAAATGCCCCAGAGAGCTGTTGTGGTGGCGGCTACGACCGCGGAGAAGCAGAAGAAGAGGTACCCTGGAGAGGCGAAGGGGTTTGTGGAGGAGATGAGGTTCGTGGCGATGAAGCTGCACACGAGGGAGCAGGCGAAAGAAGGGGAGAAGGAGGTTAAGAAGCCCGAAGAGCAGGCCATCCCCAAATGGGAGCCTTCCGTTGATGGGTACTTGAGGTTCTTGGTAGATAGCAAGTTGGTTTACGATACTCTTGAAGCAATCGTCGACAGCGCGCCTCATTCTATCTGTAAGTTCCATGTTTTTTTGGATGATTTAATTGGGTTTTGGATAATCTGCTCGAAAGTTCCTTTCTTTGGTTGAATCCTCAGCTTGTCATGAATGTTGAGGTTTGTTTGCTTATGCCTTCAATGGTTGGTTTGAGGTGTTGAGCAACTTCGGTTAAGTTTCAAGGGATCATCTGGTTCAGATAATTGTTCGTTGCAACGTTAGCAGAGAATGTTCTGTGTTTTTTTCTTCCTAGATTCTGATTCATCTAAGTGACGTCAGTGAGTGAAAAAGCGGTGGTTGAACCAGCTGAAGTTTCCCTCTTTTGGGGTCTATTAGGCTCATAGATTGTGTCACTAGACACTAGGGCTATAGATGTTGAATTTGGATCACAAAAAGCAAAGTAGTGGATCTAAATGTCCAGTCTGCATATGCTAACTAACTCCAGAATTTCCCTCGTACGATTCTTCTTTGTGATTGTGTTACTATACTCCTACATCTTGTCTGTGGGGAGGTCCTTCTTTACCTTGTGCGATTCTTCTTTGTGATTATGATGAATGTTAAACCCTGAAGGCATAAATTTGCATTCTTGTAGATGCCGAGTTTAAGAACACGGGGTTGGAAAGATCTGCAAGTTTGGCTAAAGATTTGGAATGGTTCAAAGAGCAAGGGTATACCATTCCCGAACCTTCTTCTCCTGGAGTTACTTACTCGGAATATCTCAAGGAACTGGCAGATAACGATCCTCAGGCATTCATTTGCCACTTCTACAACATATACTTTGCCCACAGTGCTGGTGGCCGGATGATTGGGAGGAAGGTAAATGCTACTTGTACTTCAAATAAGTGAAATTTTTTTCCATAATCTCTCGAGAACAGAGCTGGTTTATGTTCACATGAGCTTAGTTTTTCGTTACTTGGGTTTTTTCTTCAAACAAATGATCCATGCTATGGCGATTTCAGCTGCTGTTTAGCTTTTGTTTAAGCAGTTTCTAGAGTGCACTGAAATATATTTTCTGGTTCTCTTTTGTGTGAAGCAACCGCATTGTGTTAACACTAACACAAGTCTAATTGTTATTTCTTATGGTTTTTAGGTGGCTGAAAAGATACTCGACAATAAAGAGCTGGAATTCTACAAATGGGAAGGCGATCTTTCGCAGATTCTGCAGAATGTCAGGGACAAGTTGAATAAAGTTGCCGAGGTAATTTGGCTGCTAGCCTCTTAACTAATAGCCCATCCACCATAACTTACTACAGCCACGCTCAAATGACATCTATGTTTGATGTGGAACTGCGTTTGCTTAACAGAACTGGAGCAGAGAAGAGAAGAACCATTGTTTGGAAGAAACTGAGAGGTCTTTCAAGCATTCAGGGGAGATCCTCCGTCTAGTACTATCGTAAATGGTCTCTGATAAACTCAGCAAGGTTGAAGCCTTTGTCTGTCCATGTCTATACTTCAAAAACATCTTTACTTTACTTCTCCACATGAAACAAACATGGAAGATGCTGTAAACTTGATTCAAGGGCATGAAGAAGAAGAAAGAAGAAATTTGTGAATATGATCTCTGCCTATTGAACTGATCCATGTGAATGAATCTTTCAGCAGTGGTTTTCTGGTCCTGGTTTCTTCTGCCCTTGTTTTAGATAGACTTCTAGTTGACTTTGATGGTTTAATGGATAGGGAAATCTCTTGACTCATGATGGTAGAAGGAAAGGGCAGTAAAGGAACTTATTATGGAAACTTGGTGTAGTGCTGTCTGGTTTTGGCAGCATTTTGCCCATAATGGATAGCTCTTCCACAGGGACATTATTTAGTGCCCAACTGTCCCCAATCTTTAATAAGTGAGACCCCAATGCTATATCTGGCTATATAGAGGTTAAGGGTTATGATATGATACAGATTTGATAGTGTTAAAATATGCATAGCAAATCGGATTTGGATTAAGCTGTATATTGAAGATCCAATCATTCCTTCTGAATTCGGTTTAGTAATCACTAATTAGTATCCAATCAATTTTCTTGCTCATTGATTGGTCCGACAAATTTGTTTTATTTGTTCTCATTTCTCTAAACAAAATCACAATACAAAACATATGTAGTTATTGAGATATCCAACCAAGTCGTGCAATCCTGCAATTAGTATATGAAAGCATGTATCAGTAACGAACAGAAAATGGATGATTAGAGGGATGAAAATGAAATCTTGGCGCATATGCTTGTCCTACACAATATACAAATAGGGTCCATCACTTTAACAACCATAAGATCTCAATAACAATTCACACCAGACTTCTACCCCACACACACTTCACAGGCTTCAGCTCCTCCTTCCATTTATTCATTTCCAGGTTCCAGCTGTGCAGTTTAGTTGGAAACTTGGAAACCATATTTAAATACTCCCCATGTTCTTCTTCTTGCTGACCACAGATCAGAAGAAAGAGCTATGAAGCAAATCCAGATTATACATCTAGCCCTCCTCATCTACTTTCTCTCCATAACCATCCCAAATGTCAGGTCTGCAACCCTCCCACCACAGCCTCAGCACATCCATGGCTTCAAGCCCATGTCAGCCGACATCCAGGTAAAGTACCAGGTCGAGAAGTTTCATGTTCCACAGATTAGTAACAAACAAAAACATCAAAAGATGACCCTCAATTTGACTTTGCAGGCTCAGGCAGCTGCAAGGAGCTGTCCATACACAGTAATCATAGAGACCAGCTGCGCATCTACTTCTTTCACCAGAGACCAAATCAGCCTGGCATTTGGCGACTCTCATGGCAACGAGGTATCAAAATCGAAATCTGACGGCAACCCATTTGAGAAGATTGATTTTTTAGCAGAGGGTAACCGGTTGATTTTGGTGGTGGCTGCAGGTTTATGCAAAGAGGCTAGATGACCCAAAATCAGGGACGTTTGAGAGGTGCTCCAAGGACACTTTCAAGATCACGGGGCCGTGTGTAGAGGAGGTTTGCTATCTCTACATGCTTAGGAAAGGATCCGACGGCTGGAAACCAGGGAGTGTGAAGGTCTACGGTCCTTACATCAGGACAGTGGACTTGGATTTCGATGTGTTTCTGCCGAATGGGGTGTGGTTTGGATTTAATCTCTGTAATTCTGCTGTTGTTGAAGAATCTCTCTCTGTCGACATGTGACAAAAACAGAATTTATCTGTTACGTAGTGAAAAAAACTAATAAAAGCGCCTGTAGCTCAGTGGATAGAGCGTCTGTTTCCTAAGCAGAAGGTCGTAGGTTCGACCCCTACCTGGCGCGTAATTGTAAATTTTTGCGGTAAATTTTTTTTATTCTTGTTCCAAAAAATTGAACACAGGGATGAAGACCTTTACCCCTGCATTAGTTCTCCCTGGAATCAAAAACTTACAGAAACTATGCATCTCCACAAGCTGGAGTGCCAACTCACTGAAACCTGGCTAAGCAATGTACGAAACGATATGACGATGCTTCACATTACTAATCTGCGTTCTTGATACGATAATACCACAGCAGATAAATCTCTGCGACTGTGAGTACTTATACAGAAACCGACCCTTTACGCTCCTCATTTCCACAGTTGTCCGCAACAGATAGGCGATAGCACTCGCCTTTGTCAATCATCGATGGTGCTCATGAGCCCCCCAAGAAAGCCAGCTCCATTGCAGCTTCCACAGAGCATCTCCCTTTTACCCCTGCAAATGAAAAGGTGTAATTTAGAGAGAGAGCATAAGCTACTGCAGAACTACTGTGTAATAAGAAGCTCAGTCATTAACTAGGTAGTTTTTAGATGGTTAACCGGGTGCCGGGGTTGATGGGTAAGTACCTGCATAACCAGCACATTCCGCCAACTTTAAACCGACCATTGAAGTGGTCCTCGGAATTGACTCCTGAGCCTTTGCACTGAGAACATGCTACAGCTCCTGAATGATTTGCACAAAGAAGAACCATATTGGTATAAAACCATAGATGTTTCATTAACACAAAGCTCATCATAATCAAAGATTTCTGCATCAATTTATGTGGGAAAATAGAAGGTAAGGAACTTGTGTATGGCATTCAAAGACAAGAGATGATCTACGTAACAAAGATAAGCTTGTGGCAGAATGAAATTTCTTCATAATTTACTACTACATTCATGATATTTCATTTATACCAGGAGAAGATGCACAAAAAAGATCAAAGTTAGCACTCAATGCAGCGTTGAGCTTACCGTTGCCCTCACAGCCAGTACAGACTATGCTCCTTGGTTTGACGGTTTTGTTACCATCTGTTGCCTGTCACGCCAAGAGACAAAAGAGTCAACATATCGAGCAAGCAGGAATAGAAACCGAATCGAGCTTTGATCAGCACGATTGGTTTCTGCATTTGGTTACAGAAATCCGACAGAGTTGGTAACACAACAATTTGCACTTCATGCAGCCAACCAAGAACTTGCAGATATTTTGTTAACCAGATCATTAATTCCTCTTTATCTACTCCCATATCAGGACATGTCCATTAACTTATCTTCTTTCACACATAAGATGTAACTCAATTGGAGAACAAGGGCCCTTATTACTCAAATGTAGCAGCAGTCACATTACCGACAGTAATTCGATTTATTTGAATCAAAATTCAAGCACATTTCATCTTCCAGGCTACTAATTCAAGTTTTCAACTCAAATTGTATCAGGAAAGAACTTTACCTTGACCTCCAAAGACCGAGACTTTGAACCTTTGGAGGTTTGGAAAACTTTGTTGACTTGAATAACCCTCCCAGGAACTGAAATCCCAATAATTCCTGCGTATGTATACATCCATAGCCACAAATTGAGTCAGGAACCGAAAGTAAGCACTGGGGAAAAACAGATGCAGCAGAGACTTTACCTGGTTTATCTGGAGAATTAAGAGAGCAGATGGTAGTGAAGCTTGAACAACTCGCCATTATACAGACAAATGAGCAATGAATTCTTTTCCTGAAACCAAAGCTCGAGTCTTTGGAATGAGAGGAACAAGAGGGTCTTGGTGGGTCTATAAAGCTGTTATTGGTTGTAACGAATTCTGGATATGAATTAACCAGATAAGGCTCACTCTCTCCCTGGAGAAGGAGAACAGAAAAAAGAAAGGAAGACAAAAGACAATTTTAAACTGCCATTTACTGAGCTACCCTTCTTTAGCTGTAAACCCACCATAAAAATAAGGGCAACAACGTAAATAATACAATTTTCACGCCAAAAATTTTCACCAGGGGAAGAAGAACGGAAGAAACCTTTGGCCTCTGGATAGCAAGAGCGCAGAAGAAGCCATGGCGAGTGCTCTCTTATCGATTTCGCGCTTCCTACCTTCACAAAGTAAGCATCTTTAGGGATTAGTCAGCAAAAAGCTCGCGCCTTTTTGTTTTTATCCTTTACTGTTAGTAGTTTATACGTTTGGTCTTTACGTCATTTCTGTTGGAGTTCCTTACTGACTCATTGTCTGTTCAATTCCGTTTAGAAGCAGATAGTGAGCAAACTGGATGTTTCGGGAACCTGAGGAGTTCATTCCATGGGAAACTGCTGTGTAATCCGAACCCTATGAGGACTCAGATCAGCAGAATCCAAGTTGGAAGCCGTACTGCCGTTTTTGCCTCAGTGGTCTGTAACTCTAAACCCTTTCCAACTGTGCTTTGGTTTTCCTTCCATTGTAACTAAAGAAATTATGGGTGCTAATGTATGAGTTTTTTTTGGCATCGGCACAGCTTGGTCGAAGAGCACAGAAGAAAGAAACTGTAATTCCTGATCCTGACTACCGGATCCCCATTGTTCTTCTTGGTACCTCCACTATCTCTCTTAAGAAGAATTCATTCTATATGGTTGTTGGAGTTTGTTCTTAATACTTATCGTGGCAGGTTGTATTCAAAATCAGGAGGGGAGCCTTTGATTATTATGGCTGCTAAATGGATGCTCTTATTTGAAACAGGTGTGGCTGGTGGCTTAGCCTATACAGATAACCTTGTACCAGCAGTACCAGTTGGCTTGCTTGGATTGCTTCTCTTGTTTCAGGTGACATTTATGTGTTGAAACGTAACCTTGATTTGGTCGATGAAGCACAGCGTTGTGGTGCCTACGATTGATCTCAGCTAATATTGGTTTGTTTCTTTGTTAACAGACTACCAGGGTGAGATTTGTGTTTGATGGTCAGGCCTTGGTGAGTTCACTCACCTTTTTTACCGCCATTTCCATTGTCGTCCAATATCTTTTGCTTATTCATAAATGCTTGATGTTGTGTGATCATAGGAGGTAAAAGTAGGAGAGCAGCTTGAGGAATCAGGCGAAAATGTATTCGTTGGTGGGAAAAACAGATGGAAGTAAGTGCCTCTTTCATTGCTTCTATTATATGCTTCGATGGACTTAAGAGTAAGGCCATTGACTTGTTTCATCTTCTGCAAACAGGTATTCTAGTTTTGTCAACTGGGAACTATGGTGGCCTAACTTCCCTATCCTGGTATACTTTAAGGAGACCCAAACAAAACCTGAAGGCCAAATCCACTTCTTCCCTGTCATATTCGTAAGTAACAGCCGATGCTAAGATTATTCTTCCAAGGGCGGGTAATGGAGACTATTGTTACCAAAACCAGTTTCGGAGTCTTAAATATTACTTTATACTTGATAGAAAACCAGCCTCTGATTTTTAGTCTCATTTCCATAACTTTAATCCGTCGTCTTTTTTTCTGTAAACAGAATGGCAAACAGCTTTATGATGTTATGGTGGAGAGAGCTGGTCCCTCGAAAACCAGTGCACCAAAATGATCCTGAGAAGGCTTCAGTTCTATGTTGATGATTGACCAGTATTTCTTTCGAGGTTCAGAGAAGCAGAACAAAAGAAGTTCCAATTTAATGATGAAGAAGCACATCACCAGATCAAAGTCACATGTATAGAATTGCAGAAAGAATGCTTGTCGTCTATCATTCAATCAAGAATTGTACAATGTAAATGCAATTAGTCTGTTGATCTCTAAGTACACTAGTCATAGATATATAATCAAAATCCGAGTGCAAACTCCTACCCTTGTTTTCCTTCCTCCTTCCAGTTCTTTCTAATAAAATTAAACTTCAATGTACAATCCTCGCAAGCAAATGAACATTACAAAAATGAGATCCTGAATGAATAATGAATCCTGGAATATCAGCTTTCTACATTAATCATGTCAAAAACTTTAGCTCTTGGTGCAGTGGGCGTCCGTACCATGTTGGGTGCAATCATGGTAGCCAACCGTCTGCAGGAAATCTCGAATCTCTTTGGCACTGCTATTGCTGGCTTGAAGCAGGCGCTCGTCTTCTTCATAAATAATGTAGGGGGCTTCACCCTTCTTTCTGGAGAGTAATTTGGAGGCTCCTTTGAGGACATGATATTCCCAACCCTGGACATCGATTTTGAGCAGAAGCACAGGCTGTGAATCTGGGATCACTTCATCCAGAGGGATCGTCCTTACTTGAACTGCTACTTCCTCATTCGACTTGAAAGCCAGTTTTGCACCGATGGCAGAGATAGCACTATTGTCGAGCCGCCCGACCAACTGATAACAACAACCAAACCAAAAATTAAGGGATGACTGATTGCATACAGCTTTGCCTCAAACAGAATATATCATTGAAGAAGGGGGGAAAAAGATTTAGATAAGTATACTTAAAGGATCAAATAATGAGGGAACTCTTTTAACTATGAGCATTTTATGCTAGTGTTTGTGATACCGTACAGATTGGTTGTACTGGTTAAACCATGTATTAGCGACCAAGCAAATATGGTTTTATCAAGGTTTTACAACCGTTCTACACTGGTCTTGTTATCATACATCTATTATCCCTGAAAACTATTAATCTCACTGGTTTGGTCTCCACTGTGGTATCACAATGTATGTTTTCTGCCTTACAAACACTGTTAAGAGGAAGACTGTTGACGCCATTATGTCGAGAACTTGAGATGGTCATCACTTATCAGTAAGTTATCCTCATCCTGCTTAGGACAAGCATTCCTGGATTGAAGGTTGCAAGTCCGTTTCATCCTAAAGCAGCGATAGCGATAGTAACAGATTACAATCATAAAGTACCCATTGACATGCAATCCTCAGTGCCTAGCTAACCAAATTTGTCCAGAAAATGGACAGTTCATCTACACTCTTCTTATCATTATATAACAACATAAAAAAATCAACTTAATTGCACTCTGATTGAGCAGTAGTGTTCTTAATCTGTTCATCTCAATCTATTCCTCATAAGCCAAGGATTCCATTGTCACCATCTAGCTATACAAATTTCGCTAAACTGCCCTTTCCTAAACACCACCCCTTACTACAGGAAATGTTCAACTACTCTAAATCAGTCAAGTCAATCAATCAGAACAAGGTCCAAAATGACAACTTTACCTTATAGAAAGTGATATTCCCAACATGATCCGAAGCAGCAGCTTCAAAAACAGTAACCAACTCCCCAACTCTATTAAACCAAATCCCATCACAGAGCCGCTGCAGATTCTCCATAACAGGCTCAAAAGCCAGCACCTTGAACCCCATAACCGCAGCTGCAAAGCTCGCCATTCCCACATTGGCACCAACATCCACAACCAGCCCGCCATCATTTCCCCCTTCCTTCTTCATCCCTTCGAGAATCCCCTGAATCGTGGCGGAGATATCAGGCTTCCGAAACAGCTTCCCCTTGAGCAGCCGGACGAGGTTCTTGTGAGGCTTATCGGGCAAGGATCCGAAATCCGGGAGCGAGTAGAGGAAAGGGTAATTGACATTTTCGACTAAGTTGGCGACTACAGGGTGAGCTTGGGGCGAATCGAAGCAGTTGAATTGGGGGATTGGATAGGGCTTTGGGGAGGGAGTGGAGAGGGAGAGAGATGGCGTGAGATTGGGGTCTGAAGGGGAACGGAAAGCGAGGAAGAGGAAGAGTAGGAGGAGGGTGAGGGAGAGGAGAAGGAGCAGGAGTGGCTTTGGAGAGAGTAGCTTTGGGTGTCTGCTTTCTCTTCTCCAGCCATTTGCCATGGGAGAATGAATGAACGGGTTAAGGAGTTCTTTCTTCCCCTTCCTGAAAAATTTCCCGGGAAAGCTATGGAGGTGGCGTAGTTTTAACGGGGAAAGATCCGGGAGTTTGGATCTGGAAAATTGAGAAATGGGTCGCGGGATCTCTCTTCTGTGTCTTGGTACTTTTGATTGAAGAAACAGAGTGCAGTGACGACTGACGATGGCTGAAGCATGGAGTTCCTTTACTTTAAGAACAGTTGCTACTGAAGGACTAGTTAAATTCAGTTGAAATGTCTCGCGACAAATAATTTTTACTTTTTAGAGGAAAGCCCTGTCGTGAAGTTGCACATTGCACTAACGACTCTCTGGCAAGATGCAAGTTTCAACATTTTACACGTAAAAGATTTGGCTATGGAGTACAAATCGTTTCCCATAGTATTGAAAATGATTTGTACTCTTGTCTTTGAACATTGAACCGACTCTGAAGCAAACAATAAAACCCACGTTACCATGTTTTTTCGCTGAGCTATGATCGTAAGTGAATCGTGCTACGTAAATTGATCGATACTTCGTATAGCTCTTCAGTGGCGGCCATGAGATTTAACCAGAGATCATGCGCAGCAGAAACCATTAAGTATGGTGGGCAGCTCGATTCAGCTCGATTCGATCCAGCTCGATTCGACTACTTGCGCACAACGACTAGGGAACCGAATGAGTTTGAAAAGTGTGATTCATCATTCATCACCAAGCCTGCATTTCCCCGATTGGTGATCGTCGGCTCGATAACTCCATCTCCCAATTCCCTCCCAACCCAAATCGAGGAGAATAGGATAGAAAAAGAGAGAAACTAGCAGTAGTATAGCTAGGAGAAAGGCGAGCTAGTTGGGGATGATATGGATTGATGGCAGAGGAAGGGAGAGCAAGCGAGTCAATGGTCGACAACCAAGACTTTGGTTTAGGCCAATGAACTCGAGCAATCATCACGATCTCAACTTAACACCGCATCCTCCATTAATTTAAGAATGAGTTCTATAAGATAGCGTTGAGCATCAGCTATGAACACATTCAAGTCTCATTCAGAACCGAGCACGTATCATCGATTGATGCAAACCGAGAACATTACAACAGCCAGAAAGCCAATAAAGGCAATCAGAGGGCACAGAATACAGATAAGACTACATTCATCATTCTGATGCACAGCATACATCTACAAAAACTTTGGTTGATCCCAACTCTTTGTCATAAAGCCAATTTCTGGATTGCGGTTTCTTTGAGCGACGTCACCAATCTCCTGAACACCTTCAAGTTGTGCCCTACTTTATCCTGCCACCAACAAAGATGAATATCAATGCATCATTCGAGCAGTTTGCCCTTTTTTTTTCTTTCCCAAGGAATCAGAGGACCAAGTTTGGAGCAGATGAATGGAGGGTTTGAAGAAGCAGCTTACCTCGTTCAGCAGCTCAAGCCGTTCTAGAGTCGACACCAAATGACCACATAACGAAGACACGTCATTAACAACATAATCGCCTTTGGTGGTGCCATATGTAATTGTTTTTGGAGCACTAGCAGTTTCAGATGCCGAAGAGCTACAATAAAAGGGAAAGACGGGATGATGGTGAGGGTCTGTACTCTTTGGATTTGCCTAGGGCGAACATGGAGGATGTGTCAGACAGAGAACAGAAGGTCTACCTGTCTTGTAAATGAACAAGAATGACGTTTAGCACTTGTTCTGCAAGTGGAAGTAACAATCTTATAGACTGATCTCTGTTTCCAGCCAGTTGGCACATCTCCACCATTGCAATGTATCTCCTGTAAACAAATAAGGTACATATTAGAAATACAACCAAATATGAAATGTTGGTGGAGTTGCACCTTCTAGATTTGGTTTCCTAGCTTCCAGGTCAACAATGGATATGAATATGATAACACTCTGTTATGCAATTTAAAGACGATACACGTACCTTTTCTGTATACCATCAGAAGGTGATACAGTTTCTTGCCGAACACACATGTTGATGATGTCATCCACTTCCTGTCTGGACAGCTCGTTTACATCCCGAATCTGAAGACAACAGATGATATTAAACATTCTTAAGAGATATGGCAGGATGAACAACAAAGTTTAAGTAAAAATTTCTCCTTTCGACAAGAATAACTTGAGATGAGAATATCTTTAAAAATAATTGGATTTGCTACCTTATTAAGCAACTGTGACTTCTCATCAGCCGCTTTCTCAAGCGAAGTTGCCACAAAGCTGAGAAGCGAACCAAGCAGTCTTAACGTCGGCTGATGGACGCTAGCAGAAGATTGGTAGTCAACGTTGTCTGATACCTATCACATCAGTCATGAGAAAGGATCACTTCAGCACAAAAGGTTTACAGATAGATGCACAGCCCATTATTAGTTAGGAATGCACTGATCTGATTGTAGTTGTTGGCGTACCTGAAGTCTTAGGGACCTCTTTATAACCAGGAAATATAAATAAGAACTAAGACTGAAACGCAAGTATAAGGAGTTCAATTCCAACTTCCTCCGGTTCTGATAAGACATAAAAGAGAAGATTAAACGAGTTATAAAGAGCAGGAAAAAAAAAGACAAAAATCACTGTAAACATACTTTCAGCCGGGGGAAAAGGTGATACCTCAGACAACTTAACTGATCTTCCTGTAGTATTGGACTCCACCTCACGTGAAAAAAGAACACACATCATACTGAAAAGACCTTGAACAAAACCAAACTCATTGCTCTCTTCATAAGGCCACACCTAAGATTTCCAGGGAACGAAAGGAGGAATATATTATTAGTTTCCTCCCATAAAAATTAGCAGCCAAATAGCAAGTCAATTTATTTTATAGAATCTTATGCTCAGTGAAATCACAAACACAAGCTAGAAAAGCAGAGGAACAAGAGGTATATTGTTAAGAAGATATTTTTGACTAGATGAAAAAGTTTTCAAGCTTCTGAAGATGACTTAAATCCTAAAAGTGCGAAGATTAAAGCAAAACGCACTTTCAACGAGTTATGACAGAATTCATAAAAAATAAAAATAATAAAAAAAAGAGTTCTGATAGCAACTTTCTAATCATTACCTTGCTTAGTATACCAACCGCAAGATTGACCTGCTCTATTGTCAACTCATCAGCATCATAAATGTCTACATGAAGAATTTGATCGAAGAGCAGTTGGTGTCCTTTCACAAAATCTATAACTTCCCGTACAATTTTGTTCTTAACCTGTCAAATACACCGAAATGTAAAATAACAATTCTCTAAAAACAAAAGGATAATATGATTTTAGTTTCTGTGAAAGAATGTGGGGACATCAGCCACAATTATGCACAGGTCTTAGCTAGTTTTGATGAGTAGGACAAAAGTGAACTTGACATGAATAATAGCCAACATTAAAAGATTTGCCGGACCTCAAAGATGTCCACTGTATCGATCAGTGATGTTAATGAGAACACCAATCTCAAAATAGGCGTCACTATCATTCTTTGTCTGTCAATGTCAACTGCAACGTTTCGTCTACTCTTAGGATCAAACCTCCTCAAGCTACCCTGAAAGTTACGATCTAATTTAGTTTATATGAGATGAAGTGCAAAAAAGGATGAATAATAAACAGAGCATACTGTCACCTGCAGGGTAACTGTCCTGCATGAAGCAATGTGCTCTAAAGCACCCATAGAAAATAGCACTTGGGAGCCAGTCTTCCCATACTTGTGGCTAATTCTCAGTAGCAGTGCAAGTTCAGCCTCGAGTGTGCATGCTCGCTGCAATGAATCTAGTGAATGCCCCCCATCCTATGAATATAACAATATACAGTTCAAAATAATTTATAATAGAAACAAATAATATATATATAGATATATACATGCTATTCCAATTCTTTTTCTTGATAATTTCCCAACTAGTTAGTTCACATTAGAATGGAATGGAAAAACCCTCAGCCTGTGAATCAGGATTGTTCAGAAATCAAACCTGATGGCAAGTGTTGCTAATGTTCATAAAGCAAGACCTTAAGAATCCCCTGCTTTGAAATTGACTAAAGAAATATCTCTCATGATCAATACAAATCAATGCATCCAGCACATAAAGCGCTATAGTTTTCCCAGGTTCACTGCCTTGAGATGCATCCTTTATTATCTGCAAATACATAAGAGCAACAGACTGGCATGAGAACTGAAAAGAAAGACAAACAAGCAAAGGGAACTAAAATTTGAGAAGAATCTTAGCCAACATCAGGGGAAGAGCCCAAGTAAACCACCATCGACATAGAGGTTAAATTTAAAGATACGAAGATACTTATGTCAGTACAAGGAGTGGCAGCAGTCAAGCAATATCTAAAACAAAACTTCATATCCTTACCAAATCTAAGATGGCCTGACCTTCTTTCCTTATTAGTGTGAAATTAATACGGGACAGCTCAGCCTGCTCTCTGTCAATCTGTGAAAAAGATAGTAGGGTGATTATAGAGACGAAGAAACAAATGAAAGAGACTTGCCATGAGAAGTAGAGAGCTGACCTTCTGAAGATCCAGATCTTCATTATCCTGCTCCTCCAGCAACAAGAATTGGAGAACTGTAGTCGGAACATCAGGATCAAGTGTATGCTGACAGTACTGGAAATAGCTAAGAAGTAACGCATATTGGCTGCACAATTCCACAAGACATGAATAGGAATGAATAAGCATAACATTCAGTAAAAGGTTCTGTGAGAAGTAAATAGCCCAATATTGGTCATGAAATAATCTACCGTCTCCGCAAGGCTTCTGATGACTCGTTTCTCATCACAGCCATGATTAGCTTGTGCAAAATGGAGTGACAAGCACCATTCGGCAGTTGTTTTACCATAATGATATCCAGACATGTGATACTATCAGAATTCAAGCCACCAGGGCAGAGAAATCTTTCGTCGCGTAGTTTAGCCATGCATGTAAGTGCAACCTAGAAAAGTTTGCGAGACACATTCAGCCATTGCAGGTACCAAAATTCATCAGCAAGATGTCAAAGCGAGGTAAAGCTTATGATAAAAATGAATAAATCAAAATCCAGACCTGACTTAGCACAAATGCCATCTTCAATGAACAGTCTGGAGAAGCAGATGCAGTCAGAGAGGCATCAAGAACCCTGTCGAAGAAAGGGAAAGTAATTATACAGATTCCAAGAGAGGAAACAAGTCCTCAATGCAGGGAGTACTCACTGGTACAAAATTTCAGAACGGTTTTCAAGGGTGGATATTCGTCTGGAGGCAGAGACCTATACAAAGAAAATTTACCAAGTTTCAGCATAAGGTAGCAAAACACAAGTAAACCGAAAACACACGCCTAGCAAGGCAAGGGTGGACCTCAACAACATGTGACCACCCAGTTAACATGTGCAGTTGTGCAGCTTGTTCCTCAAGGTTTTTATTGTACTTCCATCCCCACCTCAGCAAATGTTGGATTGTCTCTCTTACATCCTCAAACTCAGCTTCATTACCAAGGTTACCCAAATGGGGGTATGCAGCATTGAATTTCTGCAAAATGTTGAATAAATAGGAATAGTGTCACCGTATCAAGAAGCAGATTATTGAGACAAGAAACAAATCTCACACTGACTAAATTAGTATAAAACTAACCAGCCAGAGCTTGTCTCGGAAGGAGGCCAAGTCAATAAGACGATCACCACGCTCAGAATAATAGTAGACCCCACCTTTCACAGAAGTTGTTGGATCTCCTAGTATGTCCTCTGCCTAACAAAACAATATCACATATGACAAGAAGCTCTTCACAGGATAAAATAACAGGACCAACCAGTAAGGACCAGAAACTTACCAGTAAAGCATACTTCGCATTAGAAATAACTTGTGAAAGCCTCACCGTAGCATCTGGAGACCGGAACTGAATGACCTCAAGCAACTCCAACAACTGAATATGTTGCAGAATCCATTAGATCATTTTCATTTTTAAAAAGCAACAGAAAGCATGTTAGCTTATAAAAATGTCCGATCTGAGGGTCATAAATATATTGTCATCCAATGCAATTCACCATTCTAACATGAAATGCTATCTTCAGCTGTATTTTGCAAAAAGATCATATGTGCGTGTAATAATTAGAGTAAAGCTTGACAACTCGATTCTCAGGCAATACTGAGCAAAGGAAGTAAGTTGAAGCTGTTTATTGCCTATTCTACAACAAATCAGTCTTCTTGGTTTCTCTTACCAAGGGCAGTCTTCTCAATGACAAATAAATGTGATAATTTATGAGCATGTCATTAACACCACCAGGCTAGGTGCATGTAAACCTACTGTAGTAATAAATAAATAAACTAATATTAGCAGAGATGCTGTGCAAGAGACAAGTAAGCATCACTGTTGTGCTTTAGTTAGTAAAGGAAGAACTGTAACTGTAGTAGTTCATCAACAACAGCTACCAGGTGATTTAAACCCAACCAATCTGATAATTACGATTGCATATGCAACTACTCGAATATGATTCTACCAAAAAAAAAAACTACTCGAATATGAAGAATAAAATTTCACAACATACCACCATGAAATAGACTGAACAACCTAAGTTCTAAAGTACTGTGTCAAACTGGTTGACTGAAGGTACCAAATATATGACATATCACAAACTTTCTTGCAACTCGTTGACAAAGTAAGTAATCAACAAAGAAAACAAGTGAACTAGACCACATTGGCAATACCTTACTCTTGCTCATTGTCTGGTTTCCACTATGTTCAATCCCACCGCGGAGAAAGGAGTCAAAAGTGGTATGATCAGCCCCGATCTCAATCATGTCTCCCCCAAAAATATGAGCTAGTATGCTCTGACATGCTTCTCGATGACTGTGGACATCCAAATAACCAGAATGCAATTCTATGGCTAGAAGCTTCAACAGCCAAGCTCTCTGCAAATATAAAAGGACGATGAAAGGAATTAAAACAAGACCCCTGAATCCAAATCAGTCGAAAGTTCGATGATATGTACACATATTGCTCGAATATACAGAGAGGGAGCACTCGACCACCAGAGAATATAAGAAACAATAGTTTATGCAGGTGTCCTTGTCATTAACAACACATGTAAAAACAAGATCCTCTGGTGATTGTTGTGTTCAAATATTCCAATTTGAACTTAAATGCAACAACTTCACTATGAAAAAATAACTAAGAACACTGGAGAGGGTGTATCATCTTCAAGCTCCTGCACAAACTCAAGGAAATCAAATCCGAGGAGCAAGGCAGGTTACTAATGTCGTCTTCATACTGATAATGTATAGTTTCTTTATCCAAATCCTATATCCAAATCCTACAACTCTTATTTGGGAACAAGTGTAGCTAAAAAGAGTAATATAAAATAAATTGACAGAAAGAATAGCCTTCATCAAATCACAAAAGGTGTAACTGAGAAATACACAGGGTGATAAAACACCTTTCTACAAGTCACAGCGTGTGACATAAAAGACACGTCACGCTCATGATACTGAACTAACAATTATCCTATCTCACCAAAGCCAACACCCGAATACAAAGAAGGTGGAAGCACAAGCTATCTAAAGCATAAAGATATAAGACTATGCCAAGCAGAACAAAGCAGTAATAGAATAGATAGATAGATGATAAGAAACCTGGTGGAGAGAGCTGATGCGTAGTGGCTGGCTGTTATTTCGTTTTGGCAGCGGAGCAACCCCAATCGTATCCAGGTGCTGCAAGGAGCAAGACACACTCAGAAACATAAGTAAACAAATGAAGTTCCTTCGGAAAGAAGTGCAACAAATAACATGTGGATAATAAAAGTGGCTGTCAAGATCTTTGATTCAGACTCCGTCAATACCTGAATAAAGAACTGATACTTTTTGTTGCTGAGCAAATCCATAACAGGCCCGCATGTTAATGCATCTGAACACAACTCATAAAGCAGCTGCACCAGAATACAGTTAGACAAATCCCACGCTGTAAACATTAGAAATCCAGTGTATAGGTTCACAATAAATCACACAATGACAAGAAAACGAAAGAAGGCAGTAGCAACCTGGAAACCAAATTCATGAAGTAAAGCATTTATTTCTGGCTTCGCTAGATTCTCCAAGATTTCAAGAGTAACCTTCAAGCAACTGCAAAATGACAACAATGTACTCAAAAATGGTAAGAAACATAATAGCAAAAGCAATCAAAATCTCTTTTAGCTAACTTGCAAAACAAGTACCTGTAGTGAAACTTTGGTTGAAGAGCTGTCCGTTCAACTGAGCCATCAACATCAAACTTAAGAAGCAGATGTGTGATATTTGGAGCAGGCCGACCAATATTATCTATCAAAAGCTGGAGAGTTTCATATTAGATTCTGATTTCTGAGAATACATTGGCGGCTTACATGTTTTTGTGGTAGGAACTCACCTGCATTATAAGGACCCCAGGATCATCGGCACTGTTTTCTATTAGCTGGCACTCTTCAGACCGTAACTCAAGGCAAGCTGCATAATCCTCGGCCAAAGAAGCTGCTGCATTGGACTTTAACAGTAGTTGCACAAGCCCTACCATTCGAGAACTGCCCAATAAAATTATAGCACATGAAATTCATAAGAAAAAAGCAACAGAAACAGAAACGGGTGTAAACCAACTTTTGAAAAACAATAAAGGTTCCAGAGAGAGCTGAGCATACCTAATAATACTCATTATCTTTATAGAGCACTGTTGAATTTGTGGAAGAAAATCATATCTGACATACTCGAGCAGTGTAATGATTTGATTGTGATCTTGGGATAGTATAATATCCAAAGGCTGCAAAAGATTATTAAACAACCGACAATCAACTGGAGTGCCCAGAGAAGTTTTACCATATTAATAAAAAAAAAGTTTCAGATAGAGTTACACTAATGAGAGGAAGACTGTTGCAACATGCACCTAGAGCTCTCATATAAGCCAATGTACGAGAAGAGATGGTTGGTTGCATCTGATTTCTTTACTTTTACTAATAAATAATGTTATTTTCCTTCTTATAGCTGCAGGCGCTTTATGTTCTCAACTTCTCATGGAATGTAGAGTTTTGCAACCTATAAAACCTTCGAATATCCTTTGCCTTTCTTTTTACCTCTATTTTGGTAAATTACTTTGATCAAATACAGAAGGAATAAATCACGGAGGCAAGGGAATAATTGAAATACATCTTTTAGTGAAGTGAATTAACAAATAAAGGAACGAACAAGTGAAAGAATACCAGCAAGACAAAGATTGAGAAATTAGATTGTAGTAAAAGTTCACTAATCTTCAATGACTAAAGCTAAAGCACATTAAGGAATGCTCCAAAAGACTTCAAGCATGAAATAATGACAATTTAAGTTGATGTAAAGTGGGAAGACCATACATAGTATCAAACTACACACTAAGCAAGCTGCTTCATAAGGTGTGTCAACTTTGAGATTTACCTGGTACAGTGGACGCCAGTAATCAGAAACAAGCAAGTCCCTTTCCAAGATGAGAATTATAATTTCTAAAGATAATCGGACAGCTTTTTCCACGAGTTGTCCATGTATTTGACTAGTCCGTTCACTGATGATTGAGTTGACTCCTGGCATAAGGATGCCCATGATGTTTCGGAAAACAGTCTTGCCACTCATGAAATCCTGCCAAACGAAGAAAGCTACACTAAGAGACACTTCACCTATAGCGACACATTCAAAGAAGGTACTGAGGCAAAACATCCTCTAATGAACACTACAGCATGATGCACAACCAGCTGACCGAACATATACAAGTAAGATAATGGTAAGCATACAAGTTGCTAGCAGGTCCAAATAACAGAGTAAGCATGATTCTCCATGAATAGTAAACTTAAACCCCAAAGATATTAGCGAATGTGTTGTTGATGCCCCACATGATATGGAACTGGAAAAGGAGAGCTACCTCGTTTTCAAATTCAAAGGAAGATGCTAGCATGAAAACAGAAGGGAAGAGAAAAAGACAATTGGAGAGTTACCTTCAGCAACTCCAAGACAGGAAGCTGCATCTGTAGCTGAGACACTTGTGCTACTGTCGATAGCTGAGACTGACTAACAACACTATCAATGTCATCATCTTGAATATCATACATGCTCAGCATCCTGCAGAAGAAACCAAGCAGACACATATTACAAGTAGCTTGAGACTGCAAGAAGATCTGAAATTAACGTAGTCATTCAGTTGCCAGAAAGCTGCAACCAGAAACCATAAGTTATTCGGCACTGCAACCAAGTTTGCGAATGATGAGTCCACTGCCATATAAACTTACTAAGAAGAATTGAAAATACATGAGGAAGAAAGCGAATGCAATTCAATTCTATATAAGAAAATCAGGAACTATGGCTTTCTCAACTATGAAAAGTTTGGCATAGTTAAGCATGAATAAATTCGTTTGCTCACATATGGAAATGCTGTAGGCACGCAACCACCAATTGCCATTTTTCTAGAGGATCTGCATATGCTCTGAGAGGGAATGGTCCAAATACATGATCATATATGAACCGAAAGATGCCTATGAATCTGCACGAAAACCCCATGTTAATATATAATGGTGAGCAAACAAGTTGATAGCCAAAATAAGAGGAAAGGGGAAAATCTAGTACCTTCTCCCTCTATCAGTTGCATCCTTTTCCTCGGCAATAAGAGTATTTAGCAGGTTAAGGAATGAAATAGTTGAAGGATATCTTTCTCTCCTCGCTTCCACCTCGTTCAGTTCATATTGCATGTCATAAACCTGCCAAAAGTCAAATTTTGCAATCATTTACTGCTATTTGTTACAAGTGTTTATTTTAAATTAGCCTGATGTTGGCCAAAAGAATTAGCCTTGATGTCTTGAAACAAACCAAAATCCTGATTTCACTCCAAGCTCAAACCACACCCTGCACTACCTCCTAATCCAACAGGTCCCATTGTATAACATGCAGTATTCACAAAAAATACCTGAAACATGTAATAAATACACCTAACTAGATGACAATCTCTCAGACAAATACAAAGGCCAGTAACCAACCTGAAGTATCATATAAATTAAGCTCATAAAGAGAGCATGAGGAATAAAAAATTGCACCAAGACAAACCTGTGCTCCCGTTCCACTATTCCCGCCTAGAACCACTGGTAAATCATACTGCTCCAGGTAACGCCATATAGAATCTTTTAAGACAGGAGACACACGTACAAAAGTCGTGATGGCATCTCGCAGAGCACCCTGTAAGGAAATAGCTTCCCAAATTTTAAAAAGGTGGATAATAAGGGTATCCATAGCGAAACCCCTTGGCCATCCAGCACTATCATTCAAGCTAAATAGTTCAAACCAGTTTTTACCTTCAAATACGGTGGCACATTTTCATAACTGAGGAGCTTGAATAGTGGTTCAATCTCAGGAAACCAGTCCTTTCTTTCAGTGGGAGGTCCATGTTCTATAACCTACAGAATAGTGAAGCTCACATGAAGAAAAACTATTCATAAACCAGATTATGGACAGAACAAAGAAGACCTTATCCATTTGGAATATATGATGACCCAGAAGTGTGAGTTTCCCAGGTAAAACAGAAGAATGCTGAAATCCTACAATGCAATACATATGAAGAAGCATCCTTCATCCTATTAATGTGGATGCAATATATCAGCACCATTATGATATATTAGCATAACAACATGCAGACAATGCAAAAACTAATAGCTACAAACAAGGAATGGCATCCAAATAAAGTTGCAGCAGCATTTCTCCTTGCAATGCACTTCAGAAACAAAAACAAGAACTAAGAAATTCTGAAACCACAGGAAAACCAGTTAAGAATCAATTTTAACAGCAAAGTCTAGACTCTGTGCTTGATATTCTCTAACTGACAGTGGAGCAAGCACTTCCAATAGCATGTGAAAAGTTATACAGAAAACGGAGTTGAAACTCAAAGCACAAATTAAATAGTCACCTTCTGAAGAACATTCAAATATGCAACAAGTGCTTTAGCATCTCCCTCTGGAAATTCTGGTAACATAGCTCCAGCAGTCTGAAGGGTTTGCTTGAACTTCTCATCATATATAGTCAAGGAATCAAACAAAGTGCTCCACCCAACAGAGCGGAATGCTTTGCCTTGAAGTAGCTCGTAAACTTTTGCAGCGCCTTCATGACTTGACGCCTGAAACAGATGATCCATTGAGAGGGAAACTTTTGAAATTCAATCAATAGACCTGAAACAAAAATGACTTACCAAAGTACCAAGCATATTCAAGAAAGCCACTAGTGTTTGAAAATTAGAATGATCCTCTCCAGCAAAATTCACAAATGTCCATATCACGTCATTACCAGACAACAGCTCTGGCTCCTTCTGCAAATAGGACAGAAAATGTATGACAAATCATGAAGGGCAAAACTGATTAAACATATCATCTAGAGCAGTCTGCATCTGAATTAATTGGTGCTTCTTGGAAATTGTAACTCTTGACATTGGCCTAAGCAAATAATCAATATGTTCTCTGAACCAAGGTAAAATCTCCAATTCCTTCGTCTCTCAAAAAGCCCTCAAGAGATATACAACAAACCTGATATATTTCACTGACAAGCTCCAGCAGAGATACAAATGGCACATTCCTAGATTCAATGGATGCTTGAGACAGATAGCTCCCATCATGTGACAAACCATGTGAGGCAGCCACACGATATGAATTAAGCAAACTCATTGCTTTGTCCTTTGACTCTTTGACCTACATATACACTCAGAAAGTAGTCAATGAAACTAATAAACAACGAGTTGGTCGCTGAATTACACAACTGCACTAACAAAACTGCACCCTCTATGTCAATAAATTCATTCCAATGAGAACCAAAGGAAAGACAAAGCAGCCAGGCTTACCTTGTCCCTGGCAAGAGGATGCGATAAGAAACAAGTGATCAGCTTGTGGAGGTATGCATTGTACATATAAACCACATCCTCGTCATCATTCTGCAGAAATGATGACAAACAGGGACCAACTCAGATTTTTTAAGTTGCTTTCTACAAAATAAATGGACGATAGATGGAGAATGAAATCTAGAAGTGCAAGATGAAGATCTGAAATAAAAAATAGTCGATGCCATATTTTCATAAGCAATCTGATCACAGAACAAAGACAAATTATCTCAGACACACCCATTAAGTAGGAAGGCCTTCCTGGAAAAATTAACAGAAAAAGAAAAACAAGGATGGGTCATGAAAGAAAACTGTGTTTCATGGGTAACTACAGGGTCAAAAGAAAAGCACATCGAAAAAGAGATAAAAGTGATTCCTTGACTGTCCAGACTGAAGATAAATAATGAGAACACTCAAAAGTAGTGAAGGCAGAAAAAAGAAATGCAGCACCGCACAAACCTGGTAGGCTGCAGTTCGAAGGATGTTTTCAGTTAAGAACTGGAAAACATTGTTTGCGAAAATAGAGTCCATGCACGAATTCAGATATCCTAAATCATTTGATGAATGAACTGAAGCTCCCTCCTTCTGAGAACTCCCATCAAGCACTAACATCAAATGCACAGACCATGCAAGCCGTACACCCCCTATAAAGCCCTCCATCTTTAGATCACTGCCTGAGGACATCACCTGGAAATTCAATCAAAAAGACTTTCAGATGACCAACTAAACGTCCATCGGTAGAGCTTTACTTTGAAATACATAGCTTGTCTTACTGTTTCATGAAATTCTTTCCTAAATGTGGCATCACGAGCCAGAACTGGTGCCATTTCAGAGACTGCACTAAGGGCATCTGATACAAATGCAATGACAAGGCTGAAGAAAAGACTGAATGATATCTGCAGTGAAGGAAGATAGAAGATTATGTTAAACCAATTACAGCCTAGTTCCGATATATGAGATCAAATTCCAAGAGTAGTATATACTTATAGAAAAACAGTGAAACTAACTTTTAGCTACATTTAATTATACAGGCAAACTTCAGTCGTGCAGGGTACATGTGCAATGAGCTTGTAAAAAAAAGATCTCCAAACAGCTATAAACCGTGCAAACAGAATCCACTTTTCAGAAGCAATGAGAAAGAGAGGCCAACCTGGCGTTTCAATGTGCTACTGTCCTCTGTAAGTTCAACAGTGCTATCTTTATAAATCTGAAAGATATCCTTGACATCTTTTGAACCTGAAAATAAGTGAACCATAAGAGCTTGTGCTTTACTAAACTTTTCCTTGCCAATCTGCCAAGTATTGGAACTTTGACAACTACAGTTGGATCCATCATCATACTGAAAATACCACACCAAAAAATTTACAGTGGTATTTCTACTCTCAATGACCAGGTAAATTTTAAGAGGCGAAAATACTCAACTTGGTTGGCATAACAAGGATTGTAGAATATAGCAGGGCTATGGAGACTCAATATATTTCAACAATAACAGCAAGAAGACAAGATTCCTACACCTTTCAAGTTCAAACAGCCACACAGGGAAATGCATCATCACAACTTAACCACACATGAAAGATCAAAGAAAGAAAAAATGGATAGAAAAAGAAAAAACTAAAAATTATGACAATAACAATATTAAAGCTTACCTATCCTAACGACCAGAAGTGAAAGGACAAGGCAGTGTCCCAGGACCAGCCTCTCCCTACAAACAACCGATCGCCGCTCAACAAGGGCACCTCTAGAATCAAGAACATATGGCTCACTGAGAGGTCCACCTAAACCAGCTGGTTCTTCACGATTAAGTTCCTAATAGCAGGTGAACTTCACTTTGAGTAAAGATGTTTTGCATATGGTTAGTCATATAATTTCAAACTACAGGTAGAAAGGTACAACTCTCTTCAGATTAATCAGTCATGAACTACAGTAAAGAAAATATCTCATAATGATTTCAAAAGACACTGTTGCCAGAAAAACCACTCATTAAGACAGAAAATAAGATCCTGCAGACACTGAAAGCTAAGTAGAAACACTCTATGTGAACAATGTGACTTCCCCAAGAGACATAAATCCAAGATACAAACTTTCCAAACAGATGACCATGTTACCAACTTTCCAAACAGATTCAGAGAAAGAAGTTGGGACATGTCCATTCCATGGTTCAAGCCCATTAGTCGGGACGGATTGACAACTCCAGCAAGAGAATCCACTCAGAAAAAAGAACATTCCAGCCAGTTATAGAATCCTAAGTGTGCTACCCAATATGTGGAAAGACAGGGCTGCCTTAACCTTTACATGCACAGTTTGGGGACGCGGCAGAACAAACAAATCACGGGAGAATGTAGTAAATGATGGTAGACTAAGAAATACACTAATCCTATCAGGTTAAGAAGCCCCTTGCCCATAAGAGAGGTCATCTAGTAGAGATAAGCAGACAAGGTTCGACTTTTGTTAAGGACAAACCTAGTCACATTTTATTTAGTTTCTTCGAACTCAACAAGCATGGCTTACAGCAACATAATATAAAAATCAAGATGGCAATAAGAACACACTGAAAGCATGGCTATGATTATGTGCCTAGGGAAGCAAAAACATGGCAAAGACAACTTGATGTTTCAAACCTTTATTAGAGAAATCAACCGCTGCCTAAGACCACCATTGATCAGATCTTCTAAATGTTTTTGAATCTCCGACAGAAGTTCTGCTGGAAGACCCTGATCAAGAACAACAGCCTGCAAAAGAGAGAGGCCAGGAAAAATTAGTTTCTTGGAAATCACAGCGCGCTGCCGAAAGGACTTGAAGTAGACAAAAAGAAAGATACCCTAAACAGTGTATAGAGTGCTGTTAGTAGATCTCGTCTCTCAGTATACCAAAGTCCAGCTGCAAGGCGAAATATTTCTGATGGCTCTCGTCCAATCAAACCCCACTACAGGTAGAAGAAATAAACATCAACATGACAAAGGCATACAACCTGCACTCTTTGTAATAGCAGCAAGGAAAAAAGAAAGCAACAAGATAGCAAATTGAGAAATGCGGATAATAACAGACCTCTTGATTGGCAGATACAATCAATTGAACAGCGTCTATCTCATTCAAATGGAGATCATCACTCAACTTCAAGGCCTACAGTACAACACACAGCTGAATATCAAGTATCCAAAGCAAAATGCACATGATCGAAAAGGCTTATCTGCACTTGCTTGAAAAAGCCATCAAACACAGAATGAAAATTCAAGCAGAGGATGAAATAAATATTCCAAAATCACAAAAGATCCAGAAACACTTGTTGATGTACAGTAACTAGAAATAAAACTTCCAAACCGATACTGCATTTTAGAACTTCAGTGGCAGATATCACACACAACATTTAACTTTCAAATCCCACTGGATCTCTGAAATACATTAGGCAGGTCCATTAACCAAATATGCAAATCTGCTGCAATAACGCCATTGAAAGAAATTGGATCCTCTCTGGCTTACTGTAAGTAACTACCTAGAACAAGCACAGCTGAACCGGAAAGAGAACTTTCCAGGAAACCAATCAAAAAGCGAGAGAGGCTCACAATTTGCACGTCCTGGTCATCTAGTGAAATTGGTGGTGAATCCGGCAGCCTAACTTCCTTGGACTGAACTTGCGCACGGTCAGACTGCTTCGGAGGCTACAGAAAGGGGAAAGCAGTGTAACTTTAGAGCTCGAAGGAATAACAGGATTCGAAACTACTCCAGAACTACGCAAGACTGTAACCCATTGAGTTAGAGAGGGGAAGTACAGGATAGTTGAGGAGGGACTTCAAGGAAGGCAGAGATGCGCGTATGGCATGGAGGAGTTCGATCCTCTGAGCCGGTGACGGAGGCGAAGGAGCGAGCAGAGTGACTTCGATAGTGGAGAGTAGCTGCTTCGCGGAAACCATTGCGGAGGATGGTCGGGGAATGCTGGGAGTTCAGGTGAAACCCTAACGAAATAGAGGAGAAGGGAGAATTGTCATGGAAGAGAAGCAAGCAAGGTGAGCGGGAAATTTGCAGACGAGCTTTTAGTTTCTGATTCTGTAAAACCCTAACAAAATGAAGGCGGTATTTACATAAATGGTCACTCAAGTATGGAAAATGTAACAAGTTAGTCACTAACTACGAAATATAACGAAATTGTCATTTTGGTTTGTCAATTCGTGACAAATTGGTCACTTCATCTAACTCCGTCCAATTTTTCATTAACTCTGCATTTTCGCAAAGTCAACAAGGCATACCAACATCGTCAAGTTGCTTCGTTGGCCCCAAACTTGATCTCACGGTTACGCAATTGAAACTCGTTAACCAAGAGACTTGTTTGATAAGGAATAGTCGAATCGAATCGATCACTACAAGAACCAATCACTCACCCCTCCACAATCGCGACCACCTCTTAATTTGCGTTCTCGCTTGCCCTTTATTTCTCCAAAAAACAAATCTTCTTACGTTTGGATTGGCTTAGTCTTTTTACGTTATGTTGAAACCTTTCACATCTCCTCATGCAATATAGGGAGAGATAGCTTAGTCCTTTGATACGCATCATATATTACAAGCACACGCCTTCACGCTCTCAAACTGGAATTCCCTAAGACGCATTCTATATAGGTTGGTCGCCCATTCTCGAGTAAGAATGTCCTTTTAGAAGTACATATGAATCTCAATACCATTAGCTTATGTACATATTCTCGAATACTAACTTGAGTATCGAAAAACTTGACTTGTAATCGACCGAATAAAACCGTTTTTGTACAAATTCATTGTTTTCAATAGTCAAAGCCTCCTAATCCTTAATAGTTCAAAGTTGGATCAAAACTGCAATGTATCATCAACTCTCATAAACTTAAAACTGTAATCACCTTCAAATTTCATGGCAACTAACAACATATATTCATTGTAAATGCTTCCACATTCCATGCATTATCCTAAATATATAACCATTTAGTACGATCGGCACCAAGATCCATTTCCAAAATAAACCATGCCAAATAAACTGCACGGCAATGGCTAATCCTGCAAAAACGAGAAACCCATCACCTGGCGACAGTTATTAGAAGCATCAACTTGACGAGAATGCTTATGGAACTAACAAGGTAACCGTCCGCCTGTTCTACATATTCCATGAAACCTTATAAATGGAATCAATCCCCCCTTCTACGTTGCCACCACTACGTAAACTCATAACAGAGGAAACAAACAGAATCAATGGAGCTCACCAACAGAACCATTGTGACCAGGAACTACATCGATGGTGCCCCAAAGGAGTCCGACTTCGAGGTGAGGTCCCGAGTCGTGTCCCTGTCGCGCGAGCCAGCTGGATCGGTCATCGTGAGGTCGCTCTACGTCTCGATAGACCCTTACCAGCTCACCCGCATGAAGAGCGACAGCTCCTCCCAGAGTTACAGCAGCTTGGCCACTGGCATTGCTCCCGGAGAGGTTAACGAAATTTAAAACTGTCACGTGCTCTGTGTTCGAATCCTGATAACCTCACAACTGACGCGTTACATTGGCTTATATTTTTCTTTTGTGTAGGAGGTTGATTGTTATGGAGTTGGCAAAGTTGTGGCTTCAGGGGACCCTGAATTTGAGGAAGGTGACTTGGTGGGTGGACTTCTGGCATGGGGAGAGTACTGTGTCTTGAAGCCTGGAGCCATGTTCAGGAAACTTGACCCTATGGGGTTCCCTCTGTCACACCATGTTGGTGCTTTAGGTACATTATTACAGAACATCCCCCATGCTCGCGAGTAATCGGTCTAAGTTCGAGTTTCGAGTAAGGTAAGATCGCGCAAGAACGATCGAAATTTGTTTCTTTCTTTTTCCAGCATTCAGCGGGCTGACAGCATACGCGGGGCTGTTCGAGGTGGGGAAGGCCAAGAAAGGGGAGAAGGTGTTCGTCTCCGCGGCTTCTGGTTCTGTTGGACATTTGGTTGGGCAGTTTGCTAAGCTCCATGGCTGCTATGTGGTTGGCAGTGCAGGCAGCAAAGCAAAAGTATGAATCTTCACTCTTCACTCTCTACTCTCTAGCTTTCTGCAGTTTTCTTGAGTCTTAAGTAACCGCTTTGGCTGTGATCACACAGGTGGAGTTGATGAAAGAAAAGCTGGGTTTTGATGATGCATTCAACTACAAGGAGGAACCCGACCTCAAGGCAACTCTCAAGAAGTGAGTTTGACATCCTCTGTCACGTACCAATTGATCTCAATAACTCGAGTTGTGTTCGATTATTCGTACTAACGGTCCAACGACAGGTATTTTCCGGAGGGGATCGATGTGTACTTCGACAACGTAGGAGGCGAGATGCTGGAGGCAGCAGTCGACAACATGAACGCATTTGGCAGGGTGGCAGTCTGCGGTGTGATCTCCGAGTACACGGGCAAGGGACGAAAGGCGGCTCCCGACATGATGGATGTCATCTTCAGGAGGATAACGATCAGAGGGTTTCTAGCAGCTGATTTCATGTGTGTTTTCCCTGATTTCATGTCTGCAGCCTGTGAGCACCTGGGATCAGGGAAGATGGTGTCGCTTGAGGACATCTCCATTGGGTTGGACAGCATTCCTTCAGCATTTGTGGGTCTTTTTGATGGTGGAAATCTCGGCAAGAAGATTGTTCAAATCGCAGCAGAGTGATGGTTCTTCACAAAAAAGCATTTGTTCTCTTTAGGTTTCAAAACGGTTTGGTCTTCTTGTTAAGGATGTTGTTTATGTGTTCAACTTATGGATTTTGTGGGAGCCCTAAGCCTGGTAATTAGGCATCTTAGTTCCATCATTTGCATTGTACGTTATTCGTGACCAAAACTGCAAAGTGTACCGTGTCACGTCACAAATAATAAAGTCGGTAAGATTATTATTCCATTGAAATTAGGATAACGGTTTAGATTTCTACTCCATGCATGCCACCCTGCCCCCCACTAGTTCTAGAACCTAGCAACGAGGTTTTGCTATGTCTTATTATCGACGTTGATGTCAACAACCATAGTACACCTCGATGATTGAGATTATCAATCGCAAGTTATGAATAACAATGTCATATGCTTTCGTCAACAAACAAGGTGAACCTGAATTTCTAACCACAAATCATCTACGACGACGTCTTGACGTCGTCAACAATGAGGAACACACTCGCCCGTCGTGACAGCAAACTCTAGCACTTCCAACTCAAGTTGCCTCATCTACCATGGTCAATCTTTGGTCATTCAAGGCTACTTAATGTGCTAAGCCAAACCTAAACCATCAAACATTGTTGTAATTGGGTCCCATGACTAATTGAAAAAGTACCCAAAAAAAATACCATCCACAACTAAAATATGTACTTTGATCGGCACCACGATCCACTGCCAAAACGACTGCTTGAAGTAACAAAACGAGGAAACAACCACTACAAGAAAACAGGACAAAAACCCGGACGGAAGAATCTATGGAGCCACGAAGGTCATTTTCCAGTTTTGTCACCACGTGAATGAATTGCTTGCTTCGGCCGGCCAAAAACTGTAACCCTCCACCAGCCGAATCTCCACCTTCCCCATCCGCCATTTGATTCCCCCACTTCCCCTGTTTTGTCGACCACACACACACCGCTCTCCCTCTACAAATACTGCTGTCCTTGGAAAACAGAGCATATCACTTATTGAGCCCAGGAAGAAACAGAGGAAGAAACAGAGTGAAGGGAAAAAAGAGAGGAGAGGGATCGAAAATGGAAGTTATCATGACGAACAGGATCGTTGTGACCAAGACCCACATCGACGGCGCCCCTAAAGAGACGGACTTTGAGGTCAAATCCCAAGTTCTGGCTCAGTCGGCCCAGCCGGCCGGCTCCGTCATCGTCAAGAACTTGTACGTGTCGGTGGACCCTTACCAGCTCAACCGCATGAAGAGCGACAGCTCCTCTCAGAGCTACAGCTTCTTGGCCGCCGGCATTGGTCCTGGAGAGGTACAGTTAAGCTAATTACTCTATCTTGAACACCAAGAAATTGATTCTCTTTGGAAACTCCGAGCTGGAAGAAGTTTGAATTTTGGTAAATTGGTGATATAGGATTCAGTTTTTGCTGGTGGGTCTCTCTAAAACAAATTCGAGTTATTGAAGTGTGGGCTCTAAAACAATTCGAGTTATTGAAATCTGGGTTTGCAAAAAAGATGAATTCTTGCATCATTTCCAACAACTTGGAGTTACTTAGATCCATGGACATGGAAATGATGTTACATTTTGATCTGTTTTATCTCTAGGAAATCGATTGTTATGGAGTTGGCAAGGTTGTGGCTTCAGGGAACCCTGAGTTTCAGGAAGGTGACTTGGTGGCAGGATTACTGACATGGGGAGAATACAGTGTGTTGAAGCCAGGATCCATGTTCAGGAAATTGGACGCCATGGGATTCCCTCTGTCGAACCACATAGGAGCTTTAGGTATATATTTATCACATTGACCCTCCTGACCATTCATTTCGAAGTAAGGAAAACCACGTAAATCTGAGTGTTATGTTGTGGGATTATCATTCGGACTCTTTCCTATCTCTGCAGCATTCAGTGGTCTGACTGCGTACGCAGGGCTGTTCGAGGTGGGGAAGGCCAAGAAAGGGGATAGAGTGTTCGTCTCAACAGCTTCTGGTTCAGTTGGACATTTGGTTGGGCAGTTTGCTAAGCTCCATGGCTGCTATGTGGTTGGCAGTGCTGGGAGCAAAGCTAAAGTATGGATCTTCAGTCTTCAGTCTTCACTCTCTTACTCTTTAGCTTTCTGCAGTTTCCTAGAGTCTTAAGTAACAACTTTGGCCATGATCACAGGTGGAATTGCTGAAAGAAAAACTGGGTTTTGATGATGCATTCAACTACAAGGATGCAACTGACCTCAGGGCAACTCTGAAGAAGTGAGTTTGGCACTTTTTAGATGATGCATTTGAGACTCAAAATACAGTTTCTAACACGGTAACACATATCAAACATGTCAAACATAAAGCGATACGTTTGTTAACTTGCAATTAAATAACGGTAGGTATTTTCCGGATGGGATCGACGTGTACTTCGACAACGTAGGCGGAGAGATGCTGGAGGCAGCAATCGACAACATGAACGCATTCGGCAGGGTAGCAGTCTGCGGTGTGATCTCCGAGTACACGGGCACCGGAAGAAGGGCTGCTCCCAACATGGTGGATGTAATCTACAAGAGATTGACAATCAGAGGGTTCCTAGCAAACGATTTCATGCCCGTCTTCCCCGAGTTCATCTCGAAAGCCTGCGAGCACATGGGTTCGGGGAAGATGGTGTCCATTGAAGACATCTCCGTTGGGTTAGACAGCATTCCTTCTGCATTTGTCGATCTCTTCACTGGCGGTAATGTGGGGAAGAAGATTGTCCAGATTGCACAAGAGTGACTAAACTTCTAGCATGGCCAGGGGAAGAAAGGAATCCCTTCTTTTACCAAAATCCATTTTGATATGGTTTTTCCAAGTACGGGTTACTAAAAGTCTGAGGTTATCTTTATTATGGCCCATACCCAATGTGGGAGGAATGAGACTGAGTTTTGGGCAGATAGGCCCCCTATCTGTATTGTAAATCAGCTCATTTCTGATACCTGTAATATTTCGCATTAATGAAATAATACAGGTCTTTACAATAAAATAAAAAAGTCCAAGATTATCAACCTTCTGATCTCATTTCTTCACCCTAAAATTCTACATACCGTCATTCTTTGGTCTAATGTCTAAGCACATATGAAACACCACCAAAAGGTTGTGCATCCCAAACCAATCACCCTCCCAAGTTGAATGTCTAGTGTCTAGATAACTGAATCTCCTATAACCAGTCACCTGCAACCACACAGACACCTGCAAGGCTGCAACACAGAGGGACATTAGTTATAGGAGAAGTAGTGTGTTCGAATCTCCACGATCGCCAATACTAACAGTTGATCTAAGCAAAATATAGGAGTGAATCTGTGCAAACTTCAATATTGTGAGTTGGCTTTCGATTGAAAAGGCTTGGTGACTTGAGCATACCCTAAACCAATCACCCTCCCAATTCAATTTTTTTTCCCTGGAAGGCTAAAGTCCTTGTTGACTACGACAACGACCGCGACTATAAACAAACTCACGACTATGGCAGGACGATTCACTCTGCTCTCTCGTGACCCCTGCCTTAATCAAAATGCTAAAGGCTTCGACTGAAGATTCAATAGGAGAGCACTAAAATGAGAAAGGGTTTTAGACTCGCGACGTGAGGCGGAATAACATTCTAAAACAAAAGCGCACAAATAAAAGTGTTTTGAAAGGCGTCAACAAGTACGCAGAGTTGAACTCTAACATGTTTGCTTGGTAGGCTGAGTTTTTGCGTTAGATCACCTAAAAAAGCATATGCCCCTTAGGTCGCCAAACTATGACAAGAGTTTCATCTTTTAAAGTGCCAGACATGTATGGCTTAGGCCAAACCAAATCAGAAATGATTTGATAACTCAATGCTCAAATGAAGCATTCGAATTATTGGTATCAGATAGTTGGATGGTAAAAAAATCACAAATGATTTATTTAGTTTCGATTTCACCTTATTTAATCGAGTCAGATTATTGAGTGAATATTTTTACCACGGTATGGCTGGGTTATGTCTCCGGGGCCAGATGTCCATTCCATAAAGTTCTAGAAAGTAACGCTCAAGTTGTTGACAACCACAAGTCTTTTTTCTTGTTCTCCGATCAAATATCGTCGATGCTTTCTCCGCCGAACTTTTCAATCTCCCATTAAAGCATCCACATCAATGAAATCGCAAAACTTCTATATTGCCACCACAACCGTTTTTGTAATCCAACTCATGTTGATTTCATCAACATTGCACATACATGAATGCATCACTTGATTCACTTTGCCATTGCAATTAGTGAAACCTAACTCAGTTTTATAACAGTAGAAAACCCCACTTGTTCCCCATTTCTTCAAACCAATTTGACTTTCACATGCAATTGTTGTAAGATCGATGCAATTTCATTATTCCACCACCAATACTCCCTCGTTGACAATGCATTTCTTAATTTCCCCACATGTATCGATCCATTACACTCTTCCCTCTTTCTTTCCCTCTACAAAGTCTAAAACCCTTTTTAGTTGACTTTCCCGGTACAGAAACACGTCCTTCTGGTTTCCCCTGTAAAGAAACAGAGGAGAAAACAGAGTGAAGTAAAAAAAACAGGGGTGGATCCAATGGAACCGATCATGACCAACAGGATCGTTGTGGCCAAGACCCACATCGATGGTGCCCCGAAAGTGACCGACTTCGAGGTCAAGTCCCAAGTTCTGGCCCAGTCAGCCCAGCCAGCCGGCTCCATCGTCGTCAGGAACCTCTATGTGTCGATCGACCCTTACCAGCTCAACCGCTTGAAGAGCGACTGCTCCCGTCAGCGTTACAGCAAATTGACCCCAGCCATTGCTCCTGGAGAGGTACATTTGTAACTAATTACTTCATACTATCAACACCAAGAAATTGATTCTCTTTGAATGATGTTGCATCTTGTTTTGTTTTCCAATTCCAGGAAATTGATTGTTATGGAGTTGGGAAAGTTGTTGCTTCAGGGGACCCTGAGTATCAAGAGGGTGACTTGGTCGCAGGGCTACTGACATGGGGAGAGTACTGTGTGCTGAAACCAGCAGGATCCATGTTCAGGAAACTGGACACCATGGGACTCCCTTTGTCCTGCCATGTTGGAACTTTGGGTAACTTAAGAGAGTTAACAGCATATGGAAGCTTAGCTGTAAAACAACTTGGAAGTAGTAATGATGAATGACATCTCTGGTTTTGCTTGCCATTTTGCAGCATACAGTGGGATGACAGCGTAAGGAGAGAAAGTGTTTGTTTCTGCAGCTGCTGGTTCAGTTGGACACATAGCTGGGCAGTTGGCAAAGCTCCATGGCTGCTATGTAGTTGGCAGTGCTGGAAGTTTATCAGCTCTTCTCTCTCACAATTTACAACCATAATGTTTTTCATGATAAAGTTGAAAATTGAAAGGCTTCTTCATGTGTACCAGGTGGAATTGCTGAAAGGGAAGCTCGGTTTCGACGATGCATTTAACTACAAAGAAGAAGCAGATATCAAGGCGACTCTTAGAAAGTAGGTGACTTGTAGCGCAAGTATTGATCAGTTTGTGACTTTGTGTGCAATCAGCTTCACTGCTTCGTTAACTTTCTGTGTGTGGGGTGTGATTTTGATTTCCCACAGGCATTTCCCACACGGGATCGATGTATACTTCGACAGTGATGGTGGCGAGATGCTCGAAGCAGCAGTTGCCAACATGAACTTGTTTGGCAGAGTAGCTGCTTGTGGGCCGATTTCAGAGTATACGGGCAGTGGAAGAAAAGCTGCTCCTGATATGGTGGAAGTCATATACAGGAGAATCCAAATCCAGGGGTTTTTGTGTCCTGATTTCTTGAGTGTTCACTCAGATTTTATCTCTGCAACTTGTGATCATCTGAGGTCCGAGAAGATGGTCTCGGTCGAAGACATCTCGACCGGGTTGGAAAGCATACCTTCGTCGTTTGTCGGGCTTTTCCATGGCAGTAATATTGGGAAGACAATTGTGCAGATTGCAGTGGAGTGAATGACAAGAAACAAAGACCAAATTAGTAATATCTCTCTGGTCAAAAGAACCAATTAACTTAATGTTACTTTAGCTGTTGCATCCCGTGTGAGATGACATTTATCGGTGTGAGATACCGAACGAATGATGAAGCCAATTGGACTTGTCATGACTTTGTTGTTGTATCTCTATTATTATGCCTTAAATCGTTAGACTCGACGGATTTGATAGTTTCACAAATTCATGCATTTGACATATAATGCACACAGCTAAGAAGAATCCACCTAATACCTAGTGAGTTACAAAAACCTATATAAGTATAGAGATCCTAATCAGATGCAGTGCGACATACGAAAACCTTCAGCTGACAGAAGCCCTGAAATAAGATTCTTGACTCTTCGAGCTCCATTGCCAGGCTTAAGCTCGGTCGAGTTAGACTTGACATTTTTACTGAACCACCCACCATGGACAAACCCATCAGCACTTACCCCTAGTAACTCCGAATCAATCCTGTCAAGAACTGGATCGTTCTTCCCAAACTTCCTGGCGAAAGGTGCATTGCTGTCGACCATCCTCTGGTAATCTTCTACAGTGAGGAAATGAGGGTGCTGCTTAGGAGGGTTATCCCAAGAGATGAAGTGGAGATCATGATTCACTGTAGTGTTCTTGAACTCCTCTGCGTTGCAGATCACCGTGTGGAAGTAGCCCTCGGGCGACGAGAGGAAGTTTGCATAGTACATTAGTACGATCCTGGGGAGATTGTCCCATCCCCACAGGGAATACTCCATGAATGTGTCAGAAACACAATTATATATGGTTTCTATTATTATATTAGGTAGGATAATGATAACTATGGTTAGTAGAGATTTAGTCCAATTAGGTTATTCGTTAGGGTTTTCCAGTATTTCCTATATATATGTACTTTGGGTTTACGTCATAAGGAATGAAGAACAATATTAAGCAGAGTCTCCTAAACCCTAAACTCTCCTCTCAACTCCTAATTTCTATTCTCATCCTAGTCCAAGGCCTCGGCCGATTCCCAATTCTATTCTATCTCATCTAAATCCCTAATTCTTTCTCTCAAACCCTAAATCCCTAATTATCACGAGTGCCGAAGATCAGTATCGAGAATCCCTAGAAGCGTGGTTCTCACAGTGGTATCAGAGCCTGGTTACAGGCACTCGTACCAAAGCTCCGATTGCGAATATGAGTTTATCACAACTCTCAACCGGGGATGAGCGCATCTATGAAGACTTCGAGCCAAACATCTACAGACAGGAATTTCCACATCACATCAAACTATTCTTTTCCTTGCCTGGGTTCGAGGCTAAGCACCTAGATGTACAGAGAATTGAATCAAATGTGCTAACAATTACGGCAGCGCGTTCGTTGGGTTACGACTGCAGATGGATCCGTTTCGAAAAGCAAATCGAATTCGGAGAAATCTACAATGTTTCACAATGTCGCGCTAGCTTCAGAGAAGGCAGTTTCACCATCAAGGTTCCCAAAATCGTCATCTCGCAGGATACGAGGGAATCGTGGATCGAGGAAGAAGAAGTCGCCGCAGACGGTACGACCAGTATTGCTACTGACGTGATTCAATCTCTACCACCACCGCCTGTTTCAATCGACATCCAACCTGGGGACGTAGCGATTGAGAGCTCCGCTCCCAGCAATCCTCCCTTGGTCCCAGAGTCATCTGAACTGCGCGAAGGCGGGTCGGCGCAGGTGGAAGATGCGGACAAGAAGTCACCCCCGGATCGCGCTACCAACTGGCGATTCCGGAAGAAAGGAGTGGAGTTCGTTGCTGTGAGAGGGTTTGAAAGCCCAGTGACCAGCGACGCAACTTCTCGCCTCGGCTCACCAACGGCCTCGCCGACGGGTGAGACTCAAACTGCCCGGGGCGCGGAGGAGAAGTTGGCGGAATTCCGCGGCGGGGGCAATCAACGACGCATGGAGGAGGTGACAACCCAGCTGGCTAAATCGTGGGCATCGCAACCAGCAATGAGAGCACTGCAGTCGCCGATGGCGAGCAGGAATGCGGCGGAGCTGATGAGGGAGTTCGTGGGCTCGAGCTTGGCTCCGCGCCGCGGGGTTGAAGCCTTGCCAGAGAGGAGAATCGCGCGAAGGGAGCAGCGATGTGCGGCGGTTGGCTTTGTCATGGCAAAGTCGGAGAAGAAGCCTCCACCAGAAGACGAGTCGGAGTTGAAGACGAGGGCGGGGTCGGGTTGGCCTCTAGGCCATTGGCGGGATTGGCCGTCGCCGGAGGAAGAAACGGAGCGGACGGCGATCGAGGAAGAGGGCGGCGTTCTCCTTTCGCTCACCAACCCTAGGTCGAGAGAAGGGGATCCGCGCTGCGCGGCAGCTGAGCGCCTGTGGGGCCGAGAAAACATGGGCCGCGATGCTATTGTGGCCACAGATCGAGATGGGCTCATTTTCGGGCCAGAGCACGGACTTGTGTTTTCTTCACGTGGGCCATCGGTTTGGGCTGGGAATGGGATACGGCAAGGGCCAGACAAAAAAAAGATCAGTTGGTCTCTAGGAGGTATTGGGCCGAATTTGAAGCTTGGCCCTCGGTTGGGTTATGTGATTAAATCTCTTTTGTGTGGAGAAAATTTAGAAGGCAAGAAAGAAGATGACTTAGTTGGGTTAGCATTTGGGCTTTCAGAGGAGACAAGCCCAAACAAAGTTAAAGGTAAGGAGAGGCCTGACTTGGGTGTGGATCACAACTCATTCATCCAAACCAATGTGGGCCGACCCAAGGGACTGGAAAAGGAAGGTTGGAAAATGTTATGGGCTGTTTGCATCACCAAGTCCATGGAGAAATTTATGGAGCTATTCTTTGAAAATTTCAAGTTGGTGCGTGATGAGAAGCAAGACGAAGAACAATTCTCCGATTCTTATTTCGTGAATTTCGAAAAGGAAGAAGGAGAATTGTTCGGCTATGGAGAACGTGACATATGTCACGTGGGTGGAGGAGAGTCGATGAATGTTAGAGGTGCGCTAGAAGAGTTCATCCAAGGGATCGAGCGCAATTGGAAACGAAGGAAGCGGAAGGTCAAGGAGGTAAAAGTCAACTACAACCTTGAGGTCAAGGTTGTTCTCAAGGGGGATGGATTGTCAGAAACACAATTATATATGGTTTCTATTATTATATTAGGTAGGATAATGATAACTATGGTTAGTAGAGATTTAGTCCAATTAGGTTATTCGTTAGGGTTTTCCAGTATTTCCTATATATATGTACTTTGGGTTTACGTCATAAGGAATGAAGAACAATATTAAGCAGAGTCTCCTAAACCCTAAACTCTCCTCTCAACTCCTAATTTCTATTCTCATCCTAGTCCAAGGCCTCGGCCGATTCCCAATTCTATTCTATCTCATCTAAATCCCTAATTCTTTCTCTCAAACCCTAAATCCCTAATTATCACGAGTGCCGAAGATCAGTATCGAGAATCCCTAGAAGCGTGGTTCTCACAGAATGGACGAGAAAGCATCATCCAAGCAGAACCTGCAGCACATAGTATTCATGATTTAAAACTCCTACTGAACAAATATCCTTTAGACTGGTAATGTTTTGCAGTCATACTAACCTGTGAAGAGCCTATATGCAGTTGGGACACTCCTTTTCTCTGTGGCCCAGAAAACATCTGATTTCTGCAGGCTGTATAGCCCCGGATCGATTATCACCGGCCTAGCTCTCTGATCTCTGCAATCTCCAGATTAAAAGATGGACAATCAATCTCTTGAACAAAGCTGATAAGCAACATCATACTACATTATAATTATCTGCATTTCAAAAGCAGTAGGAGGAAAGATAAATGGCAAGACTTACTCCTTCCAGCCGATGTCACTAGTATGCTCGATAAAGTTGAGGTCCCGTGGGATAGAAGACAATGTGTGCAGCAAATCTGTCACAAGCCACATTAATCAATCCAGAGATTAAGTTCTAAACTGTCAGCAAGTGAAACTTTCAACTTACAAGGTTGGTACTGGTCAACAATTCAGCCTAATCAACTACAATTCAGTGACATTTTCAAGCCGAGACAAGCATCAGCCATATATAGTAAGAAAACCCTGGTTAACCAACATGATTGAGATAGCATAGCACATCCAAATCCAGAAACTATGAGCTAAAGCTAACATTCAGTCATTCACACTTCACCAAGAAACCCACTTGCCCTTAACAGAGAAACACTACCCAAATCCAAATGCAATCCTCTCATTAACCAACAAAAATTTCACAAGAATTGAGCAAAAAGATCACCAACTATGAACATTACCATCTTGAGTGACCAAAGGGTAATCAGAAGCACTCAGATTGATGAACCAGTCCCACTCCCCACCATCCCTCAACAGAATTGCAGCAGCGTGAAGCGTGTTACTGACCATGGTCGGACCTCGATAGGTAACCAAATTCGACCTAACCACCGCCTTCACATTACCCACTTCCTGGAAAACCTTCTCGCCTTCCTTAACCCACCTGATGAGCTCCAACCTCTCCTCCAACGGCGCCTCCAGGTCCAAATGCACGACGTACTGGTTCCTCGGATGGTACAGAGCCTTCAGCGCCCTCTTCAGATTCACCCCATCCCCGGCCGACCCAGATACCAGATAAGCGAGGCGAGGCAGTTTCCCGGCAAAAGTCTCCGTCTTGGCCAACTTCGATTCCGCATATCGCGGGGAGCTCTGGCCTTGCTGCTGCTGCCGCCGGCGAAAAAGCAGCTGGGTAGTCGAGGCCGAATCATTCCATCCGGAGGAGAAGGTCACTGTGAGGAGGATCAAAATTGTGGAGATTAGAAGCGAGGAAATCAGTAGGAGGAACCATTTTTGCTTCTTCTGCAGCTGCTGCTGCAACTTGGTGAAATTACCGGCGACGGTTTCCATTGCCAAGATGGGAGCTTTTTTGGGTGGAGAGGAAAACCCAAGTCAGGGAAAGAGGAGGAGAGAAAAAGAATCTTCAGTAATGGCGGTGGTGGGGTTGGGGGGGAAAGCAACGGTGGTGGTAGTGGGAGTAGCAATGGTGACCGTTACTGGAGGTATTTTTTTTTGTTACTGGAGGTAGACAGTGTGATTATGGAGACAGTGTTAGAGCTGCCATTGTGACAACCACACAGGGTGATTGGTTGGTAGGGAAAAGAAAAAGAGAGAAATGCGATGATGGAAGAAGCACTCATCATCACAAACAGAAGCATAGTTATCAAGACCCACATCAATGGCTTCCCAAAAGAGACGGACTTCGAACTGAAGTCCGAAGCTTTGTCCCTTAACGTCGAACCCGGTTCGGGTCACGTCATCGTGAAGAACCTCTACCTCTCGATCGACCCTGCCCAGCTCAACCGCATGAAGAGCTACAGCACTTCTCAATCTCATCACAGCATCCAAGCTGCTGCCGCCGCCATTGCTCCTGGCTCGGTATGATGCTTAGCTAGGAAATCTGTTTGGAGATATAGTTATAGATAGATTGATTGACATAAGTTGGGTCCTTTCATGATATGCAGGAAATTCGTGGTCATGGAGTTGGCAAAGTTGTGGCTTCAGGGGACCCTGAATTTCAAGAGGGTGACTTGGTGGCAGGGGAACTTACATGGGGAGAATACTGCTTGATGAAACCAGGAGTGTTCTACTTCAGGAAACTGGACTCCATGGGACTCCCTTTGTCCTGCCATGTTGGAACTTTGGGTAACTTAATAGTCTCAACAGCATATGGAAGCTTAGCTATAAAACAATTTGAAGTAGTAATGATGAATGACATTGCGGTTTTGCTTGCCATTTTGCAGCATACGGTGGGATGACAGCGTACGCGGGGTTATTCGAGGTCTGCAAGGTGAAGAAAGGAGAGAAAGTGTTTGTTTCTGCAGCTGCTGGTTCAGTTGGACACATAGCCGGGCAGTTGGCAAAGCTCCATGGCTGCTATGTAGTTGGCAGTGCTGGAACAACAGAAAAGGTTGTTTATCTCAGCTCTTCTCTCTCACAATTTACAACCATAATGTTTTTCATGATGAAGTTGAAAAATGAAAGGCTTCTTCATGTGTACCAGGTGGAATTGCTGAAAGGGAAGCTCGGTTTCGACGATGCATTCAACTACAAAGAAGAAGCAGATCTCAAGGCGACTCTTAGAAAGTAGGTGACTTGTAGGGCAAGTCTCGATCCAGTTCGTGTGCAATCAGGCTTCACTGCTTCGTTAACTTTCTGTGTGTGGGGTGTGATTTTGATTTCCCACAGGCATTTCCCACACGGGATCGATGTATACTTCGACAGTGTTGGTGGCGAGATGCTCGAAGCAGCAGTTGCCAACATGAACTTGTTTGGCAGAGTCGCTGCTTGTGGGGCGATTTCAGAGTATACGGGGAGTGGAAGAAAAGCTGCTCCTGATATGGTGGAAGTCATATACAGGAGAATCCAAATCCAGGGGTTTTTGTGCCCTGATTTCTTGAGTGTTCACTCAGATTTTATCTCTGCAACTTGTGATCATCTGAGGTCCGAGAAGATGGTCTCGGTCGAAGACATCTCGACCGGGTTGGAAAGCATACCTTCGTCGTTTGCCGGGCTTTTCCATGGCAGTAATATTGGGAAGACCATTGTGCAGATTGCAGTGGAGTGAATGACAAGAAACAAAGACCAAATTAGTAATACCTCTCTGGTCAAAAGAACCAATTAACTTAATGTTACTTTAGCTGTTGCATCCAGTGTGAGATGACATTTATACGGTGTGAGAGACCGAACGAATGATGAAGCCAATTGGACTTATCACGACTTTGTTATTGTATCTCTATTATTATGCCTTAAATCGTTACACTCGACGGATTTGATAGTTTCACAAATCCATGCATTTGACATATAATGCACCCAGCTAAGAAGAATCCACCTAATACCTAGTGAGTTACAAAAACCTATATAAGTATAGAGATCCTAATCAGATGCAGTGTGATGTACGAAAACCTTCAGCTGACAGAAGCCCTGAAATAAGATTCTTGACTCTTCGTGCTCCATTGCCAGGCTTAAGCTCGGTCGAGTTAGCCTTGATATTTTTACTGAACCACCCACCATGGACAAACCCATCAGCACTTACCCCTAATAACTCCGAATCAATCCTGTCAAGAACTGGATCGTTCTTCCCAAACTTCCTGGCGAAAGGTGCATTGCTGTCGACCATCCTCTGGTAATCTTCTACAGTGAGGAAATGAGGGTGCTGCTTAGGAGGGTTATCCCAAGAGATGAAGTGGAGATCATGATTCACTGTAGTGTTCTTGAACTCCTCTGCGTTGCAGATCACCGTGTGGAAGTAGCCCTCAGGCGACGAGAGGAAGTTTGCATAGTACATTAGTACTATCCTGGGGAGATTGTCCCATCCCCACAGGGAATACTCGATGAATGGACGAGAAAGCATCATCCAAGCAGAACCTGCAGCACATCATGTTCATGATTTAAAACTTCTACTGAATAAATATCCTTTAGACTGCTAATGTTTTGCAGCCATACTGACCTGTGAAGAGTCTATATGCAGTTGGGACACTTCTTTTCTCTGTGGCCCAAAAAACATCTGATTTCTGCAGGCTGTATAGCCCCGGATCGATTATCACCGGCCTAGCTCTCTGATCTCTGCAATCTCCAGATTAAAAGATGGAAAATCAATCTCTAGAACAAAGCTGATAAGCAACATCATGCTACATTATAATTCATCTGCATTTCAAAAGCAGCAGGAGGAAAGATGAATGGCAAAACTTACTCCTTCCAGCCGATATCGCTAGTATGCTCGATAAAGTTGAGGTCCCGTGGGATAGAAGACAATGTGTGCAGCAAATCTGTCACAAGTCACATTAAACAATCCAGAGATTTAAGTCATAAACTGTCAGCAAGTGGAACTTTCAACTTACAAGCTTGGCATAGAAGAGTAGGTAAAACTGGTCAACAATTCAACCTAATCAACTACACAATTCAGTGACATTTTCAAGCCGAGACAAGCATCAGCCATATATAGTAAGAAAACCCTGGTCAGCCAACATGATTGAGATGGCATAGCACATCCAAATTCAGAAACTGTGAGCTAAAGCTAACATTCATACTTCACAAACCAACTAACACTGCCCAAATCCAAATGCAATCCTCTCAATTGAGCAAAAAGAAGATTGAAGGAACAAACTATGAACATTACCATCTTGGGTGACCAAAGGGTAATCAGAAGCACTCAAATTGATGAACCAATCCCACTCCCCACCATCCCTCAACAGAATAGCAGCAGCATGAAGCGTGTTACTGACCATGGTCGGACCTCGATAGGTAACCAAATTCGACCTAACCACCGCCCTCACATTACCCACTTCCTGGAAAACCTTCTCGCCTTCATTAACCCACCTGATGAGCTCCAACCTCTCCTCCACCGGCGCCTCCAGGTCCAAATGCACGACGTACTGGTTCCTCGGATGGTACAGAGCCTTCAGCGCCCTCTTCAGATTCACCCCATCCCCGGCCGACCCAGATATCAGATAAGCGAGGCGAGGCAGTTTCCCGGCAAAAGTCTCCGTCTTGGCCAACTTCGATTCCGCAAATCGCGGGGAGCTCTGGCCTTGCTGCTGCTGCCGCCGGCGAAAAAGCAGCTGGGTAGTCGAGGCCGAATTATTCCATCCGGAGGAGAAGGTCACTGTGAGGAGGATCAAAATTGTGGAGATTAGAAGCGAGGAAATCAGTAGGAGGAACCATTTTTGCTTCTTCTGCAGCTGCTGCTGCAACTTGGTGAAATTACCGGCGACGGTTTCCATTGCCAAGATGGGAGCTTTTTTGGGTGGAGAGGAAAACCCAAGTCAGGGAAAGAGGAGGAGAGAAAAAAGAATCTTCAATGGCGGTGGTGGGGTTGGGGGGGAAAAGCAACGGTGGTGGTAGTGGGAGTAGCAATGGTGACCGTTACTGGAGGTAGACAGTGTGATTATGGAGACTCTGGTCGATCCGAAAATCAAACGCTCAACTACCAAAAATATTCCTATGTACAAAAAGAGGCGATTGATCATAAAGGTGGGATGGATTCTAGCCAGCTTTCTTTTGGAGTTGTGCTTTAACTAGGACACGAGTCTGTTTGGTGATGGTTGGATTGAAGAGAAGTAATTAGCTGGGAGTGAGACATCTTTTTGATTTCCAGATGGAATAGCCACCTGAAATTACCTACTTTAATAATACAAAATTTTTGTTGTCCCTTAATGATTTTGGTTTAGGGATGATGATATTGACTCGAGCTTCATGTTTCAATCGGTGTGAAAGCAGCAGCTATTAGTATGTTAATATCTTGAAGTCGGTTAAAAAAAAAGCATGCCAGTAGTTTGACGTCGGTTAAAAAAAAAGCGTGTTTGAACGTAGGTACCAGGGTTCGTTAAGACTTAAAACACGAGTCTGAATACGGTAACTAAACAAAATGACTAATCAATCATTCTAAAAAGGAAGGAAATTAACACCATTCACAAATTCAATAGTGTACCTCAATTTTTTCGATAACTTAGTAATTTTGTGAGCTAAAAGCTAAAAGTATGGACTATCATTTTCTTATACTTGAGATTGGACGCTAGAGACTAGAGTATATTTTAGGATTAAGATTGCTAAATGTTTGTTTTCTTCCACATGACTCTGAAATCTGTTATCACATAACTTGCACAATAACGACAACAAAGGTCACTTTAGGATTTGGTCCATGTTATAACGTGAATCGTGGTCCATGGACCATGTCTTATTGTCTTTTCTTTTTGTTTCGAACTTTTTTTTTTTTTTGGGTTAGGGAAGAATGAGCTGATGGGCCTGGGACCATGTTATTGTTTTGGGCTTGGACTCGGAATGGCTTACACGATTGTTAAACCTTTATTTCCCCAAGGCGAGCCCGACAAAGCGAGGTCTAACTGGAGCCTCAAATTAGACAGATCGGGCCCAAACTGTAGTCCATATTTCAACTTCCAGCACTCTGTCCGTTGGAGCTCATGGGCCGTTGAAGTGGCGTTCTATAATCCTTTGCTTCGAAAACTATTAAAAGAGACCTTACCGGTCGGTCCGATCGAAAATATCGAGTACCCGGTTCGAAATGATAGGCAATTTTAGGAGTACAAAACTGTTGAACCGTGATTAAATCACTATTTTGTTACAAAACACCCGACCACTAATTTTTTCGGTATAACTTTTGGTACGGTTTCATAATCTTTGCTTCATAGTCATAACGACACAACCTCAATTGTACCTATAATATATATAGATTCTGGCCGCCCTGCACGATGCATGGCTCAGATGGGCATGCAGAGCGTTTCCACTATAACCTGATGCTAAGGTTGTTATCGACAAGACTGACCAATAGGTGACGATGGACATGTTAGGAGGAGGCGATTCTAGAGGAGATTTGTTGGGGGCGCGTGATTCGCAAATAAGGGGAACGATTTCGATTTTCGTGGTTGGTTTTTTCGGTTGGCTAAAGACGAAAAGTTCATGAAAAAGTTGACATCCTACCTACCAAAAAAAAACAGGGGAACGCCTTTCAATGCCCATTAGATTAGATTAGATGCTGATTCTCAACAGTGGAGGACTCTGTTTTCTGCTCCTCTGTTCTGTTCCCCAACATTTCCTTCTCCTCCTTCCTTCGATGTTGGATAATCAAATCTAGTTGAGGATGGTGACAGCATCACAACATATGATCTCAATGATGGTCCAATATGATTCGAACTGTACAAGATTCCAAATGAAGGGTCCAGAACGCATACTAGCTTGATTGAATTCAATGAAGTGATGAAAAAAAGCAAAGAATGATTCATGGGCAACGGGCACATGGTTTCTGTGCTACCAGTTTTTCTTGTAATTACTGTGTACGTTGCATCATCCAGCATCATCTTCAAGTCATCGTTGTTTTGGGAGGGAGACAGAGAGATGCGTAGTTCCTTTGTTCTTCAATTTCGATCGCTGAGCTATTGGGCGGCAGGGTCAATCAAGTCACTAGCATTCTTCTTTGATTCAGTATATGATCAGATGAGGATAAAAAGATATTCTAATGTACAAGGCATTTGCGAAACCATATCATCTTGGGCGAATTGTACGTTCAACATCATCAGGAATAAAACAAAATATAGCACATTTTTATAGTATTATCATGATTTTTTCTTTTTTACGAACTTATCTTTAATGATTTAGCTTACTGTTGCGCGGTACGAGTAGGTGGTATACAATACAACAATTGGGTTCGTTGTGGATTGAATCGATATTCGTACCTGATCGAGTCATACCAGATATAATATTGCAATAATTTTCTGAATACTAAAGAGAAGTGAACCAGATCCGATATTTGGGCTGGCCATCTTTTCGATCTTGTTTCGATTATGAAATTTCCTTACCTCGGAAGAGGGGAGAAATTCTATCATGGTATGATCTAGGTTCCGAACCTGGCCACACTATGGACTCTCCCGTGGGGCCAATGTAGGCAAAAGCGAGTTTCTACATAGAAACGTTTTGGTGATATAGAAATGTAAAATTGTAAGTTATTACGTTTTAAAGCGGTGTTTTTAACTATATAAGTTGTAAAAACTGAGATTTTGTGTAGAAGCGTTTTAGCGACCCAGAAACGTAAAATCGTAAGTTTTTAAGTTTTAAAGCGCGATTTTGACTACATTGTGTGTGGCATATCTCGTTTCCACGAGTACGCGCCAGATCTTATGTGAATAATCACGAACCAAATACTCAGTTAGTAAACCAAGAACAACTCATGCTTATCTGATGTGTTTTTTTGGTTAAGATATAATAAAATAGAGTGAAAGAGTTCATCTCGAAACCACGGATACTAACTAACAGCTGAGTCTTCTCCAAGCAGCAGGAGATAGTTGGCAAAATGACTTTTTACAACTCTACTATGTATGAACACGACAAAGTCGAATAATCCTTATGACACGATCAGTTCCGGCGCAACAAAAAAACTCATTCAAACGGAGAGAACGACACTTAAGTCGGCAACACTCAAAGAACTTTGCTCTTTCTTGTCCTACTACTATTATTCTCCTTGGAAATGATTGAAGGTGGGGTGACATATTCATAGAGGAGCTATCAATATCATGTCATGGTGATTGGTGGGAGGTTTTGCCTCCTAGGAAACGTCACTCACTCCATGACTGAGATCCAATGCTTTCGGTCTTCTTCCTCCTCCTCCCATTGTCTCTTGCTATAATCAAATCAACACCTCTTTTCACTCCTTTGTTTTCCATTGGGAATAATGCTTTTTTAGTGTAAACAACTTTGTGTGCTTGATTCGTTTTGATTAGAGTGGGGAAGACCCTACCATTTCCTTTTCCGTGAATATGAATGCACAATTAGAAATTAGAGACATGTATCTCCCATTTGTTGATTCCTAGATGCGTTTGGAGGTCCTTTTTACCCTTTTGTGTGTAAGTGATTAGGCTAAATTTAGGGTTGGATTCATGCTCCAATCACTTTTTTCTTTGAAGGTGATGATAGATTGATAGAGTAATTGCTCCAATTTAGAATGAACCTTGAGTAGTAATATTTCTGCTATTAGAATAAAGTATATGGGTTAGTGGGATATTTAGATGGATAGTTAGATCTTATTGTTGGGTGATTTGGTATTAGTAGGTAAGTTGCACAATTAGTGACATAGTGGAGGATAGGGGTTGTGGTATAAGGGGGCAAACCTCGAGTATGATGTTCACATGACGTCTGTGAGAACGTGCTTATATTGTCTTGCGTAAGTTGAAGTGTTGAACTAAGGGTAGATGATCTGCAACTGTTGGATGGATGAGGTGATATTATTGTAAATAAAAAATTTGCGATTCGATAGACTTTAGGCATTGTGAGCATGTTCTCACAGACGTCCTGTGAGCACAATAGCAAAATTGAGGGGAGGAGATTTCAGAGTTGGGTCTTTTGTATTTAAAGCGTTGTAATTTTTTGGTGGGATTTCTTACATATTTTTGGTGGGATTTCTTACATAGAAATTAATTAATTACTTGAATGTTCATTGGAGCTATATCTTCTTCTTTCTTAACTCTATGTTTGGTTATGTTCTTTTTCATATAAGGTGATATAAGTTTGTATTTAATTAGGTGTTACTTAATGGATTCAAACCTGCAATCTCCAAATTTAAGATCAGTAATAATACCACTTTTCTATTACTCTTTCATAAATTCTTAAAACCTCAAACTCTTTCATAAAATCAACTTTTCAAATTACTCGACCCTCAGGTTCTAGACCCCGACATTCATAAAACCTATTACTAGTAAACCTAACATTTTAATTACAGAACTTATACGTTACGAAAATACATAATCTAACACTAAACTACATTAAATTTCTCTTGAACGATTTGAATCTCAACATTAACAAGTCATCGATACCGAGACCACAAAATTTACGCAAGGATTTCTCCTTTTTCATTACTTCGAACACGAAACTCACCACAATTCTACACATAAATATAAAACTTGAAACTCGATCACTCATTTCCCTTAGAAATTTCGAGAAACGAAACCAGATCAACACCTCGACTTCCCATTAACCAACAAAAGCACACTAAAAAAAGAACATTCAAAAAAGGAAATAGAACCACCAACCCAACATTATTCCTAAATGTACATCCAAACTATAAGCTACAAACACATTAATTTCCCTTTTTCACCATCCCAAACCCCAATTAACCCTCTCTTAGTTCATCTTTTCTCCCCACTAACACTTCTCCTCAACCCCATTAGCCTTCTTCTCCATCACCTCCAAAGACCCACCACCATTCAACTTCTTCCCATCACCTTCTTTCCCACTAGGCTTGTACCAGACAGCACACACCAAGAACACAGCAAAATTCACCACTCCAAGAACAGCCAACAACCCATAGAAGCAATCAAGCCTTCCATGGTTGATGTTATCAGCCAGCCACCCCTGTCCACCATTTCCACCACCAGCAGTCACTTTCTTCACCACCATGACCAGGAAGCTGCTGACGAAGAAGCCGAGGGAGAGCGTGGTGAGGAACAGCCCCGTGCTCATCGTCTTCATCCCTTTCGGGGACTGCGTGATGAAGAAGTCCAGCTGCCCTGTGTAGATGAATGCCTCCCCTGAACCCACCAGGAGGAACTGTGGGATCAGCAGGAAGACCGATATCGGGACGGTTTTCGTGGCGGTGGTCATTGATTTGGCGGCGGACAAGCGGCGGCTTTCGGCCAGGGCGGCGACGGCCATGCCGATTGTGGAGAGAGCTAGGCCGATTGCTATCCTCTGGAGGTTGCTGAAACCTGTAGTGTGTTGGAGAGGCAGGGGAAGTGTGAGAACAGAGAATGGTGAGCTAATTGGTAATTTTTGGGAAATATGTAATTTTTAATCCTATTTGTTTGTAATTTGTGTAATTGAGTCCTTATTTTAGATGTTATTTTTGTGGGATAAATATATTGTTTGGAAAGAGTGATATATGATAGAAGTTGTTATGCATTTTAAAAATACGGGTTTTCAAGATTCGACGATAGTGATTCGTTAAAATATGATGATTGAGTTCATAAAAAAAAAACTATTCATGATTGAAAAGCGTTTTATAGTGTTAATTAAGATTGTCTGGGGATGTAGCTCAGATGGTAGAGCGCTCGCTTAGCATGCGAGAGGTACGGGGATCGATACCCCGCATCTCCATATTATTTTTAAGTTGTTGAACAACAACAAAAAAGTGTAAATTTTGATAATCTCTTATGGTAACGATGAATTAAGCATAAGAAATCGAACAAATAACCTTTAGTTCTGAACAACAACATAGATTTTTTAAATATTTGTCAAACACCAAGATGTGATTTTTCGCTTGAAGGTAAAAATCAATCGAGAATTTGCTAAAAGTCGGATATCAAAACCTAATTTAACCAAAGATCTAATGAGTTCATAACAAATTTCGAATCCACCAATCCTAAGCCGTATTTAATTTCGAGATAACGTGTAAGCGAGTGATATGTAGTTTTTGTACACCCCAAATATGAAATCGGGTCTTATGCTAGCTTCAAGAATTTCGAGCTTGTTATTAAAAAAAAAAAAAAAATCGATCTATTTAGATAAATAATTTTAAAGACCAAAGGGTAACCACTCCTAAAATTCATGTCCAAAAATTATAATTACCCAATGAACTTTTTTCACTTCCAACTTCATCACTAAATAATCATTAATTTGTATAGAAGTCCTTCTGAGTGCATAAAGTTTTACCTGGTTTGCCTTTCCATTTCTTCCACACAGGCATGATCAACCGATCATAGACAGCCAGAGTGATCAGAATCGCAGCCACGAAGAACACGGTAAGCGACCCGGCCGGAATCTGGAAGCTCCCAACTTTCCTATCCATGGTGGAAGCCTGCTCCACCGAGAAAGTGATCATCTGTGCATAAGTCGTCCAAAATATGATCGTAGTCGCCCAAATCGGCAGCAACCTCACCATCATCTTCACCTCTTCAACCCGGGTCACGGAGCAAAGCCTCCACGGGTTAGGCTCCGATCCCCTGCGGCCATTTTTGGTCTCAAAATCACTCTGAACACCAATTGCTGCCTTGTCCAAGAACTGAAACTGGTCGGTGTGCTGAATCCTTGTGCCATCAGGATTGCTCTCATACAGCAAACTAACATCATATGGCAGGTCCATCTTCCTCTTCCCAATTGCTGCTGCAATTACTTGGAGGATGTGGACTATTGGGCTCCCCATGGATTTCTTGTACCTGTACTTCTTGATTCCTGAGAGCAGGATACCAATTGCTATGAACATGGATGCAGAGCAGATTCCATAGGCCCAACTCCTGCCCACTTCGTCCTGGATGTAGACAAGGACAGTCACAGCCAAGAGGGTTCCTAAGCTGATGAAGAAGAAGAATCTGTTGAAGAAGTAAGCCATCTGAGCCTTCTCCTTGTCATCCTTCTCGTCGAATTGATCTGTACCGAAACCTGACACGCTCGATTTCAATCCACCTGTTCCCAGTGCTATGAGGTACAGTGCCATGTACAGAATCCCCATTTGGAACCCATTTGCTGGTGTGCAGGAGCTGTTGTTGGCATGGCATGGTGGTGGCCTCAGCTGTGGCAGTTTTGTGGCCACTGCTAATGCTGCAGTTCCCTGATGATGAAGAAAGTTCAAGGATGAAATGAGGGAATTGTTTATTTTCTTGGGGGTTATGAAAAAGATTTAAACTTTTTTGGTTCTTAGTGGCTTACAAGGGCTTGGACAACAGAGAAGATGGCAATTGTCTTGAATCTGCCTAGGAAAGAGTCAGCAAGGAAGCCACCAAGCAAGCACAAGAGGAAAGATGTGCCCATGAAGTCTGTGACCACATTGGCTGAAGTTGAACTTGGCATGTGCATTGTTCCAATGAGATATGTCACCAAGTTCACTGCTATTCCCATTGTTGACAGCCTCTCACATATCTCAATCCCTGGTTCAATTAGAGAAGAATAGGGTTAATTAGCCTCTGATGGTGTAAATAGTTACTGGGAAGGTAAAAAGTAAAGCATCATTTCCACCCTTTTTAACCAGATTTGACAGTGGTGGGTGAATCATTTTTTTAAAGAAACCTTTTTAGCAGAAAGTGCTGATCCATCTTTTGATCTTTTCAACTTTGTGTTGTCATGCTGTATCTTTTTTTTTTTTTTTACTTATTCACTTTGGTAAATGTAAGTAACAGAGAAAGCAAGATAAAAAAAAAACAATCATGGGAACAGGAAACATATTTCAGCTCAGCATCTTTGTAAAATGGGCACATGCACAGACTGACCTAAGATAGAATATTGTTTCTTTTATCAACAACATCTACCTTCCCAAAATCCCAAAACAGAAAATGACTTCACTGTTGTCATCATCTTCCACAGACCAAACATTTATAGTGGGAGCCTGAGCACTTTTGTTCTGTAGTAGCAGTCCAACTTGATTGACATATTTTGGAAGTGAAGTGCAACACGTTATCATACATAATTTGCTTGTTTGTTTCTGGACACTAGTACAATATCCATTAGTAGTTAGTGAAGATTTTAACTCGTGAGGCTTGATCACTCTAATGAGAAACTGACATCAGATTTGGGTTGAATGGCAGCCATAGAGGCCGGATGGTCGAGAACTAGTTCGTCTCAATAATTATATGCATGCTTTCTGTGCTTGAAGTTTGTTCAGTACATAATATACCTTGTATTGATTCTGGAGGTTAATGATTAGGATGAAACATAACCCTTTCGGTTATTGAAGGCTCTAGTACTACGATGATTTAAGAATGCATTTCGTACCAATCATGTCATAGGAGCACCTGGAAACTGCTATTAAATATGGGATTTTTCTGGGTTTTCCTATCCATTTTCATGGTAAGAAATGATATGTTAACTATGAACTCCTCCCTTAATATGGATTGCAGACCATGGCATGAACAATGAAGACAGAAACCAGCAATGGAAGGGAAAATTTTGAAGGAAGAAACAAACCTAGGATGAGTGCAGCAGGAACCCAACCACCAGTCTTGGACTTGTCAGCAGGGAAACCTTTGTAATCCACAGCATCTGCTACTGTCCAACTCATCTTCCCATCCTATGGAAAAAGTTTAGAGCACAATAACCAACATGAAACAATGACCTCCAACAAAGTTGTTAATATTAAACAGTATTGGCCAATAAAATCAAGTTGTTATAATACTAACCATGGTTGCAAACTTCTGGGAGCAGGAGTGGATGGGAAAAGGAGCAGTCTTTTTGGTGAAAGAAAGAGAGAACTGAATAGAATAGTGAAGAGAAATGTAGTGCTTTTGTGTTTTGCCACTTGGGTCTTGAAGGGAGTTCCCCTTTTTATAGGCAAAATCTCTGAACTGGGAAAGAGAAAAAGGTTTGATGACTCTCCACTAAGGAGCAGTGGAAAGATACAACTGCTGCTGCTTCTTGTGTTCTTGATAAAGGCAATAGCTTTTGTACTCTCTTTAAATCAAATAAAAAACTTTTGGGTAGTGGAAGATTCTAGCAAGAGAGCATTAGATTGATCAATATGTATTAAAGTTGTAAGGCAAAGTTAAAGGTGATATTGATTGGGGAAGGAAGAAAAGGGATTAACATGAAGTAGAAAGAAAGAATTGAGGCTGAGAAAGGAATATGCAGCAAAATGGTGCCATTACTGTCACCTTTTCTTGCTTTATGTGGCTTGGATTAAGGGGATGGGTTTCTTGGCGTTCAGATTTCTGAAAATGCTGTGAACCACAGTAGAGCTAGCTGCTTTATAGTGCTTTTTCTGCCCCACCAGCTGCAATATAGACACTGATCTCCCTAAAGCAGTTTTGGACCTTGTGGGATTGGGATGGGGCTGAAATCAACTTCAGAGACAAAAGAAGAAATGAGGGTTAGATTGGGATTGGAAAATAGAAGGGAAGAAGAATACAACAACTGTTGAAAGCTATAACAAAGGTTTGATCTTTCACCTGTAGATTGGTAGGTATGTGGCCTGTATTTGACTGCAACTTTGCAGCTGATATCTGTGAATGTGGGCAGATCTCATTTTTTGGATTGGAACTGGAACTTTGGAAATGTGGGATGGATTGAAATGAGTGTCTAGGGAAAAATGGAAGGCATGTGGGTTGGAGATCCTATTATGGAAGTAGGTTTAAGCTTGCTAGCCTGGTACAGAAATGGTAATTACTGTAGATTCAGAGAAATTTTTGGATTAGGATCTCCATTGATTATGTTCATCATGTTCCTGCCATCTGTGTCATTTGTTGCATATCAGTATATCACTCATCTCTGGAATGGTGCAAGTTGTTGGCACTTGTCAGAGGTTGTCCTGTAAATGAAAATGAAGGACAACATGTGATCTTTGCAACAGATGGAGATTTCTCTATGGCAGCTCATTGTGGAAGTTTCTGCAGAAATGGAGTGTGAAGTTATTACAAAGGGTTAATGCCTAATGGCCCCCTATATTTATACCATTTTGACAACCATGTCCTGATCCTATGATTTTTTTTATGAACACATCTTCATACTATAGATATAATGTCGTTTATCTATTTCAAATATGTTGGTTAAAAGTTGTATCCAAGTTGGTAATAGTTAGGATTTAGTCGTGGTTAGTAAGCAAGACATGAATGACTAACATGTCAAGTATATTGAAAAGCCATGTTTTGTCTCTCAAATTAACTCTTAAGTCTCCCACATCATTTGGGACTTAATGAGGCAGTGACCAAATTATAGGGACATATCTTTAATTTAGAGACTGGAAATGGATGAAGAATATAGTATAGGAACTTGTTTGTGAAAGTTCATGATATAAGGATGTAATTGTTGAATCGATATAGTATAGGGATTAACCCTAGAATAAACATTGGGTGGCAGGAATGACAGTATTTGATTTATTAGCTTATTTGGCTTAATTCACTTTATCCATTTCAAAATTGGACTGGATTTTGTGGTATTTGTCCACATCCAGTGTATTTGTTATTATGGGATTGGGTTGAATTTCGAACGGATTGAATTTAAGTTTTGAATGAGATTCGTTGTATTTTATTTGAATCTACATTTTGGTGTCTATAAAATTATTCAAAGTTGTCATATTGGTTCGATCAGGTTGAAATAGCGTCAACCGTCTAGATAACTGAATTCACACGATAATAATTTACATACCATAGCTCAAATTCTAGGTAATTCGTATTATCCAAAATTTCATTAAATGTCATCTTATCAAATTTTCATTATAAATCTAACTTGGTTGATCGACATTGTCACATTCAAATTCCTCATTGAAAGTTCTGCATGATTTCGGCTTTAGATTTCCTAATTCCTATTAAGGAGAAAATTATCATATAAATGAGTAAAGTAATTATCCCAACCTTAAACAACAATATTCTTCATATATGAATCATTTGGGATGATATTTTTCCCGAATCAGTGCGAGTTAGCCAGAGTAGACAATTGATAGAAATCTGGTTTTTATCCGATTTTTGGATATTTAAATTATTTTAGTTTAATTATGGATAGTTTAATAGAATTTGTTCAGGCTATACAATTTGTAGTTGTGGATTGGAATTCATAAATAAATTACGGAAGAATTATTCCTTGTACCTAGTCTTCTAATCTCCGTAGACTTACTGAATTCTTTCCTCCTCTTCTCCTCGTCCTGCCTCTCTTGCTCATCCCTCACTTACCCTCTTGTTATTCCACAAATCTTCCCCCAATTCTATCTTCCTCAATCCCTAATCCCCAATTCTCCTCCCAATATCTTTTGCAATCAGATCTAACTGTCTTAAGGTAGCGAAATTTCTTGTTACATTATTAGCGACCTGCACGAATGGTGTAATGACTGCCCCGCCGTCTCCAACATGGACCCTGTGACATTGAATTCTCCATGAATGTATGGAGTGCTAATGACTAGACGGTAAGACCTCGTTCACCTTAACTATAGATTTGCAGTGACAACCTTGATCGAATGTGTAGTATACGTGGGAGGTGATGGTTACGTTCTAGATCTGGGGTCTATCAACATTAGAGGGGATGGGTACGACCCCCCTTCAAACGGTTGATTGGTATAATTACTCATTCCTCCTGGTACTTTTCAGTAACCTAACAACTTAATCCTATACAAATTGTCACACTAGTCCTAAATGTTTTGTTTATGTATCGATTCAGTACTTCATCGATCATAATCGACTATGGAAATCAATAGATTTCTCTTTCATCCTGATTATGATCTCTGATATGATCGATAAGTGGAATCAAGAGATTTTTTTCCTTTTTCTTCTCCAAATGACAAACTGATTATATATGCACTTGAGTACTAAACTACAACTGATCATTTCCAGCCATTAATTAGGTAGTGGACTGTGTTAGAGATGAAAACCAATGGTGTGTAGCAAAGAAACCCTCTCTCTCTCTCTCTCTCTCTCTCTCTCTCTCTAGGTCCATTATTGAGAGACCTTGTCTCTCAAGGGTTGACTCCTAGGAGAATGTTTTCTGTGATCCACATTGTTTGGTAGTCTTGCATTGTAGTGTTCAGTAGGTCCAATGAAAGTTGACCAAACACAAAATTGATTCATTCACTTAATCCTTCTGATCATTCATAATCACCCAAGTATATGTGTCTAGGTCCATGTGAACTCGCACGTGCCATGTCACTGAGCTCCACACGTGTCCAAATGGGGAATGACAAAGTTACAATAATTGATCAGGCAGTGTATACTGGCTGCATAATTGTACCATACCAACAGACATCGTGCACTGTTGCTGGCCCTAGCCACTAGAGCAGCATGTAACATGAGCATGTGAGAGAGAGAGAGTGTAACACAGTTCATGTCATAAAATCAAAGTTAATTCGAATATTGTATCATTTTTTTATACGATCTCTACCAATGAAAAATCAATTCATGGATTCGAAATTTGAGCAGAATATCCTCATAGAGTGTGTTTAAATCAACTATTAATATTGGGACTGGAGGGGTGTCAAGATTCGAATACACGAACACTTCATCGAAGCAGCTCTAACATCACGTCGTAGATTGTTTGGTCTCAATGACTCGAAGCGTTGCTGCAAGAAAATTAAGCAAGAATCTTATACGACTCCTTTGGATAGGGGTGGTAATCAGTAACGTATTAGTATCCTGGTTCCAAATACTAAATATTGTCTAGAACTCAATCTCGATCTCAATCCCAAAATAAATTCGGTATTCTAATCCCTAATATTTTTTTTCGTATCGATATATACCAAATTAATTTCCTTCAAAATTACAAATCAAATACACAAGCGCAAAAATTTCTCTTCTCCAGTTCCACAAACCATTATCAAAATATACAAAAACAAACAATAGTGGCAACACTCGTGCACAAAAAAAAATGAGAAAAAAGCTCAAGTTTAATAACAATAAACTAGAAAAATGTGGTGCCTAAGTACCACATTAACAAACTAAACACATATGACGAATGAACAACTCATAAACATACTACAAATAACAAAATGAGTTTGGTATATATGGGCTGGTAATAGTGAGTGAATGAGCTATTTATGTATAATTAAGTGACCATCTTGGCGCTTAAGGGTATGGTAGTAGTGAGCGAGAGAGTCTAGTTGTGCGGCATAAATTACAGCATAGCTTACATTTCGATATTAATCAGTATTTCGGTGTATACCAATATCAATCCCTGTAATCCCTAATAACAAATCATGCTTGAAATTGAATCTCAATCCTATGAAACATTACATAAATTCGATAATATTGATAAATTTTATATGATATTCTATATAATTCTAAACACCGGTATCAAATTTCCAGCCCCACTCTTAGAGTCGCTGTTTGGGCAGAAGAGGTCAAGAATGAAAACCAAAATGGTGATGATTGATGAAGCTATAGCCAGCACCAAGCACCAGACAATCCATCTGGGGTCCTGATTTCTTTTCATTCTTCCTCCATATATGTATCCACCGCCATGGCCACACCCACCATCAAGAATTCCTCCCCTTTTTTCCCCCGCTTATGGAAATGTATGGGCGTGATTAGCATGGATGCATTGTCCATAGCACTTTTGCTGAGAAACCCCATGAGATAGAGATGCAAAATCTTCCTTCAAACTTCTTTACCATTTCAAGTAGTTTTCCAAGATAAGGAGGATAATATTTGAATTGAGGATGATTGGTATTGTAAAAAGATTGTTGATCAATCAACCAGTGGCGGCGGAGCCACTGGTTGATGACAAAGAAGGCTGTATTATATATATCCTCTCTCGACTCCTAAAACTGTGTAAAATTATATATAAATTTTGCAATAAATAACAGAAACATAGTAATTTGTAGTGCTTTTAACCCCGACCCCTTTGCCAGCTCTAATTCTCTGAATATACATTTTTAGCGCTCGTTTAGATTCCTGACTTCTTTACAATCATTAATAGTTCGAGTTGATGGAGAGATTCATGAGAATTCGATCACGAGATCTCGCTGAGTTGACGCTACTCTCATGCAGTGGCGAAGTTATAAATGTGAATAAGAGAGAGCTAAAAAGGCTAAGCTCGAGGGGTTTAAATCATAGGATCATTGGAGAGGGAGAAGACTAGAATCTTACCCGCAATTAGATCTGTTTCTCAAAATTTGTTACAAATCTTACCCGCAATTAGATCCGACCCAACCACCTTCTGCCAAATACACACTGCCAATTCCATTTCCATGTCTCCACCTCCAGCTTCATTTTTCTGGTTTATCGTCTATTGGCATGCATAAGAATCGAGAGTACTGTCCATGGAATATATAAAACAATAGTAATGGCTTTCATGTTATTATATGCTGCTGTATGGCCACACTGTTCACAAATATATGTGGGAATGGAAGTGACAGTAAGCTGGGAACTCAATACTGTTTGCTCTGTTCAATCCACCATCATTGCCAACAGCTGTAGTGTCTTTGCAGCTAGTAGTGCTCTTCTGATCTGTGCAAATCTTACGATCATAGATCTGTACTATGTTTCCCTTCACTTGGCTATAATAAGTTAGTTTTCTCTAGAATTGCCATAGTCAATTCATTGGGTAATTTGATGTTGTCATATGACTCATATGGGTATTGGGTCGGACCCAAATGATTCATATGCACTTTAATGATTTTGGGTTTGGGTTTTGGATTTGAATTAGTTCAGATTTGGGCGGTCTTATTTAAAAGGGTCTATTTGGATCCAGATGATTGTAACACAAAAAGACGTATCTATATCATCGCATTAACAACCTTCAACCTACACGTATTTTTTGTTTTGTAATAAAAAAAATAATGCATTAATTGTATTAGGACCGGATATTCATTTTCCTTTTTGTATCCAATAATATGGGGTTCAATTTAAACCCAAATTACACAAATATGATTTGAGCCATAATAAGTTGAGTTTGGACAATACACAAATATTGAGTCTTTTTTTTTTTTGCCATCCCTAGATACTTTACCGATATTGACTCATTCTGTGGTTAAGTTGTCCACAAACTAAAGCCACTGCCCAACCGGTTAATTTCGATGACTTTTTTGAGTTGTTTAAACATGCTTTCCAATAGAAGTCAAATTACAGATCTGAAGTTTGCATATATTCGACCTACCATGCTTAAGGTGTCATTCGCAAAACATGTTACTATTAAGTTCATTAACTTTCAGAGCACATGTGTTAATGTGTTTGTCTCCTTTCATTTTGGTGTGAAGTTGTATTCATTTGAGCGAGCGTGTAAGAGCGAGCGATGTACTATTATAAAAGTTAATAACCATCATCAACTTGTTGGATGCAAGGTGTGGTGCTTTGATGTCTATCTCTAATTTCCCATATGGTGATCAATTGTTTACCATAATAGTAATCAAGATAATTTTTTTCTCCCCTTTGTTTCCAAGGATCTCACGAATATGCCTCTACAAATTCAAAACCAACTATATTAGACTACTAACTACACCATTAATTCTCCATATGTTACATCTGTAAAGTCTAGTTGCACTTCCGACGAACGGGACAAAGAAAAAGTTACAAGTGAAAGCAAAATTTCCCCTCACCAAATCCCACTTTTTTGCATGAACACATAACAAGAAATTAATGTTAATTAAACGTGCTAGCTAGTTGATATGGAAATACTGATCTTTTCATTTGTTTATTAATCTCTAAATCATGGATTACGGTCAGCAAGAGTCTGCGAGGCACTCTTAAAGCAGAGACTTATTAATTGTTTATCTTTTGTGAAGGAGACTTATTAATTGATTAATTGATCATGTTTTAGTGGGGATGGGTTCGACAAATCCGAGACATACATGATTTGCTTGCTTCAACATTAATAGCAAAGGGACTTTCAAAATGTGTTCATGATTCATACATGATTGAAAGAGATTAAGAGAAGTTGGTAATATGATAATTATTAGTCTTAATATGGGTGTCGGCGAGGTTGCAGTACAAAACTCAGCATACAGGTTTGATCGAATGAAAAATTAATGATCAATTATTATGTTATTTTTTAAAGGTTTTTATATTATTTTTAAATCAAATATTTTACTGTTTTGATTTTTAATGTATTATTATTATATTATTTTAATCTTTTACTTTTTTGTAAAATGAAGTAAAAACTAAAAACAATAAATTCTGGGCCAGCAGCTGCTACATTGCTTCGGATTGCGACAGGCCCAAAATGCATTCCTCTAAGGCCCTGGCCCAATAGAAAAACTATACTGCTAATTTTTCCTTTTTCTGTTTCTTTTCGCGAAGTCTAATCCCTAGAACCAAAATCTCCCAAATCATAGGTCTCAATGAGGCCTTCAGGCTTGAAATGATTGCCCGCCAACCCTCTCTGAAAGCCATACAATTAATAGCCGAGCAACGGTCAACCGCCGCGGTAAACACTCAACCTCTTAACAATGCACACCAACTGTTCGACAAAAGTCCCCGCCGAGCCAGGGCCGACGTCAACCGCTCCATGGTCGAATCCCTTCAGAGAAAGTCCCCATCTCAAGCGCTTCAGGTCTTCAGGAGCCACTTTCAGCTGGGACACACGGGCACCATCGATGGCATCACTGTCGCTCTCTCGCTTAAAGCTTGCAATGGAGACCCATTCCGGGGCTCTCAAATCCACGGCATCTCCGTCACTTCCGGGTTGTGGCCGTGCATCACCGTGGCGAATTCGTTGATGAATTTGTACTGTAAAGCTGGGGACTTTTCCAAGTCCCTGTGTATTTTTGAGAGGCTGGCTGACCCTGATACTGTCTCGTGGAACACGGTGCTTTCGGGTTTCAGGAGGAGTGAAGATGCTTTGGGTTTTGCTTGTAGAATGAACTCTAATGGGGTTGTCTTTGACCCTGTAACTTATACCACCGCGCTTTCCTTCTGCTCGAGGAATGAGGAGTTCCGTTTCGGATTGCAGTTGCATTCGTCTATAGTGAAGTCCGGGTTAGATTGTGAAACTTTTGTTGGAAATGCTCTCATATCTTTGTATTGTAGATGGGAACGGCTAACGGAGGCCAGGAGAATGTTCGACGAGATGCCGAGTAAAGATCTGGTGTCATGGAATGCAATCATATCAGGGTATAGTCAGGGAGGGATTCAAGGGTTGGAAGCAATATCTATGTTCATTGAAACTATTAGGAGAGGGATTGACCCTGATCATGTCTTACTTACTGGAACAGTTTCAGCTTGTGGTCATGAGAAGAACTTGGAACTGGGGAAGCAGATTCATGGGTTCAGCTTAAAAAGAGGGTATGGGAAACATGTCTCCGTTGGCAATGTCCTTATCTCGACATATTCCAAGTGTGATCGTGTTGAAGAAGCCATGTCAGTGTTCCGGCATATGAACGAGCGCAATGTTGTTTCATGGACTACAATGATTACCATCAATGAAGAAGCTGCGGTGAAACTCTTTGATCAGATGAGATTAGACGGTGTCCCGCCTAATCATGTGACGTTTGTTGGTCTTCTCCATGCTGTAACGGTTCGTGATTCGGTTGAACAAGGCAAGAAGATTCATGGGATTTGTCTGAAATCAGGTTTCTCGTTAGAGCCAAATGTTTGTAACAGCCTCATTACAATGTATGCCAAGTTCAAATCCATGGATGAGTCGAAGAGAGCGTTCCAGGAGCTTGATCAGAGGGAAATCATAACTTGGAACGCCCTAATCTCGGGCTATGCACAGAGCGGACTGAGTCAAGCAGCGATTCAAACGTTCTTATCAGCAGTCACAGAAGCGAAGCCAAACCAGTACACTTTCGGCAGTGTCCTGAGCGCAATAGGCGCAGCTGAAGATGTCTCTCTAAGACACGGCACGAGGTGCCACTCTCAGATAGTAAAACTCGGGTTCAACACCGACCCTGTCGTCTCTTCAGCTCTCCTCGACATGTACGCAAAGCGAGGAAGCATGTCTGAATCCGAACGAGTCTTCTCCGAGGCACCTCAGAGGACACAGGTCTCATGGACGTCAATGATCTCGGCCTATTCAAGACACGGAGACTACGAATCAGTCATGAACTGGTTCAACCAAATGCTGTCTGAACAAGTAGAACCCGACTCGATCACATTCCTCTCCGTCCTGACAGCTTGTGGGAGGAAGGGAATGATCGATAAAGGTCGCGAACTGTTCGATTCCATGGTCCAAGACTACCGAATCGAACCATCACCCGAGCATTACTCTTGTATGGTGGACATGCTGGGGCGAGCAGGGAGACTTGAGGAAGCGGAGGAGATGGTGAACCAGATCCCAGGTGGACCAAGTTTATCAGTGCTCCAAAGCTTGCTCGGTTCTTGCAGGACGTATGGCAATGTGGAGTTGGGGGAAAAGGCAGCCGAGGGGTTGTTGGAGATGGAGAGGAAGGAGTCAGGGACCTACGTCCTGATGGCTAACTTGTATGCAGAGAAGGGGCAGTGGGAGAAGGCGTCGAGGTTCAAGAGAGCAATGAGGGAGGAAGGTGTCCTGAAGAAGATAGGATTCAGTTGGGTTGACGTTGATCATGCCGCAGATGGTTCGTTGGCTTTGCACGGGTTCTCGTCGGGGGATATGACTCATCCAATGGCGGAGGAGATTCATGGGGTGGCGGGGTTTGTGGGGATGGAGATGAAGTTCCTGAAAGAGAGGGAGGTGGAATGGTATGAGTGTGGTGTGATGTTGGAGTCTGTGGGTTGTATTGGGTAACATTATTTTTGTAGTTCCATTTTCATGAGCTTCTGTAGACTGTACAGCATTGTTTACTCAATGGAGTCTGGGTTTCTGTCAATTGATGGAATCTGCAGCTTAAAAAGCTTTCACAGAATCATTTGGTTGAGGGTTTACAGAGAAATGGAGTAAGGGAAGCAGGAATATTTGATAGAAGGAGTGCAAAAAAATCGTGGTCGGCAGGATTCGAACCTGCGCGGGCAAAGCCCACATGATTTCTAGTCATGCCCGATAACCACTCCGGCACGACCACTTGTTGTTTATTTATTGGCGCATTCAATTTATACAACCTTCATGCGACGAAATTTTTTATTTTGCACCTCTTTTATGAAAGTTTTACTTTCTTAGAACGTATCCTAATTTTTGGCCTAATTCTTCTGATGATCGATTCACTAGTCACAAGCTGAATGTTAGTTAACTCCCAAGATGTAGTTTTACTTTCTTAGAACGTATCCTAATTTTTGGCCTAATTCTTCTGAATGATCGATTCACTGATCGATTCACTAGTCACAAGCTGAATGTTAGTTAACTCCCAAGATGTAGTACTTAGCATGCAATTGGTCTCCTGACCTTATTTCACCTTCACTTTTTACGATGCTATGTTAATTATGCGAAATTAATACGTAAATGAGCTAAGTTGAGTCGAGTTTTAACCTCTAACTTATGTTCAGCTTGTCAAAAAATAAATAATTTGTTGACATTTTAACCTAGTATATATACCCTAATATATTTTAGATATCATTGCCCTTGCCCCAAAGTTGGAAAGTGGAAACCTACACTACTAGGATCTTAGATGAGTTTTTAGATACCATGGCACACTTTTATACCTAATAATAACTGTTTCATAGAACAATTAGTATCCCTCCTATCATCCACTACACAAATCCTAACCAAGCCAAAACTAAAAGCAAAATCAAATGGGACTAAAGCTGCACATTCAGAATGAAAGGATGGAGAATTGGTGATCAAAACTCAAAATTTATATCGTCATAACATTAAAGTCTCGCAAAACAGCAGCTCACTCTTTAACATACAAAGCATCTCCACTTCAAGTTTTGGGGAATACATATCAACGTAATTTGATCACTTTTAAATAACACAAGAGGACATGGAAGAACAAAAGATGCTTCTGTGTTCACCCACTAGTGGTACAACTTCATCCAGTCAAAGCCTCACTCCAAGGGAGAGACCAAATCAACGATCCAAGAGGCCCATCATACCGAGTACACCTATCTATGAGAAGTTGTTTTTCCCTTAGATCAACAGCTTCTCAATGGCGTCCTGCAATTTCACAAAGGGCAAGAACAAATTAGAACATTGTATTTGACGTCCCAGCCCCGAGGCATCTTCAATGAGGTAAAAAAAAAACACTTTTGTGATGGAGACACTAAATACCTTGAGCTGTTGTATCTGGGATTTCAGTTGGCTTCCTTCGTTGGTTGTCACAGAACAAGCGATGACAGGTCTCGTGACACCGCAGGCTCTCCCAAGTGCTTGCTTTGAAGGAACAAAAACATATGGGACATTCTGAAAAAACACAAGCATAAGGTGGATAAAATCAGTTTCATGCTCACATTAGAGCACTTTTGGCTCAGTCGCATGTAATGGCTGCTAAATTATGCGGGTATATGAATGCTGGTGTTGTAAAAGAACTGCACAACCAGCGATATAGTTCAGTTCCTCCAGATATCTGTCTGTTTGCAACCTTAAGTAGAATTAGATTTAGAAAAGATTCATGGCCAAATCTTATAACTAGGGACTTGCTCATACTATTTTGTTTGATAGAATGACATACTCATGGGACATCATACGATCTATAAGTAAAAGAATCCACACTAAGGGAAAGTAGCAGCACAAGAAAAACAGGGAACAGGTAGGTGAAGAACTATTTGCTTCCAATCTCGATTAAAGGAATCCATTTTCTAAGCCAATGTATTCAATTCAAACCAATCACACTTTCATCCTTTCCAAACAACAATCCCAAATCCCAAATGGAAGAGCACCCTGATATCAGTTCCAATACTTAGGGAGAAGGCATCCTATGCAACCTCAATGAACTACCAGCTAAAAGACCAAGCAAAAACCTCACACAGGTAGGTTGAACACCATTAGAGTTTAGACAAAATCCAAAGCTGAGCACCTAATCAAACAAAAAATTCAACCAGAAGGATTTCCCATCCTCATTGACACACTAACAGAAGTCCTGAAACAGATAAAAAAAACCAACCTTGTCCTCAGCAAGCAACGGGAGGTGGAGAAGAATCTCAAGTGGCTCTGTATCAGCAGCCATGACAACGAACTCAGAGATACCCCTATTCAGTGTCTTGGTAGCTGAACCAAAAGAAACCCAGCTGTGTTAGCACCACAAATCAAAAAAAGCTTCCCACTTTCTTGCTATTACTACACAAACAAACCAAAACCCATGACAAGTAGCAGGAACCCACTACCTTCATTTGCTCCCTTCTTGAGCTGCTTGTAGTTAGCCGCTTGCTGAACCAGGTCGAGAATGGTGATTGAGAGTTGAGCATCAGCCAGCGGGTAGGCCTTCGGGTTCACTGCTTCCAAAGTCTACGCACAAGCATTCAACAACCATACATAAACGACAAGCAGCAATCAGCAGCAGCCGAAACCCTAAGAAGCCGAAATAGAACCAGAACAGATACCATAGGAAAGAGAAGCAGGGAAAGGAACAGAGATGGAACGGAGAAACGTACCATTTTCGCAGAGAGCTCGACCAACGTTGCTAGGGTTTTCCCGGCTCGTTTACTGCGGAGGTTTTAGGCTTTGATTTGCGCAAAAAGCAATCAAATATATAGGCGACGCCGGCTTGGGCGGAATTTTATGACCTAGTGGCATGGCGGCGATTCAACCTGCACTTAGGGCTGGGAAAACGGTTGGCAGTTTGCGGTTAAACCGACAACCGCACCGAAACCGCGCGGTTATTGGTTAACCGCAAACCGCATATTTGGCCTATTTTGCGGTCGCGGTTGGAGATATGGCCTGTTTTGCGGTTTGCGGTTTAACCGCAACCGAAACCGCAAATCCATATAACCGCAAAGCTAACCGCAAAACCAGACCCAGCCCATAATTCACCCCAGCCCAGCCAGCACACAGAGGCCCAAAAGCCCCAAACCCGACCCGGCCCCTCTCCCTGCCGTCGTTTTGACTTTTGAGTTTTGATTTGAAGAAACAAAAATAAAAAATCCCTCCCCCACAGCCCCACTTCGTTTCGTTTCGTGACTTTCGTCCCTTCCCAGTTCCCACCAGAAAAACCAAAACCCTTCGACCCTTTCATCTTCCCGCTGGCCGCTGCGCCCCTGCCATCCCTTCGCCGGCGTCCCTGGCCATCCGGCGTTCCCCTGCGACGATGTTCCTCTGCCGCTGCCCTGCCGTCGTGCCGTACCGTGACCTGCCCCGCTGCCCTGCCCTGCCGTGCAGGGAAAGCTAATCTTCAAGTGCTGCCCTGCCCCGCTGCCGTGCCGTCGGCGACTCCGTCTTTCTGATTCTGATTTCCTTGTCTCCCCTGCTTTCCTGGAAAGGGATCCAATCTCATTTTGATTTCCACCTCCGTTTTCTCACTCTGCTTTCCTGGTGCGGTTTTCACAACCATAAACCGCGGTTCACCGCTAACCGCGTTCTGCGGTTTTTGGTTAACCGCTAACCGTTGCGGTCGCGGTTGGCCAATATGGGTATTTTGCGGTTGCAGTTAACCGCAAATTGCGGTGCAGTTAACCGCAACCGCACCGTTTCTCACCCCTACCTGCACTTCTCTGGTTGTGGGTATCCAACCCGGTCCAATATCGACTATGAGTAAAAATCGACTTTTGGAATTAAACAAATTGGGTTGGATTGGGCGTGGTATTGGCCACAACACGGCCCACTTTTCACTTGACCAACACTCGAAGAGTCTAGGGCTGACAAACGGTTAGTCGATTATTGGTTTCGTATTAATAATGGTGGTTAATCGATAATCGATCTCTTTAGTAGTTCAATTTTGAGTAACTGATTTTGTTTAGTGATTAACTGACAACCGCATACTATTAAAGTCACATAGTTTTCAGGGTTTTGGGTAAAAGGAAAAGTCCAACGATTCAAAACCAACCGAAGTCAGGATTCCAAACACCTAATTTTGCAACCTATTGCAAACAACCTTCCACACAGAGTCTCGAGTGTGTCAAATAGTCGGAACTCGAATGTTGTTATTGGTTAGTGGATATTCTCCAAACTAATCGATAACATATGGTTAATCAATAAGATTTATCGTTTGGTTATCGGTAAGCATTTTTTGCTCTGTGGTTAACCACTAATCGTCATATAAGCTAGTGATTTACTGATACCGAATCGATTAGCACCCCCTACCGAAGAGGAAAACAATGTCGTTTTACACCTAACCCTAATAATAAAAATATTTTATGTATGTTATCAGTGTTTATGATAATATAATTATAATATATGACAATTATTGGTGTTATTAAACTTCATGGCAAAATAGTTATAGAAAAAAATAAAAATAAATAGGTATGTGAATACTCAGTAGAATCATTAGCAATTATATCTGTGGACTCATAGATACTCATACACCCGTGAGTTGGATTGATTTTTCGCTTTCAAATCCTATTAGAAATTTTACTAGATTCTTTTGGCGAATGACCCAGTTGACCCAACTTCACGATGCCTCAAATTAATTCCAAGACTTGGAGTTATGGAAGTCATCACATTGAGTTAATTTGTTGTGTGGGGTTTCACTTGGATGCATGAGAGTGTCGTTTATAATTCTATTAGCATCTCATAATCCATTCCACACCTCTTGTCTTTGTTCATTCTCTTATCTATTTTTTTCTTATTTGATTTCATATTGGATTTGCTTCCGTCAGTACTTTTTTTATCGAGGTGCAAAGGTCTTGAATCGCAAACACATCCCAAATCACATACGGAAGTTGACTAGTTGAGATGGGAGACGGAAAAACGACGCAGCATGTTGTGGTACACGTGTCGAGACGCCATTGAGTGAGCCACGCTATTTATACTACCTACTAATTTTCCTCTGCTCACAGATTCTCGGTCAGTTCCTCTGTCTCGTTCTGCAAGTTCCACAACTCAACTCCACCAGAGAAGAGACGCGGCAGCGCCCTTTTTTTTTTGCCATTAGCTTCTATCTCCGCGCACAGAGGCAGAGGGAGAAAAGAATGGGTTGGGTTCGGAAGACGGTGGATTCCGTCAAATCCTTGCAGGTCAAGCAAGTTCTGCTTCGCGCCATCGGTCTCGGTAACTTCCCTCTCTCTCTCTCTCTCTCACCTTCGAATCTCCCTGTGTGTTTTCCGAATTTCGATCTTTCGGTTCTCGTCAATTCGCGCCTTGCATTATTGGTCTCGCAGCAATGGTTTTTACGTCGGGGTTGATTCTGTGGAAAGCGCTGATGTGCATGACGGGAACTAAGTCGCCGGTCGTGGTCGTGGTTTCCGGGAGCATGGAGCCCGGTTTCAAAAGGGTGAGTCTCGTAACCAACTCATTCGACTCGTATCAATCAGAAAGTTCGGAACTTTAAATTACCCATGGCTGCTCTGTGTTTTTATCTCCCCTGCTGCGTGCGTTGCCTGTTTGTTGAAATGCCTGAGAGAACAACAAAACCAACTGGAAACGTCTCTGTTTTTCTTTTGTTGTAGGGTGACGCTCTGTTCTTGTACAAGAACAAAGATCCGATTCGGGCAGGGGACATTGTGGTATTTAATGTTAAGGTATGCATATTTTCCCCCCCTTCCTCTGGCTTCTGCTCTTCTTGATCCTGCAAGTTAGAACACTAATCTCAAACCAAAATTTTCGATTTCAGGGGCAAGATGTTCCTATAGTTCATCGCGTAATCGAGGTGAGAAACGCTGGTTTTCAACAGCTCCATTATTGCCTCGTCGTGAGAGCAGTATGAACAAAGACACTAACTTGCATTCTTTTTTCCCCTGTTTAGGTTCATGAGCAACAAAGCAATGGGGAAATAAAGCTACTGACTAAAGGTACTACTACCATCTTCAAACTTGGCTGAAGTTGAGCCAGTCCTTTTGGATACAGACCCGAACTGTATGTAGTATGGCCATGAACCAGTTCATCTCAATGAATCCAGTTTGTTCTCGCCATTACTAATCTTTCTGTGCTCTGTCGACTGCGAACTTGGGTAAAACAGGGGATGCAAATGATATGGATGATAGGTTTCTGTATGCTCGTGGTCAGCTATGGTTGAAGCCACAGCACATCATGGGCAGAGCAGTCGGGTGAGTCAGCACTTTCTTTACCATTCATTAAAATCCCAGGAGCACAAATTGCTATGAGAAGTGGATTGGTGTTCTCACTGTTCTTTATAATTGCAGGCTCTTGCCTTACGTGGGCTGGGTGACGATCGTCATGACTGAGAAGCCTGTTTTACAGGTTGGTTAAGCTTTCTAAGTGATCTATTTTGCTGCTGCCTTTATAGAACCTATTCTTAAGTAGCTTACTTCTAAGTTCTAATCCTGATCATGGCTTCTTGGTTGCAGTACATACTCGTAGGAGCAGTGGGTTTGCTGTTCTTGACTTCAAAGGACTAGAACACGAGAAGAAGCTGATTGACCATATTTGCTACGGGTTCACAAGCTTTGTAGCACCCCCCTCGAATGATGTAATCTTGCCTCTTAGTTTTGCAAGCTACTCTAGTTAACTACAGACCAATCTTTCACTCCAAAGCCATTGGAAAGCTAAGTAAGCATTCCATACTAAGAACTGCCAATTGGCCGAAAACCTTGTATCATAAGATGCATAGTCTATACTTTATATCAATCATATCCTATATGCCCCCTCGATCATCGATCAACGACAAATGGTGACTAATCTCAGTCTGTCTTGGATGGTAGTACGAAGAAGTGATCCTTGATCCCATGAATATCAACCTGGTTAGCTTCGATGGCGCTGTGTACGGGTGTGCGAACATTTGTTCGACTGAACAACACCAGACAAAACTAACGTTTGGACTAGACTAGACCAGACCAAACCGAATATTGCACGATCTGATCCTTGATCCCATGAATATTATAAATGTTGAACAAATATATATTAAATTGATATATGGACCAGATCAAATCGACCAAATGCAATGATGATCCTGTCCTAAGATTTGTTTTACTACTGAACGGATCTCCTATGGTAGAAATAATCATCTACCAAATAGTTGAAGTTGTATGAAGCGGTAATGAACTGAAAATGATTCCCATGGACATGACGATCACAAAACATTGGACATAACCACACTATAAATCGCATCCTTGTTAAGTCAATTGGTGGTTATAATTAATGCTTATACTGTGATGCAGATGCTCATCATCAGATGTGGGATGACAACGCAAATGGAGCTAAATTCAACAAGAACTAGCTATGTTGCAATTCCAAGAACTCTTAGAAAAATGGCCACAAGTAGATACCATGCTGACTACACCACAACAACGAAATACTGCTGCAGACATAAGGACTAGTGATGAGAAACTTACTGGTAGAATAAAACCGTAAACAGCTACATTAATAGCTAAACTCAACTAGGTTTGGATACATAGCAAACTTGAGGAGTTATTCATAGGCTTTATCATTCCACACTAGTTTCAGACCTGACGCAAAACAACTGCAGAAATTGATTACTATACAGATGAAGCAAAAGGTCCAGAGTCGATCACAGACTGGGGGAAAAACTGTGTCATCTCGTTGTGCGACTTCTCGATGAAGTATGCACAAAGCTCTAGCTACAACGAAAACCCCTAGCTGTCCACAAGCAAAACTTGTAGGGCATGCACAAGACTACAAGATAGGTTCACAGAGTACCAGAGATAAGAGACTATTAACTCAATACTGGACCTATTAGGCTCCTCTCTAGAAAGACTCCAAACGCTTTGCTCATCTTCTAGAACTAGGTTTCACCAAACACTCCCAGATATGCATCTGCAAAAGCGAAGAAGATGACGTACTCTGAATGCTATGATCATACATAGAGCATAAGGTTATGGCATTCAAGAATGGGTTCAACAAAAAATTTCCACAAAAGATCCTTGGTCCTGTGACAGGGATGTCCTCAATATACGACTGAAAGAACCAATCTAGACACCATAAGCTATAATGACATAAATAGAATTAGGAGCTACTAAACCAGTGGAACTATTGTTACCCCGTGTAATCGTGATGGAAAAATTACATGTATATCATATATGAACTGATATCATATACGAACTGAGTCCGAGGTCCTATGCTTCTGATCTAATAAAGAGCAGCAAAAACTTTGGAACAAGCAAATTATTCGAGTTGAGAAAGCCAACAATATTACACCATCCGCACTGTTTGTCATGACAAAAATAATGATCATGTAAATTGGAAGTATTAAGAACACAGAATTGAACCTCAGTTCTACTTGGTATCAAGCAGCCGTTGATGCCCCAGACTGAAACTGCTTCAACATTTCACAATGAGGAGTCTCCCTCACAAAACCCCATTGCATTCTTTGTACCTCGAATCTACAGTTCTGGGAAAGGAGAGATACGTAGTCTCTCTCCACATTTCCTTCCAGCACTATCCTGTTCCGACTATCGACCGGATACTCCTGCTCAAACCTGGCACTACTCTTGACATAAAAATTGACCCCTCTCTCCGTGGTGTACCTATGCTCATAAGGATATGACCGAGAGAGGGAGTAGACTGGATCGGAAGAAGGCAAGAAACTGAACAGCAAAATCACAAGAACAGGAAGCAGCTGAATCAAGGCACGAACATTGAACCCAGATCCATTATCACCACCTGTTCTAGCTCCCATCCCACCACCAAAGTTGAAAGTCCTGAACTGGGTAGCCGCAGGAGACATTCCGCCATAGAAAAACTGCCTGAAAATCTCGTCAGGATCAAAATCTTCATAATACCCATTGTAGACACCACCCCCACCACCATGGCGCCTAGGTGCCCGCCTCTCAAAGACAGGATCTTCACTTCCAGTCACATCATACTTCTTCCTACTCTCTTCATTACTCAGACACTGAAACGATTTGGACACTGCCTTAAACGCTTCCTCAGCTCCCGGTGCCTGGTTCTTATCCGGGTGCACTTTCAGTGACAACTTCCTATACGCCTTGCGAACATCCTCCACGCTACAGCTCTTCTCCACACCCAAAATCTCATAATAATCCTTCTTCTTATTAATTTGCCTTACCATCGTGACTTGCTCCTCAGTGTAAGTTGCAGACGACGACGAAGATGAAGAAGACCCCGCCGCCGTCGCGGCACGATGTCGAAGTTTGGATTCTTTGCTCGCCGGACCATTGGCGTTCCCAGCGGCCTGATCAGACGATGACGACTCCTTCTCCGTCTCCGCCATTAGATCGTCGATGGAGAGTGTCGGATCGAGGCGGCCAGCTTTGGAGAAGAATTTCGCAGCGCGAGCTCTATCCCCCGATGCGAGCGCGTCCTTCCCGATCCTCAGACACTTCAAAGCGTCGTCCTTGTTCCCGTCCATTGCTCTTCGGACCTACACCAACGAATTCAATCAGCATAACCCAAAAACCCTTAGAACATCATCAATCGGATACCGTCGGGTTTGGGGGGGAAAGCGTGAGACGAAGCGAAACTGGAAACGGAAACCACGATCGGAGAAATATGGGAAATGAAATGTGAAAAATTTGAGGATATAACTTACGGATTAGTCGGGACGGGGAGTTCAGAGACTGAAATCGGAAGACTTCTTTTCTGGGATTGAAGAATTTAGGGTTTCATCTCAACAATTGGGAGATTTTAGGGAAGAAATATCAAAGAGGTGGAGAACACAAATTGATCTGTAGAATTGTCTTTTGCTTGGTTGGAAGTTGGAACTCTCGCAAGTATTCGTCAGCCAGCAAGGCAAGTCGTACAGAGTTGGGCCTGAGAATTGGGCCATTTCTGTCCAAGTAAAGATACGAGATGATGAGAGTTTTGAAGAATGGGCCTGGGTGCTAAGTTTTTCAAGTTGGCTCAAACCAGCCCAATGAAGGTCGTTTCATCGTCCACCCCGAAACATACTGCGACTAATAGTTACTTACTCCTCGTCGCTAACAAAATAGCATGGTTTAACAAATCCTATCACACAGGTCGGTCCGACTAGAAATATCAAATATGCAAATAATTGAGTATCTCAACACGTATAAGATACCATTTGACGAAATTCATCGTACAATTAAAATATTGGTATCTCATTTCATTTGTTTTATAGCAATTTAAGGTAAGGAACTGATTCATGAATCGAATATCAATATCAAACTGAATATAAATATTAAATTAGAAACTATTCACAGTACAATTATTAAGTTAAGTTATACTCTTTCTTTTGACAAAATTTTCAATCGACTCCTTTCCCTTTCAAACCATAAAAACATATTTATTACACTAGCGATTAATCACTTAGCATAATCAAACAACTTAATCAAATTCATGAAACGAAAGAACACTCAATCCCTAGTTTCACGCTGTTAAATCAGAAAGTGTGTAACTAGGGTCGCACTTTTTTACAGCGGCACCGTATTATTTAGGATATTAGCCTAAACGGTATGGAAAGTCTCAGCTCCATCCATACGACGGCGTTCTAATTCACACGACAGCCTCCTTTGGCGTTTTGAGAAACACGCTATAAGCCTTCACCGTCTACTTCGATCAGATTTCCTGAACCCAACTTCGATTAGGGTTTAGTGTTTTACGAAGAGGAAGGTGAAGTAACAGAGGAACACTCAAGGAGTCGTCCAGCTCGCCGGCGTTGAGTCTGCGATGGAGGCCGAGAACCAGATTCAGGTCGACCTCGGCCATCTACTCGCCGTCGACCCGTACCACCACTTCCCTTCTCCGCCTAAATCCAGGTCAGTGCCTTATGGCTTCCGTTTTCCCTCTTCGAATTGCTCCGAAGGCGACGAATTTGACCCTGTTTAGGTTCTGATGCAATTAGATTTGATTGGCTGCTGCTTGATGTTGTTTGTTATGGCATTATGCTGATTGTTTGCTTCTTTTACTGTTGAGAGGCTAGGGAGGAATTGGTGACAGAATGTTTGAGGGCGGGAACCAAACTAGTCCAAGCGATTACTGATGGTCTTTTCAACTTGTCTGCGACGGAAGCTATCGAAGGTCCGCTTGTGAAGCTGCCCAAACCGACCACCAGGCTGCCCAGGGAGAAACATGTAAGTTAGCTAGCTTTCTCAGTGTTTTTTTGAGCTGCCATGGGGATTGAATGTTAGCTAGACTAGTGAATCCTTCCAAATTGTGGTGTGAGAGTGATGGTGGTTTGCAGCCTTGTTAAGATTGAACGACTAATGACATTAGAGCGATTGTAGAACCATGAATGCATGTCGTCATCTGTAAATTTAGTTGCGCCTACTTTGTTCGCTTTAAAGTTTTTGCAACGGCTTAAGGCAATATTGGAGTAGCACTCATAAGTTGTTTGCGTATTTTTGCAGTTACCGAGGCCTAAGCCTCCAACCAAATGGGAGATGTTTGCCAAATCAAAAGGTAACTTTTTTACTTTGTAGTCTACATGGGAGCGTGAAAGCTTTTTGCTGTGCGCTCCTGAAGTTCTCTATATCTAGTGACTGGGTGAGCGGTGTTTTAGTCTGAAATTTATGCTTTTTTGCTGCTGTGATGTTGTCATGCAGGAATTCAGAAACGTAAAAAGAACAAGGTCTTGTGGGATGAACAAACTGACAGCTGGAAACGTAGTTATGGATATGATCGTGTCAATGACGATGCAGATGTTCCTATTATCGAGGCCAAGATGACTGATGGTAATGATACTTTCGAGTCATAGAAGGAAATCCCAAGTGAAAATAACTTAGTTTCTTTTCTATATTTTGTACAAAATATACTACAGACGTTCCTCCGGATTATATGATCAACAATCTCTGATGTGTATTTTCTCTTTTACTCTGCACTTCTGCAGAACCTGGAAGCGATCCTTTTGCCAAGAGGAAAGAAGAAAAGAAGAAAAGAGTTGAGAAGACGGAGAAGAATCGTTTGCAGAATTTAAAACAAGCTGCTAAAGTTGGTGCTTTGCCCAGGTATTTTTTTCCATCCTTTCCTCCACGACTATAGATTAAGATGTACCTTTAGGCGCGAGTGACCGCTTTGGGAAAATGATTTCCGTAATGTCATTCATTTACTACTGTAAGGGTCTTTGTTGATAGTCATGCCTGGTCAATGGGATTCTAGATTTAAATTTTCCCTATGTATGTCCTTTTGAATGACATTCATTCAGAAGATCAGCTCTTGTGTATTAAAGTTTCTTATTTTCTCTCTCTAGTGTTTTAGACCTTAAGTGAACTCTTTTTCTGCAGCCACGTTCAGCTAGCTGCCACAGCATTGCCTATAACAGGAACACAAGCAGCGCCAAAGAAAATTACAAAAGACGAACTGGGAAATGTTGCTGGGCTTGCTGCAACAGCCACAGCCAGTGGTGGAAAGTTTGATAAGAAGGTGGCTGGTGAAAAGGCCGTCAAACACCAAGGAAAACACCGCAAGGTTTTTCCCCCCCGGAGAGCCTTAGTCACCATCCAAGTCCAGTCCTTTCATGCATACACCATCTTCTTACTTATATTTAGTTCCCTTCCCTAATATTTCTCCCATATCACTTGTTCAGTTCCTACCCGCCGCTGAAGGTTCAGGGATGGGCAACCGAGAGAAGGAACAAACTGACAAAGTGCTGAGCAAACTAATGGCGAGAAATTCGCATGAGATACTCAATGTTGGCAAGGTAAATAAGACTCTGATCCTTTTCTTCTTCCAGTTCATAACCGATTGAAATCCGACTCGATGACTCGAGTCGTTGGTTTGCAACACGCAGGCCGTTAGCATGTACAATGTGAAGAAGCAGAGAGATGGAAGGAATCAGAAAGGGAGATCGTCCTTCGACTCGAGTAGCAAGTTGAAACCGAATGGGAAACCCATGAAAGGTGACAAGAAGTCTCCATACCAGAAGTCTAGAAAAGGCGGCAGCCATGGTGGTGGTGCCTCAAGGAAAGGAAAGGTTGATTAGTACTAAGAGCCCAGTTAGTTCTTTAACTCCACTATCAAGTATCAACCCCAATTTTGGTCATATGAAGTTTTGGATTTTGTAGGTCTCTGTATTTCCTGCATTTTATAATATGGCCAATTCTGTCTTTCAACCCTGAAATCTGAATCCCCCTACTCACGTGCCTCCAACAAAGTTAGTGATTTGGTCATCTCATGATTCATATACTCTAATTATCGTCTTATGACTCAAACAATTAGATTAACGAAATAAGAAATTTTTACAGTGATTCTTGACACCCAAATCTCTACAAAATTGGTTGGCAGCATTTACATCCTTAATAGTCGCTCATTGCCAAATGATGTAGGCACTTAATGGATTCACAGAATTTGGACAAAGAAAGAGAGTACCCAAAATTCCCTAGTGGATGTGAAGCTTTGGTCAAGATTATGGGGCGGATATTCCAAAAATTTAATATCAATATACAGCCTGCTGCTTCATGCATGGTTTCAAAACTTTTATTAATTTATTGTAGCCTTTGCAGAATTATGGTAATATGTTTCTAACTTCAATTCAATGGTAAATAATTCGATTCATGTTATTCATTTCTTAATTCGATTCAAGTTATTAGCTGGTTTTAACTAATAATTAACCCTTAATAAATATCTCCACATTTCTATGATTTCTGATATCTGAAACTGAAATCCAAAAACTATAAGGACCGAGGCCCACCGATATCGGGTAGGGTTTAAAGCTCAAAACTTTGCAGTCTCTCCCGCGATATTCGTCTCTACAGTCTATCCTGCACCGCTCCCAACTATCAAAACCGGCGGCTTTCCTTTCGATAGAGGCAAAAACAAGCTTCAAGTTCCATATAAAAAAGCTAGGAGGAAAGCATTGACTGCTGGGTCGGAGCAATACGCCAGCCCCGCACTTCCCTCTTACCTTCTCTGCTCACTTCCTCTACCCACTTTCACTGTAGAGAAGAGAATTAGAAGAGACGGAGGAGGAGAAGGATACCCATACAACCTAATCTCCTTATTCGCTCAGGTAGATTCCATACGCTATTTCATCTGTGTTTCCCCCCTCTTGGGTTTTATCCTATACGCCGTTTCTCCGTCGAAAGATTCCTTCTTCGGCCGATTTGGTCGGTGCCCATCTGCAGAATTTGGCATTTGAAGGAACCCATTTTGTTTTTGTTTCTGTTTTACCAGGCGGGGAGAGTGACAAGAGTAATTTAGGTATGGGTAGGGGTTGCGCGCAAGTTGCTCGACGGAATAACGGAGGGGTGGCGTTCTCTAGCTCTGGTGTCAAGGTGCAGCTTTTCCTCCACGAGGCTACGGATGCTGCCGTTAAGCCGAAAGCTCGTAGCAGCAATGTCTTCTTCGCCAGTGTCAATCAGGTCGGGAAGGGATTCGGGCTCTCTTCCTCAACGAATTCGCTGGAGAATTCCTCTACCGCCGTGCTTACTGCTGCTAATGTGCAGTTGAAGCTGGTGTCAATAGCTGAGCCTCCTCTGACTGTAGAGAGCAGCAGCAATGCCGAGCTGCAGCTGGGCGAAGTTCTCGACACGGTGGTGCAGACCACGAAGAAGAACAAGAAGGGTGGGTTTAAGTGGAGAATCAAGGTGAGGAATCCGGCGTTGAGGAGGCTGATAAGTGGGGGTATCGCGGGAGCTGTTTCGAGAACTGTTGTTGCTCCTTTAGAGACCATAAGGACTCATTTGATGGTTGGGAGCAGCTGCGGGCATTCCTCGTTCGAAGTGTTTGATAATATTATGAAGTCTGAAGGCTGGACTGGTTTGTTCAGAGGCAATTTCGTTAATGTTATGCGTGTCGCTCCAAGCAAAGCTATCGAGGTTTGTTTTCCAGAGAATTGTATCATCCATTGTTTCATTTGCTTTGACATCGAATTGGTTCACTGCTTTGGGTGCTGATTTTGTTCATTCTTGTGTGATCTGATTGCTTTCGTGTAATGTGCTTCATGAGAATGATCCCCTTTTCATTCTGTCTCATATAAGAGCAGTCTTTTATGGTCATCCAGTACAATTTTTCCCTTATTAGATGACAGCTTAATATGGAACAGTGTTTTGAACCATCTATGTTTGAACATTCATTTGTTCCAGTGCACAATTCGCGCATATGTGAACTGTCTTGGTGTTTGCAACTCCTTTTCTTTTGATGATTGTGATTGATTTTCATTGTGTACTTTTTCTATTTGTCTATATAGAAGTTATCCTAGTTTCTTGTCCACTAGATTTGATTCAATTTTGTTCACAGGTCCTTTCTACCCTTTAGCTTCAAGTTTGTCCAACAAATGAATGAACATCGTAGTTTCGAAGCAAACTCTTAGATTCTTTATTGTGGGCTGCCTGTTATTTTGACATCATATCGCCATCACAAAAAAGAAGTAATTCTTCTGCATTAGTCGAAGTAAATACAGACTTGAACCGACGTATTGGCTTTTCATGTTAAACCTATTGAAACAGAACCTACAATCCAAATACAGTTGCCAACTTAATACTGACTCTGCTTTTGGATTCTTCTGCAGTTATTTGCTTATGATACCATTATGAAGAACTTGACCCCTAATCCTGGGGAAAAATCGATGCTGCCAATTCCTGCATCCTCAATTGCTGGTGGCCTAGCTGGTATAACTTCCACCTTCTGCACATACCCCCTCGAGTTGCTCAAAACCCGAATCACAGTACAGGTAAAACTGGCCCCTCTAAGTAGTCCACACCTCAATTCGTTTGTGTGCCTGTTTCCCGGAGTCAACCTCAAATTGTTTTGACCTCGGACCACGTGCAGAGAGGAGTATACGATAACCTGCTCGATGCCTTCGTAAAGATAGTCCGACAGGAAGGGCCCGGGGAGCTATACCGAGGTCTAACCGCAAGCCTAATAGGGGTAGCGCCATACACAGCAGCCAATTACTTTGCATACGACACCATGAGGAAAGCTTACAAGAAGGCTTTCAAGACCGAGGAGATCGGAAATGTGATGACCCTTCTTATCGGGTCGGCTGCTGGTGCAATGTCGAGCGCTGCAACTTTCCCTCTGGAGGTGGCGAGGAAACAAATGCAGGCTGGGGCGCTCAACGGAGGGCACTATCGCAATCTGTTCCACGCTTTATCTGGGATCCTTGAGAAGGAAGGATTGGGAGGCTTGTATAGAGGGTTGGGACCAAGCTGCATGAAGTTAGTACCTGCTGCTGGTATATCATTCATGTGCTACGAGGCTTGCAAGAAGATACTGGTTTTGGAAGAGGAAGCTCGCGTAGAGCAAGCAACGGGTTGATGAGCATCTTGTTTTTCTTCTTCTTCTTCCTCTAGGGGCTAGCTTCGGAATTCGCCTAGATACTATTTGATAAGGGTGTCAGTTTGCCCTAAGAGATGTGACCTTTGTTCTTTTAGATTCTAGGCCAATAACTCTTTGATGAGTTTGCTAGAGAGCTCTTGTGTTGTATTAGTGGGTATTATGGCTCAACATTAGGGATGGCAATTTCGACCTGGCCCGTTTTACCCGACCTGTTTGACCTGTTTTGGGGCGGGTCCGACCCGCCCCGTAGGCGGGGCGGGCATGGGTAGTCTTATCGACCCGACCTGCCCTGACCCGCCCCATTCTTGACCCGTTCTTATCTAAATTACATGAAATCTTAGTCAAATTACTTTGAATTTTCCTTTTATTGCATCATATTTTAGCTATAATAAAGTTGTAAATTAGTGAAAACCTCAATTTCTCCAATAATTTAACTACCATTGTCATAATATTGTTTGTTTTCTTAGTTTTATAATAAAAATAACGAATATTTCTAATGTTTTTCATATAAATTGCATACCCATTGGGTCGACCTGCCCCGACCCGTGATCAATTACCCGACCTGGACCCGCCCTGCCATGGGGCGGGTCTGGGTACCAAGAAACCCGCCCCGGACCTGCCCCATTGCCATTCCTACTCAACATTCTTCCCTTTCCACCTGAAAATCGAGGGAAGAGATCATTCACCAATTTTGTAGGTACACTAAACTTAAAAGGCATGTTAATGATCGTTGAACATTATTAGTGATTGTATGCTCGTTGGTCTCAGTGTAGTACTGCTGAACTGGTGTTGATTCTTTCGGTTAAGCAGAGTTTAAACCGTTTACAAGCTCGTAACAGTTACTCTTACGGATCATAAACCGTTGCTATTCAACTTGACAAAAACATGGGAATATTTTGTTACGACGAGAACAGGTTACATATGATTGGGAAACCCTAGAAAATAAACAAACAGCTAGACTAAAAGCAAAGAAGATTATCAAAGTCTGACAAAATTGAATCTCAGATGACAGATGGGATTTTCAGTTTTCTTACAGACCAACAGAAAGATTTCGCAGCTTCACAATCCCTGCCTTTTAACAAAGGAGAAAGAGGAAGCAACTAGAAAACTATTTTGGTCATTATGCCCTTATGCAGACCACACCTGCATACTGAGAACAAGAAGAAGAAGCTTTTCAGCTCTGCTCTTCACCGTCTTCTCCTGCCGCTGCTGCCGCCTCCCTCTCTTCAGCAGCAGCTGCCATCAGTTCATCAAAGTTTGCAGTCTTCCCAAGCAGTATTTCAATCTGCAAAAGAAAATGATTGTATTATTGATGCAATTAAGATATATGAGAGATGGCTATAACCCATAACAATCGAACGCACAAATGCTGAGACAAACTTAAATGTTTTACCTTGGCTTTTTGGACAGGCCGCCCCCTCGAATCATCCCTCATGTCAACCGTCGAGGTCATGATCTCTGAAACAGGACATTACTCAGTTGCTTGAGCATTAATACGAACCGAGAACATGTTCAATTCATTAGGGTTTGGGATACAAAAGAGAGACTTACTCTTCTCCACAGCCAATCCATTGTTCTTGAGAATTTCAGCCACGGTTACAACTGTGGCGATAGCTGCAGACACAAAACAAAAAAAACATGGTGCAACTAAGTAAGAGTTATTTACGCACTCCCACGAACAACTAGGGCGCGCTTATAACGTAGAACAGCAATGATCAAACCCAGTCTACAACATGAGCCAGAATAACAGAGGGCCAATGAGGGAAAAGGGAATACTGAAGGGCGTTCTTAGCTAATTACAAACATCGAATTAATGTTTCCCCTATACGTGCAGATAGCTCAATCCACCTTATTGTAATGAGCAAAAAGGAATACTGAAGAGCAAACTAACAGAGAACCAATGCTTCCCTGGAGATAACCGATTTCCACGAATTAACAATCAGGGAAGCAGCAATCTTACCCATTCCAAGTGCGGATAGCTCCACTTCATTGAATTGCTGCATGTATCTCTGCAATGAAACCCCCCTCAAAAGTCGAGCAATAAGACAATAAATTCGACGGGGATAACGAACAGAGATTCAAAGACCCAGGCACGCGACATCGAATCAGGCAAATTCGAAACCCTAACTGCAATTGAATGAACGTTTCGAGCCTTGAGAATTGGGAAGCTACCTTAGCGAGATTGACGTAGAAGAAGAGGGGCTTCTTGGTGTTGGAGACCTGAATCCGGTTCTTCTTCGTCGCATCGGCTCCCGCCAGGTTGATGTTGTTCACGCCCTCAGTAATCTCTTCCATTGGAGCTTCGAACCGGTTTGGGGGGAAGGGAACCAACCCTAATCTGTTGCTCGGAGAACGTCGACGGAGGGAACTTCGCGGAGGAGCAGAAACAAAGGATCGACGGGACGGCGGCGGCGTGGCGACAGTTTTGGCTTATATATAACACTGGGGGAAAGCGAAAGCCTAACTTTTTTTTTTTTATGAATAAAAGCCTAACTATTGAGCATGTTGCTTGTGTTTTAAACTTGTAATTAATTAATTTCCTACCTGGACTATTAAAAAAATTCATTTCCAACAGTCTTTTTAATTAATATGCTTTCTTCTTATTCCTGAAAATAATTGTCTTTGTTATTTCATGTTCATTTATGAACTATGCCTGAAATTAATTGTTTTTTTTCCCCACAAAATTAATACTCTTTTCCCCTTGTTCGTTAATGGTTAAAACTTAAACACTTCATTATTTTTCTTTCATTTACATTTTAGGTATAGTCTCCTCATTGTTGTGGGACATTGAAAATTTTAGTATGGATGAAATAGTCAAATATATTGTTTTTGTCCAAAAAGTTTTTGTTCACAAGCGGCCTTGTGAAAACGTGCTTATAAGTAATAAGCATTTATTTATGGTCGTTAATAAGGGCACGAATTCAACAACATCATCCGCTTGTGACTTTTGAGCACTGAACACTATTATCGAATTGTTGTTTGTCATTCAATCTCCTTCGTCTCTTGAGTGATGTTTATCACAACCCCTTAGCTTGTCAATTTGTGGATCGTTAACAAGTAATATGACATAAACAGCGTCTAAACCATAAATTGTCTTCTACTCTAGGACTAGAACACTAAATCCGACGATTTTTAGCACACTCGAACTAAATCCATGTGATCGACTGCGACTAAGCCTTGTTTAACTCAGATTAAACCCTAATCATTATTCATCATAAAACCTTCGAAGCATCCGGAACATCATCATAAACAAATTCAATCAATCCTCCAAAGAAACCACAAACCCACACAAATCCCTAAAGAGTGAATTGAAGAGAATAAGAACCAGATTGAACAAAACCAGCAACCAAACTCCAAAAGCCTGTGTACCAAGGTACCAATTCCCACCATTAATTTCACCTGTTTCATTGCCTACAAAGCTCCAGAAGCTCACCTGTGGGATGACATATTTCACCTGTAAAATTTCCCTTTACAAAACACAGTAAAATTTCCTTAACGCTACCAAAAGTCAGTGTAGCTTCTCAGAGTCAGATGGAGCCTTTTCTTCCTAGTTCTCTTCTCTCCCTATATCTTCTCGTTCTCACCTAATTATAGATAGCACTAAAGATAGTAAAATGGCGAACTCCATTCTTACCATCTTCTACATATCCCAGCCACTCGCCACAACAGCTTCAGTCCCAAGCTCGTAGCCACCACCACCGCCGAGACCAGACCAAGCAGGCGGCGCGGCGTAACCTCCGTAGTCATTGTCACCATAGTAAGAACCCGAGTCGTAACCACCATAGCTCGCCCCGCCATAACCACCATATCCACCGCCTGAGTAGTCATTGCGGTAGTCATCATACCCACCATGTCTGCTCCCACCACCACCGCCGCCGCCATACCGTCTGTATCGGCCGCCGCCAGAGTAGGTGTTTGAGGAGCTCTTGGCGTACTCGCTCAGCCAAGGAGGGACCTCCTGGTTAGACTCCTTCATGAGCTCGACCAGTGGCTTCGCCAGTGGCATGTTCTGGTCGCTGAAGAATGCCGTTGCTAGTCCCGACTTGCCGGCTCGCCCCGTTCGGCCTATTCGGTGGACGTAGTCGTCAATGTCCTTGGGGAGGTCGAAGTTGATGACGTGGGAGACGTTGGGGATGTCCAGGCCTCTTGACGCCACGTCGGTTGCAACCAGGATTGGTGTGACGCCGGCTTTGAATGATCTCAAAGCTCTTTCCCTCTCCTTCACAAACGAGAATGGTAAGTGACAGTGAGTGAATAAGGTGCTCGAAAGAAGAGATGGAGGGGAAGAAAGGGTTGAACGTCAGAGCATAAAGCAGACCATTTGGACTTTGTCGCCATGAATAGCTATAGCGGGAAGGCCACTCATGCTCAAGTAGTACTCCAAGGCATCTGCTCCTTTCTTTGTCTCAGTAAACACCAGTGTCAAATCGCGCTGCCACGAAGAAGTAGAAGCGATATTAGACTTCAAGGAAGTGAAGGAGAGATGGAGAAGTGGGTTTAAAGTCATTCATTCACCTTGCCGTTTGCTTTCTGGCCATGGAGGAGTTTCATGATGTGTGACCTCTTATCCATATCCTGGACAAGCTCGATCTTTTGAGAGATCAACCCAGTGCTGGAACCAACTCGCCCAACGGATAGAAAGATGTAATCCTTGAGAAAATCAGATGCAAGTCTCTGCAAGACAAGATACACTGTTACTGCCAAACGCATGCGGGCTCAAATAAGCTGCCATCATATAAGACAGGCCACTACTTGTGTCAATAAAATGACAAAACAAACCTAAGACCATTAAGACTTTTGGGGTACATTTGCATAGTAAATATGCAGACCAGATTTGGACTGACCATCTCATGTCTAGGTCACAGTCACAAATACAAACAAGAAAAACGATCAAGTTGGGAGCCATTAAAACAGAATCCAAGATGGGCCAGGAAAGAAAAATAAACCTGTATCTCATCAGGGAATGTAGCACTGAAGAGCATAGTCTGCCTTTGACCAGGTGGAGGCATCCCCATCTGCTGAACTATCTTCCTAATCTGAGGTTCAAAACCCATATCAAGCATTCTATCGGCTTCATCCAGAGCCAGGTGCTTGATCATCTTCAGAGATACTCTGCCTCTATCAATCATGTCAGCCAAACGTCCTGGTGTTGCCACCAAGATGTCAACACCCTTCTCCAAATTATAAAGCTGCACAACACAACAGATTCCATAGAAGAAAAACCTCACACTGTTAAACAACCTTAACCCAACATCACCACTTAAATGGGCCACCAGCCAAATGCTGCAAAATGCCCATTTGCATGAGCTACCTAACTACAATAAACAATGGTGGACAATCGAACTGGACAATGTGCACGATTATGTGGGTTGTGGCCAATTCTCGAAGAGAAGGATATCCAAATGCTAAGTTTCTGGAGGAAATGACAGAACACACAAGCAAACCAACAGGGGAAGCAATGAAAAGGGGATTGGTGTACAGAAACCTGCTGTTGAATAGATGCGCCTCCATAAGCAACAACGATCCTCACTCCAGTCTTGAAGGCAAACTTCTTGGCCTCCTCGTGAATCTTTTACACAGTGGCAGACAGGATTACATTAAACAATGGTGGGGGAAAACGTGTAGATCAAGGAGAAATGGTTAAACAAAGTGGGTGAACGGGGAGAAAAAGATACTTAGGCATTGGCTGAGTCCCACCTGACACGACAATTCCCTGGTAGGAGACAATATAAGAGCAGATGGCTGGGCCACCGTCCGGGTCCCACCCGGACCCGAATTCAACCCGTTTTTCAAAATCGTCGAGATGATCGGAAAGCAGAACGCGGCGGTCTTCCCCGACCCGGTCTGAGCACAAGCCATCAAATCCCTCCCGGCCACCGCAATGGGAATGGCGTGCTTCTGAACCGGAGTCGGCTTCGAGTACTTACACCTCCGGATGTTCTGCATCAGACCTTCCCCCAAATCGATCTCGTCGAACCTCTCCACCGGCGGAGGCACCTCGTTCCCCGTCGCCTTCACCGGGATATCGTCGTAAGCTTCGAAGTTGATTCCCCCTCCGCCGCCTCCAGCAGCTTCCTCCTCGCCCAGCACCTCCAGCTCGTTGAATTTCTCCGCAATCGCATCGGCAAACGACGACGAAGAAGACGATTCGTACTCGTTCCGCCGCTGACCGCCTCTCCCGCGGCGGCCGCGGCCGCGAGGGGCGAAATCCTGCTGCCCGCCGAGCACATACCCGCCGCCACCGTACTGGCCGTATCCAGGAGCATTGTAGACAGCAGAATAAGGCGAGTAGCCGTAAGCAGCGTTGTAGGGATTCGCAACTGGAGCGTTCCGGAGGTGCGGAGGCACGTAGCTAGGCAGACGAGCTCGACCTCCTCCTGCTCCGCCCCTGCCGCCGGTGAAATCCCAGCTCATGGTCAACAAGCCGAAGAAGAAAAAAATAACAAGGACGGAGACGAGACGAGACGAGAGCAGAGGAATCTAATTCGTGTTTGGAGACTGAAGCTAGAGAGGGGAGTGAGGGAAGGAAGGTTGGTTTCTCGCAACAATGGCGGATTTGGAGAATGGCGTGAAGGGGAAGGAGACGGAAAGGCGCCCTTTCGTTTTGTTGAGTACGGGGTGGGAGGGAGTGAGCTGGAATTTACTGCAAAAGAATAATAAGAAATTGGAAAAAGAAAATGGGGAGAAATTGGAAAGGATATCCGAAATTGGCAAAACACTGAGAAAAAGGGAAACTATGGGGTAATTAAATCGGATTTATTTGCCGAGACGGTACAAAGCTTGTTTTGAGAAATGTCGAGCGTACCCCTGGAGATCTGGTCTGACGGTTTGGTGAGCGACGTAGATGGGGAATGTAGGATTGGAGGTAATGTAGGGGTGGGCACGTGGTAGTTAATCCGTGGATTGATATCGATTCATCTATAAATAACCCAACTCGCAAGTAGTGAGTAATTGATGTGGGTGGATTGCGGATTGATAAATCTCTCACCCGCACTTATGTGGGTGGGTGGTGGGTGAATTGTGGGTCACCCGAATGACCCGCATCATATTTTCACATGATTTTTTTTGCTTCTTATAGTAACAAATATTCATCATATTTCCGAACTGTACTAGAGTCTGACCATATACTTCTAAAGCAGGAGAATAAAGAATACGTTTGACTACTATTATTGGGTATTGTGTTGTGTAATATCCATTGGATATTGGAATGCAAATTATTGTTAATATTCATTAAACATTCGGATGAAAACTATAAATTATTAACGGTATCAAAATCACAAAATGCGTAAGTTTTCTCTGAACAATTGGTTGATAGAGTAGTAAAAAATTATATGCAAATACTACATGGATTCACTTGAGAATGAGACAAAAGGAGAAGTGTTCAAAATGATACAGACTTACTAATTTACTATAAGCTTATTATAAATGCTAGTCAACTTTCTTAATGGCTAGTTGGAAAATTGCTTTTGCGGGTTAACCCGCGATCCAATCGCACCCATCCGCCACCCACCCAACCCGACCCGCAGAAGAATGTGGGTGGATTGCGGATCACAATTATTCAAACTTGCTAGTAAGCGGGTGGGTCAATTTGAAACGAAAACCCACCCAACCCGCCCATTGCCCACCCCTAGTAGGAAGGCAGGCAAGTGATTACAGCTCCGCAGAAAAATATCTGGGGATTTGATGGACCCATTGGAACGTGTCGTGATTTGGTTGGAGTGTTGGTTCGAGGGGCCGTTGCACAGCCGTTCTTACATTTTGTTTGTTTAGAGGTGGAAATAGAGTGGAGCAAATTTGGGGTGGAAATGTAATTTGCACCCATTTGGATAGTTTGCAAACAGTAGTGAGGAGGTGAATGAGGGGTAAATCTACTAATTCACTAAACCCTCTAATTTGGGGTGCAAAAGGAGAGAGAAAGTGAGAAAGGATGGATGAGAAATGATTATTTTAAAAATTTTGTTGATTTATATTTTGTTATTGTGTTTAATGAATACAAAATATAATAAGTAACAATTATGTTAGATTATAATAATTATAATAAATGAGAAATAATTATTATTGTCATTTTTTTTATCATTGTGTTATTATTAATGTAGATGTTGTCCGGTGATCATGTTTGACTACGGTGAGTAAGTTCGTCAAAGTTTGTGTAGTCAAATCAAGATCTCTTCGTTTATTCGAAATTGTGCTGAAATTAAAGAGAATAAGTGTTTAACTTACATATTATAACGCAATTTGATATATCGATTCCACACCGGTTTAGTTAACTCAGTTTATATGATTAAATAGTTAAAACTTACATATTCGAATGTGTTTACGTAAGTTTGACTTATTCAAATTTAAAGTTAAAGTGGACACAAGAACCGTATAAGATGACCAGTTGTGGTTAAATTAAGTACGAGAATCCTGTAGGATGACTAGTTACGAGTTGAATTTCGAGTTTCGAGGCCTCTCGACCAATGATTATTACATTTGTTATAATTAATTATTATTTAAGTATTACTATTTTATGATTATTTTTATTAAAATATATTTATTATTATATAATAATTCCTATTTTATTGTTTTTTACTAATGTTATAAATTTGATATATCTATTTTATAATAATATAATTTACTTACTTTTCAGTCTATTTGCACCCCCTACTTTTTCATCCAAACAACAATTTACCCCTCCACTTACACCCCCAACCAATTTGCACCCTCCTGCAATTTACCCCTCAATTTGCACCCCCTCGAATTTGCACTCCCTACTTGTCAAACACAGCGTTAGGGTTGTGGGGTCTGGGGAACCGGACCGCCGTGGTTGCAAACGGCGGCGACTTTTGGCCACCTCCTTTTTTCTTTCCTTTCCAATGCCAAGTGAAAAACGAGGCAAAAACATATTTCAAGAACTATACATGGTGATGTTTTTGTCAAATTTGGCAGATAATTGGAAATAATAATCGGCATTATGAATACAAAAGTAGGCAAAAATAGATTGAAATAATTACAAACGAGATATCTTCGAACTAAGGTCTGTAGTTTCACGTCACGTAAATAACATCCATCTCACAAACGATTTTTGTTGGCAGTAAGTGTATCGATACGAAAAACAAGAATTACAATATTCATCGAGCCCTTGCTACTAGTACGCGTAGTGTCATCAAACAAGAATTACAATATTCGCGGAGTATGATATTGGTATAATGCTAATGCTGGACAAGGTCAAATTAATTGAGCTAGCACCACTAATTTAGTTGAATGATCCTTGACACTGTAATGACATTCTTATCTATTTAGATGATCGTACAAAGTAGTAAATGACTAATTATTAACTACAACATGAGCTCTATTCACATTTGTTTCCCTTTTCATGATGGAACATCTTGCTTCTGGAACTTGTCCACCTGGGGGAAGATAGAGATTAGATAGGCTATCAATTGCTTTTGATGTTATCCAAACACACTGGTACACATTTCTAATTGTGTTATATGGAACTTAGGAAATGCTCTCTAATAAGATGCGAAGTAGAGTTTTCCAAGGGATGTATAGTAGTAAGGGATCCACCGATCTCTAAGAAGTAGAGATTCATATGCTATAGCTGCACCAGCATGTCCCTGCAAATAAATCGTGAGTGGAAGGAGTGGTTCATTTGGGTTGCTAGTAAAATGAAAGATCTTTTAAGAACCTAAGCAAAATCAATTGGCAGCTAAACAAATTTCACATTAGAAGTGCCACTACTATGATCTTTCAGTTTCACGTAACTTAGTTTTCTTGTTCGATCAATGTCTAGTTATCTTTTACTTCACTTATTTACCTATGATATATCTCACCTCACACTATCTGCATATGTGCACGTAGTATTATCATCACATCCCATCGGATGTCAATTCCAATACAAAGTGGAAGTCATTAAATTTGTGATAAAGAAAGTTTATCCTATTCGTCTAAAGAGCAGAAATTAACAAGACTAAAGCAATCAAAATTAGCTAGCTCCTCCCTTAAAGGCCACAAAAAATAAGAAAGGGAAGAAAGAGAAACAAAAATGGCATTATTAAGTCGTCAAACTTTTATTCCGCAACCAAGTCAGTGGGCAGCAAGAGAAGCTATGAAGAAGCCCAGTATGTAGTTATCAATCATTGACCTACATATGAATTATATAAAAAAAGATTGATTCGTTAATAATAAATTACCACTCAATTAATTACTTCTTTCTTTTGGTAGGAAGCTACATGCTGCAACAGTTACGCAAGAAGAAATTGGCATTGCAAACATCATGGTCTCCCTCAACCAGAGAATATCTCTTACTTACTCCTAACAATCCAATTGATGCTTCTGGTAAGAACAAAGAACAAGTTGATAAGAGATATTCTCTTTGAGTAAGAGATATTCTCTAATTGAGAAAACAACAATGTTTGCATTGTCAATTTCTTCTTGCGTAACTATTGCATCATGTAGTACTTTCACCAAAAGAAAGAAGTAATTTAGTGAGTAGCTTATTATTACTGAATCAATCTCTTTTAAATAATATGTATGTAGGTCAATGAGATCGATAATTACCAACTGGGTTTCTTCGTAGTTTCTCTCTCTTCCCACCGACTTTGTTGTGGAAGAAGAGTTGGATAACATTGACGACTCAATAATGCCATTTTTGCTTTCGTTTCTCTTTCGTTCCATCCTTTTTGGTGGGGTACTTGAAGAGGAGGACCATGCTAATGTGATTGCTTTAGTCTTGTTAATACTCCTCTTTAGACGAAGCGGGCAAACGTTCTTTATCACAAATTCAATAACTTCAATTTTGGATTTGAATTGGCCCCCCGAAGGTTTGTGATAATAATACTACCTGCACATATAAAAATTAAAATAGTGTGATGTGAGATATACCATGTTATCATAGACAAATAAGCAAAGTATAAGCTAACTAGACATTTGTTGATCGAATAAGCAAACCAAGTTACATGAAGTTACATGAATCTCTGGAGTTGGGTAATATAATTCAAATTAGAGGGGAGTTGAAAAAAAGGGATGTTGGTTGGCTGGTTTTAGATAGAGAAACTTCATCAAGATCCTCCTTTTTCTAAGTGTAATGAAGTTATCACTTGACACCTTTAATCAACAAGTGGAACTCTAAAAGAAACATTCAGGGAAGGAATTAACAGATGGCAGACTTGATGATATTTTTCAATCAGTTATAGATATTCGGTCTATTTTCTACAGCTCTGATAAACCACATAGCAACTAGGCAAATTATGTTCCAAAGCTTTTACAACTAATAGGCACACAACCAGTACTCTTGTAATAAGATAAAAGTCTCTCACCTTTTCTGATGCCTGATGAACAAAGTGCCTAGATGTAGCTATACCAGATAAAGTAGAAGAGGAAATACTTAACATTCACCAAATGTTAAGAACACCAACACGACAACACCAACTATCAACACCAACTATAAAAGACCAGTAGTAGCAAAGAACCATGTTGAAATGACCGAATGGATAGCAATTAGCATACGAGAAAATTAACTAAATTTCAACAAAAGACGATATGAGATGAAATAACTCTAAATAATAAATTGGATTACTGCATTAACTACCTCCTCATGTTACATAAAACAACACAAGAGAAAAAGGGATGGACTCACATAGTTTTACAAACACCAGGAACATGACCCATCGCCGACGGAGAGGAGGAAAGGAGGTTCTTCTCTTGGATTGTTAAACGTTGATCTAATTTTATTTAAATCGTTCTAATCCGAAGAAGAACACAAATATTAGCTTAGAAAATATAAATATAAAAAAAATAATACAAAAAAGAGCACCTTCTCTATTACTGCTGTCACCCGTTGTAATCGGCCGTCAGCCACCGATCACGACCAACAACACTGAATTTAAACAATGACGATGAAGAGAAATGAAAGATAGGAGCGGCGGCGACAGAGCAAAAATAAAGAGGATTTTAGGGTTGAAGGAAGATGGAGTGAGGCGGTTTGCTAGGGTGTGTATTTATTGTTTTTACGAAGGACAATTCAGTAATTTGAACTCTTAATTTAAAGCAAATATAGTAAAACAAATGTGTTGTTTAGTCGTGTCGTTTCTCTAACATGGTTGAGCTCGCTTGAGCACTGGGTGGTTGAACCTACAAATCCACCCATAATTGATCCATTATGTTGTAGGCGATTTTATGGGTGAATGTGGATTCTAAAATAAGAAATCCATAAGAAAGTGGGTGGGTGCAGGTGGACTATGATGGACCCATAACCAACCCAACCTTTTAACCCAAAACTAGCAAAACTCTTGCGCGGCTTACCTACTTAACCAAAAAACAGAACACACAAAAGTCATAATGAGTTTTCCTTATCAAAAGATCTCCAATATCTTTGTAGATCTTCCTTCCTATTTTGAATAATATATTTTCAATATCAAAGCCTAATTGTAGTTTCCATGGCTGGAAAGTATACATACATTGCCTTACCGTTTGTCTACATCTCAGTGTTGCAAACCTTGTTTTCTGCTTTGCCAAAAGGATAACAATGGCTGCCTTGCCAACATTATTAGATTGTGTTGTGAACCTACTTTTCTGGTTTTTTCGAATAATGCGAACAATCGCATAAGGATAGACTTTGCTCGTACGTTATATACATTTTCCCTACTGTTTCTCTTCATATCAAGTTCTCAACTGAAATTGTCAAAACAGTTTAGATGGACTACTATGATTGCTTGACTTGAGGCACTTTTGGGATGGCTTAATCTTGATGATTTGCTGCCTAATGGTGAGATGATTGTTAATTCTGCAGTGCTGAAGGTTCTGTAAAGGAAGATAATGGTGAAGAGAGCGCTGTAACAGTCAGGTTATATGGCCCGAACACCGATTATGTCATCAACCGTGAGCGTGAGTTGCAGGTTGGGTCCATCTTTGGTTTGCCTAAACCCGTTATTTGTTGTTGCTGTGATGGATTTCTCTTCAATTGATGAATCATAGGTGAACATATCTTGGTTGAACGACTTTGCCTAGAATTACTCAATTGGTGGAATGGCTTTGCCTAGAGCAAAACTTAGATTGATAATTAAAGACGTAACCTAGTGGTTAGTTTTAATATTGGTCTATAACCAGGCGATGCATGGCAATTCTTTAAGTTAAATTGAATCGGGTTTGTCTACAGCCCTTGTTGTTGCATGGTTGCTTACCACATATTATGTTCAGGCTATCAAATACCTCTCGGCTGCAGGATTTGGTGCCAAATTGCTTGGAGTATTTGGGAATGGGATGGTGCACTCCTTTATCAATGCACGTATTCTAACCCCAGCAGGTTTTTTAAATGATGAAACCTTCTGTGGTGTTCCTTTCTTACTACTGGGTATCTCATGAGTGAAATAAGCTTCTGCTACTTAGTTTATTAGTGTTTGAACTAGGATTGATTGTTCTACTAAGTAATTTATCTTGTATGTTAAAGAAGACAATTGACCTTGTATGCTCTTTATCAACTTCACAGTTATAACCTCACCCAATTGTAAATTATTGAGAAGGCTTTAGCCAAGGTGAATGTTCATGGATTTCTTTTTTACCATGACCTATAATTTAAAGCTTTTATTTTCATTATTTTCGTTCCGTTTCTATATCTTGCAGACACGAGGGTGCCAAAGCTGGCTGTTGAAATTGCAAAGGAACTCCGTAGGTTTCATGCGGTTGAAATTCCAAGGTCTAAGGAACCTCAGTTATGGAATGAGATATTCAAGTTCTTTGAGACTGGTACTATGTGCACTTCTATATTCAATATATTATTGGAAGAAGATAAATTGGCTGCAACTGTTTTCCAACTTCATTAGTTTGTTTTATAGTTACACATTTTTCTTATTTATTGGCCATTTTCTGTTCCAGCCTAAGGTTTGCAATTTAATGATGCTGAGAAACAAAGAATATATTAGACTATATCCTTTAAAGAACTTCATGGTGAAGTCATTGAAATCAAGGTAATTTCTGTTGCTAGTGTGACTATGGCTTTGGGTTGCAGAGTGTCCTGCTTTTCCGGTTGGATGTTATAGGGTTGTCTTTTAGTCTATCGATAATTGACATCTCAACTATAGTGTTGATTGTCAATTCATCTTATGACATGAGTATTGCCTTTAAGTGTTTGAATCTAGTTTAATTGTGTTTGAGGGCTTCACTTTGGTAACTAATGGATGTGAACCACCATAGCTAGCAAGGATGCAGAGGCAGACCTCTGCTGCAGGGGGAACGGGTTTATACTTTATAGTTGGGTGACTTTTTGAGTAAGGAAATGAAAAGAGTTAATATATTGTCCATGGTATGCGCAAATTAGAGTATAGGTGAAGGTGTTTTCATTTGTTGCTGGATGCTACTGTGCCAGATTCTTAGGACTTATTCTAACCTGTTCATTTCATGGTGAGTCCTAACATGTATAGTGGTCTTGAAAATTCTATGACGGGTTGCCTTGAAGAACCTAATTGTATTTTTGAGACTATCGCTTGAAAACCGCATGGGTGGACTTGGAGTCAACCACGAGTCTGCAGGTGTTATTTAATTCCCTGATTTGTGAACTGAATATATTTATCAGTCTGCTGAAAACAAAATGGTCCAATGTTTGCACTTTACTTCATACAGCCAATCCAAATTCTCGGTGGAATTCTCCATTTTAATTTTTTTTTCTTTTGCTAACAAACATGAATTGACAAGTCGCTTAAATTCTCCAGTGGTTTTTGCTCATAATGACCTGCTTTCCGGGAACCTGATGGTTAATGATGATGAAGGTATGCATTGTGAAAGCTGATTTGCCTTTCTGTGGTTAGTTTTCATATAACATTTGGTGCCATTGTTCTTTCCAACATAGGACTTCGTTGACAACTGTTGATCCTTCATGTTCCTGTTTCCGTGAACTCCCAGAGAAACTATACTTGATAGATTTTGTGTACGAATCATACAGTTACAGAGGTTTCGACATCGGGAATCACTTCAACGAGTATGCGGGCTATGATTGCGACTACTCATTGTACGTCTTTTCCATCTCCCTACCTCCTTGCCCTGATACCAGCAGTGATCCTGAAAAAGTAATCAGTCCTCCTGATCCTTTTAAATCATGGTGAATATCCAGGTACCCCAGCAAAGAAGAGCAAGATCACTTCTTCAGGCATTACTTACAACCTGATAAGCCAGAGGAGGTAACTGTTGGATAAAGTTGACATTTGAAATCATTGTAATAATTATGAAGCAAGAATCTTAACATGTTGAAGCAAAACAGGTATCGTCCAAGGATCTTGAAGTGCTTTACGTAGAGTCAAACAAGTTCATGTTGGCTTCACACATATTTTGGGCCCTCTGGGCACTAATCGAGGTGAGCTTCTTATGTATAACAAAACTACTTGAATTCTGCAACTCTCTGACCATAATACTAAGTAGCAACTGCTTTTGTTTCTATCTTCTCATGTAGGCGAAGATGTCGCCCATCGATTTCAATTACCTAGGTTACTTCTTCTTGCGCTACAAAGAGTACAGATTGAAGGAGGAAATGAACTGTTTGTTGGCCCGATCTTACCTCTCAGGGTTGCACAAAGCCTAGTTTCTTGTTTTGCCTGCCATTTCGATTTGTACTCTTACAGAATGCTAGTTAAGGAGGGAAGTATGGTTTGTATGCTTTCATAGTTAGGTTAATTGTTGTTGTCAAATATTAATTTTTGTAGCTTTTCAGAGGAACTTGAAAGGCAAAGACAGCTTCATTATGTTGTGTTCAACTCATTTTGGCCTCCCTCCTGCTTGCAAAGCTCTCAGACTATGTTGTTGTTAATAAAAAAAAAAACAAAAATTGTTATGTATTATCCTTTTAGATAAAAACAAGCAAAATTTAAGAGGATGAATTAGGGGGGACCATGATTGTCCTCATCTCCTGCGAGGAATACGAACTTCGTGTTGATCATCTGAATGACCATTTGTGCAACACCACAAAATTTTTCGTGTTGATTGTCTGAGTAACCATATGTGCAACACTAAAAAAAAATAAAGTATTAGAAAATGAACGAGTCAAACAGCAACAAAGAACATCTCGGAGAACTAAGAGCTCAATGAAAAATGGGTCAGAGATATCTTGACCAGTCGCAATGAGAATAAGGGAAGAATGGAATTGAATACAAATATAATAGGAAATTAAATTAATTATACATTCTTAACTTACCGTAGCGTAAATCCCATTTGACTTCTTCTTCTTCTTCTTCTTAGCTTACCATAACGTATATCCTACTCCCACTTGTAACGTAACGCACGCTTTGTATCATGCTACTCACACCAACCATGGTCGCATAGTCTGACTCATTGAAAGAAATGTAACTCTCTCTATATACATACTTCCCCCCCCCCCCCCCCCCCCCAAGTACAAAATCAATATGAAGATTTGTTAAGAACTCAAACATAAGGTAACTTATTCATTGAAATTTTGTTTGTAAAAAATTCCACCCTGCCTCATTTGCTCTATAAAACCCACCCTCCTTCTCTCCTTTACACCCCCGCGCCTCACAATTTACATTACAGTAACAATATCATTGTCGCACAACATTTACATCATCGTCAACACCATGGTAGCATCAGGCAACGGCAACGGCGGCAACAAGAACTTTCACCTGAAAGTGGTGGCGAGGGTGACCACCACCACCGGGCCCAACGGCGCCGCCGTCACGCGCGAGGAGGAGCGCTTGTTCACGCTCCCTCTCGAGCCGATGATGAACGAGGACACGGCGCTGCCTTTCGTCCTCAAGGTGGTGGAGTCCTTCCTCCCGGTGAAGATCCCCATGGACCGTGACGTCATCGTGGAGAAGGTCGTCTACTCTGCCTGTTGTCTCTTTGTTGCTACCAACGACAACAACAACAAGAGCGCTGGTGGTGGTGGTGATACGACGTCGTCGAAGTTGGTGTACTCCAGGGATGGGCTGCCGCTGATCACGGTGAAGATCTTCGTTGACCATGATGGCTTCGTCACTGCTCTTGGAGACTTCGAATCCGACGACGACGATGACAGTGATGACAGTGATGATGATTCCGATGAGGAGGAGGTTGAGGCCATGGAGGAGTAGATCGAAGATCGTGGTGGTTGCGCCATGATATTATTATATTATATTATTACCTATAGTAAAACTATTGTCTGCTTGTGGTCAATAAATTAAACCAGTGTTTTCATGAGGTGGGGGTTTCTTTGTTTTGGGTCATCGTTTGTCATGTGAACGATTAATAGTAATGTAATGTGGTGAGTGATATGTTTTTTTTCTAGCATATCCAACTTTTTTTTTTATATTGAAAGAAATTAAACTTGGTTGTTGGAGAAACGTTTGTTTTTCATGTGAACGATTAGTATATTAGTATACTATAGCGAGTGAATGATCATTATTTTATGGGTTAATATCTTATTCTGGTCCGAATTATGACTATATAATCAACTTTGATTCGTGGTTTCATAAATTAACATGCTGGCCTCGACTATGCAACATATAAACTAGTTTGGCCTGACTAGTGAATTTTCGTCAATTTAGACGGGCAGTACTGTTGACCGTTAGTGAATCAACATGTAGTGTTGACGTGGATGTCATGTAAAGCAATATAAATTAATTAAAAAATTCAGTTATTTAATAAATAAATAAATAGAAATGAATTTAACCCTCCTTCCTCTATATCGTCTTCGGTTCAAACATCCAACCTGAAAAAATTCCAATTTCAAAACTGCAACCAATCCCCTTCCTCCGCCTCACCCACTGTGCTGCCGCCTTCCTCTGCTCCACGTCTCTCAAATTCCATTTTCAGGTGGCTTGCCACGTCTCTCTCAAATTCCATTTTCTAGGGTACCATTAATATTTGCCCAGCCATGAGAACTCGATGAAATTCCTCGAACGAATGAAGTGTTGGGTACTTCAATCGAAATTTGGATGTTCAAGCTTGGGGTTTTAATGTTTTCCGCTTATGCATTTGGTTCCAATGGTTTCTGAAGAACAGAGAACATAGCTGACGAGGGATAAGCTGGCGATGGGGAAGAAGGATCATTAGGAGTTTAATAATTTGGTTCATTTCACCTTTTTTAAATGTACTAATGAATTTGTAGGGAAAGGACATGTCTTTATATACACCCTACACAATATATTATACTAATATGAGAAAATTGTTGTCTCATTTCAAATTTCATACAACGAGAGTGAAAGTAGAAATGATATTTTGCTTCATAATTATTTTTCAGAAACTACAAACTTCCAAAAACTCAAAAATTGTAGCTCAAACTAAAAAATCAGAGCATCGAAAATCAAAGTTTGAAAATTTTATTTCATATATCACTTATTTGAGTGATTTTTCTTTCTATAAACAAAGTAATTGAAACAAGTTATAGCCAAATCAACAACTTTGGCTCGAAGACGATGGCTCGCTTCTTCATGGGAGAATGGAATACATGCGGTAGAAAAAAAAACCCTTTCCTCTCCCAACTCCGCTCTGTCGTGGGTAGTGGGAGCGAGGACATCGCCGTCGTGCGACGCTGTGCAACTGACCTCTTCGCCATCGTGCGCCGCCGGGAACGGCTCCCATGGGGCTATTAAAGGCCCGCCATCGGAGGAGATCCTTACTGCTCTCCTTCCATCAGATTACCTCTTCTTCCTCTTGTATTTCCGAATTAGCGACCCTGCGCTTCTCGCTCAATTTCGGTATGGCGGCTAATAATGCTGTGGTGTTTGGCGATGCCGATGTCGCTCCGGGAGCAGAGCGCAATGAACTCTCGCTGCTTGGGAGAATCGTCGGACCATCTTCGCCGATTAGACATCTGCAATCCACCTTGTGGAGGCTATGGAACTGTCACGGGCTGATTTCCCTCATCCCGGCAACGGAAGGTCTGTTTCAAGCGGTCTTCCCCAATGAGGAAGACATGAATCGAATCCTCCGCCTGGCCCCCTGGTTTCTCCCCAAATTCCTGGTGAACTTGGCCCCATGGGTGACGGTTTCTCCGGCGATTGCAGAGCAGATGTGGCGTGTCCCCCTCTCTCTCCAATTCTGGGGGGTTCCCATCGACTGCTGCTCGAGGCGAATGGGCACCCTTCTTGGGGAGTACCTGGGCCGAACTGAGATGGCGACGGTCCACCGCGCTGACGAGTCGGCGGAGATCTTTTTGCGAGCAAGGGTATGGATTGATTCTCGTCTACCCCTCCCTGTTTCCGTTCCGGCCACCCATGAGAAAGCAGGGTGAGGTGAGTTCTCTGCAACGGTGAAGTACGAAAAGCTTTCCCAATTCTGCTATCTGTGCGGAACCCTGGGTCACATTGGCCAACAATGCCCTCGTCGGGAAGAACTGGCAGGGACGGTTACTCCTTACAACCGCAACCTGATCTCTAAGAAGACTGGCCCCAAGGTCAATGAGAGGAACCTACTGGGTCGGCGACAGTTCACCTGGGTGCTCCAGCCGAGGCCTCCTTCTTCTCCTGTCCCTCAGCCGAAGACTCTTCAATGGGAACCCCTCAAGGAGGCTCATCAATTCGTCGACCGGAAGTGGGTACAACCAGTGCCCAGGTTCATCTCCTGCTGGACACCTTCGTCCCTCCAAAAGCAACCAACGCTGCCTCGGTGGCTGTCACGACTCACGCGTGGCAGGACCGAGCTAATGGAGGCTTCAGTCGACAGTCCCGATCCAAAGAAACAGAGGATGGAGGAAACTCCAGACTCAGCAAGACAAATTGAAGAAGCTGTGGTGGTGGCAACCAGCCCTGACTGGTCCCACCCCTCCAAATGAGCATACTAGCCTGGAATTGTCGGGGACTAGGCTCCCCCCTGACAATTCCTTCTCTATTTGGAGCAATATGCAGATTCTCCCCTTCCCTGATTTGTTTGAGTGAAACTAAGCATGATGATGAATTTGTGAATAAGAAGTTGAGTCGTCTAGGGTATATAATAGTTCGATGTGTGTCTCCTTTGGGGAGGGCCGGTGGCCTTGTAGTTGCCTGTTCCCCCAATGTCCAGTGTCGTGTGCTCGGGGAAGCATCCTTTTTCTTGTCGGTTGAGGTTCAGCATGTAGTTTGGGGTCTTCTTGCTGTTTTTTTCGTTCATCTAAGTCATGATGTAATATTCGTGGTTTGCAGTTTAATGAACTTCTCAATTTAGTCTTGTCGTGTGATCTCATTGTCCTTGTTCTTGGTGATTTCAATTGCATTCTTGCTGCATCGGAAAAACAGGGTGGCCACCCACCATCTTTCACCATGTTGGACCAATTCCAGTCTTTCATTCACTCGGCGGGTCTACTGGATTTGGGTTTTAAGGGACCACCTTTTACTTGGTCGAATCGCCAGGGATTGTCTACTCACATCCTTGAACGACTCGATCGTGGTTTAGCTTCTAATTTATTGCTCACTTCTTGGCCGAATGTGCAGGTCTCTCACCTTTCAGACCTCGGTTCCGATCACAGGATGATCTTGTTTCAGTTGGTTCCAGGTTCGGGAAAGGGTAAACCCAGATTTCAGTTTGACAAGCGGTGGTGCACCAATATGGAGGCCAACGACATAGTATTGAGTGAATGGCAAGCTGTGGTTGTAGGTACACCCCAGTTCCAGCTTT